AGAAGTCAAGTCTACAAGAGCCGCACAGATCTGATATAGTGCAGGTTATTGGCTGAAGTGTGGAGATGATGAGTTTTGATTTGTGTTTTCTGTAGAGTTTCCAGTCTCTCTCAGCTCCTCCTGAATCTACAGACGAACCCGACGTTCCCTTCGGTTCTCTCTCCTCTTTTGATGGCGTGAGAGAATCTGTCCGTCAGCTGAGAGACAAACTGGAGGATTTCTGCAAAGAGGAGATCAAGAAGATCTCAGACGGAGGTAAAGTCCTGCGCCTCCTTTATACACACGTGTGAGAAAGAGCCCAAATCTGAACAATCGGATGAACGGATCAATCCGATGTGTGTGTTTTATAAATGAAGCCCCTGGAGATTATTCATCAGCTCTCAGAAATGAGTCCATCATCTAATATCATACAGCATTATATTAGAAATGAATGTATTTGATCTTGTCATTTCTCTTCACACTGTTCATGTCTGTTTATTTCCACAGTCACTTTCACCAACATGAATCCCAAGACCAGGAACGACTTCCTACAATGTGAGTCACTAGAAAACAAGCAGGAAAACTCACTGAGTGTGTTCATGTTCTTCCTGTAGAAGGAGAAATAAATCATGATAGAAGAGTTTTATAATTGATCATGTAAATGAGGATTTGCTCAGGATATCTGATCATCTGCACTGAGACACTGATGATACATTGAACATTGAGTCATGAAGAGTTCAGAGACATTAAAAGATCAGACAGATTCATAATTCCTGTTTCTGATGTGTTTTCTCTCCATCAGATTCCCATCAGCTCACTCTGGATCTGAACACAGTGAATAAACACATCAGTCTGTCTGAGAGGAACCGAGTTATTACTCGCACTGACACAGAGCAGCCGTATCCTGATCATCCAGACAGATTTGATCAGTGGCGTCAGGTGTTGTGTAGAGAGAGTGTGTGTGGACGCTGTTACTGGGAGATTGAGTGGAGTGGAGATGGTGGTGTTGAGATATCAGTGTCATATAAGAGCATCAGCAGGAAGGGACCGGGTATTGAGTGTTGGTTTGGATGTAATGATCAGTCCTGGAGTTTGTTCTGCTCTTCCTCCAGATACACATTCAGACACAATAAGATAGAGACTGATCTCCCTGTAAAGCCCATCGGCAGAAGAATAGGAGTGTGTGTGGATCACAGTGCGGGAACTCTGTCCTTCTACAGCGTCTCTGACACAATGAGCCTCATCCACACAGTCCAGACCACATTCACTCAGCCGCTCTATCCTGGGTTTACTGTTTATTCTGGATCATCAGTGAAACTGTGTTGATGTTTCAGAACAGATATAGAGAGATTTTACCCATAATACTTTGAGCTTTATGATAAATCAGTAGCAGTGAGATGTTATAGAGACTCTTATTTTAATTTTCATGAATAAAGCTGAACTTCTGCTACTGAAATAACACGTAATAATAAATGTGTGTATTACAGTTTTATCAATTGCTAACAAACATCGGTCAACACTGAAGACCCAGAAGTCTCTAACAAACTCAATCATTTTTCACTTCTTTCACACAGAATGCATTCAATGACCACATTTCCCAAAATCCATGAACACTTTTATCATTCATACTTCACCAAAATATTAAAATATTAGCAGAATATTTACAATGAAATTAAATTATAATTATTGCATACACAACTATTACTATTTGTCCTATTTTTAGGCTATTTCGTTCTAATGTTAGCAAATTCACAAGATTTTGTTGCCCTAAGATTGATATCATCCAAGTAACTGGAATATAATACTACTAAAACAACTTGTCTTTTCTATGAAGTAATGATACAAGCTCAGAGACATTTATAATCAAATAAATCATTAAATTGGACTGTAGGCCTTGATATTAGAGGTACTACAGAAAGGAAAGACTAATTTTGAGCAAACAGGCCCATATTTCTATTAATTCATGTGCATATTTGCTTTCTTAGGGAGGTTAAGCCCAAAAAATAGGCCTTTGGCTTCAAGTCATGATGCAAAGGCCTCCTTTGGTATGGAAGTACCTTAGGGTCATACGAATAAATTTATCCTAAGACACAAGTGAGATCACACTTTGTTTCAGAAATAAACATGTTTTTACAAAAATGGCCACCAATGCGCCGAAATTACTCTTGAGCCCATATCTTTCCTTCTGTTATCGCTATAATGACAAATTTAGTGTCAAAGTGTACATTTTTGGGGTCAAGGAATCCAACGAAATTGGTTTCAAGTTTAAAAAAATTATAATTTTCCCCATACCATGACAATTGGGGGTAAATATGCACATTTTACATAAAAAAAATATGTCATCAGTGTGACTTTACATATCTTTTCATCCAAAAACTTTAATTTTGTATTTAAGCAGTGCAGCTACTTCTGTACATTACTGTACATTTGTCCTAAGTAGCATGAGATTTCGACGAGTCAGGAGTAGCCTATAGCAAATCAGTTGCAACAACACATCCCATTTGCACCAGGAGCTGTCACAGCTGTTGAAGGTCAGAGGTGACAGGTTAACACTTTAAGGTTCATTTGACTTTCTTGTTAAATAGAAAAATGTTTTAATGTTAGATAACTAATAACTAGCAGATAGTTGACTATGGGAAAAAAAACCTCTCGAGAATACTGAAGGCAAAAATTATCCTTATAATTTGTATTAATTTAAATGCACTTACTGCTGCTAGCAGACCTAGACGAGGCAGCTTGCACGCCTATTGGATGCTCTGCAGTAGAGCCCTGCGCTGGACTGTTTTCTTCATCCCGCCCGCCGAATTTCTGACCATTACCGCCCGCTCCCGCAACGTATGTGCTCCACTCCCACCCGTTCCCGCAATATGTATGTCCACTCCCATCTGTACCCGCAAAATAGAAATGAATTGATTTTGTGTCTTCTCCCATCCCACGGGAAAAAAACACATATTTGTATTGCTATTATTAAAGAGAATCATGGGGTTGTTTTTTTTTTTCGTTACCCTGGCCTGCATGTATTCTGACGCACTGATCAGGAAGATGAATAGTAGTCCAAATGTCAGACTTGCCTTGCTTAGGTTTTGTGCTGTAAGTACCTCGTTTGAGGATCTTTTCCAAGTCATTTATTGACATCTCCATCATGTCGCTAGGCTACCTCCCGATCCCGCAGGTTTTTTTTAGCCGCCCATTCCCGCCCACAGCAAAGTTCAAAGTGCCCGCTCCCACGTGATTTGCGTTGGGTCCCGCGGGACCCGGCGGGACTCAATCCCAATGCAGCCCTCCACTCTGCGGCAACTGCTGCAACCTATCGAGGAACTGCTCGTGACGTAAGCACCAATGAGGGCGCCGGTGCCCTCAGACGTCACGTCCCGTGCAAATTCATCGACTGAAGTGAAACCAGATGGTAGCACAACCAAGTCTTGGTTTGAGGATGACCTTGTAGTCATTAGGCCCAAACTCAAGGCACGACGCGCTAACAGAAAGTGCGTGTAAGTCACCCACCCACTTGACTGAGGCGATAGCCAGGCAGTTTTCAATGAGAGATACGTAAGGTTCACAGACTGTAGAGGTTTGAAAGGAGCACCCTTCATGGCCTTAAAGACCAAGGAAAGGTCCCATATGGGAGCCGAGGGGGCGACGAGGAGGGTTCATCCTTCTAGCTCCCCTGAGGAAGCGGACTACAAGGTTGTTCCTACCCAGTGACTGGCCATACGAATGTTTGAAAAGAGCAGCAATAGCCGCCACATATACCTTGAGCATGGATGGGGATCTACCCTTATCCAAGAGATCCTGTAGGAAGGAGAGAACCTCCGATAATTCACAATCTTGTGGATCAGGGTTGCGAGCTGAGCACAGATTCATAATTCCTGTTTCTGATGTGTTTTCTCTCCATCAGATTCCCATCAGCTCACTCTGGATCTGAACACAGTAAATAAATACATCAGTCTGTCTGAGAGGAACAGAGTTATTACTCGCACTGACACAGAGGAGCCGTATCCTGATCATCCAGACAGATTTGATCAGTGGCCTCAGGTGTTGTGTAGAGAGAGTGTGTGTGGACGCTGTTACTGGGAGATTGAGTGGACTGGAGATGATAGTGTTGATATATCAGTGTCATATAAGAGCATCAGCAGGAAGGGATCGGGTCATGAGTGTGTGTTTGGATATAATGATCAGTCCTGGAGTTTGTGCTGCTCTTCCTCCAGATACTCATTCAGACACAATAAGATACGCACTGATCTCCCTGTAAAGTCCATCAGCAGAAGAATAGGAGTGTGTGTGGATCACAGTGCAGGAACTCTGTCCTTCTACAGCGTCTCTGACACAATGAGCCTCATCCACACAGTCCAGACCACATTCACTCAGCCGCTCTATCCTGGGTTTTGGGTTGGTAATAAATCATCAGTGAAACTGTGTTGATGTTTCAGAACAGATATAGAGAGATTTTACCCATAATACTTTGAGCCGCACGATAAACCAGTAACAGTGAGATGTTATAGACTCTTATTTCCTCTTCATTACATTAATACTGATGAACTTCACTGAAATAAAACAGAATAAATGTGTGTATCAAATACTCATAGAGACAGTAAGAACAGTGTGTGTGTGTGTGTGTGTGTGTGTGTGTGTGTGTGTGTGTGTGTGTGTGATAATTCAAAATCGTTCACAATTTATATTTGTGAACAGACTGTATTAAATCAAGCTCTGCGAGTTAAAGGGTTAGTTCACCCAAAAATATATTTTTCTGACAAGAACGTATCACTTAACATAAGTTGTTAAATAACGAATATTGTATGTGAGATCACAAAGTCTTCAATGTAGTCTTTAAAATAGCAATTTATGTTGCTCTACTGCAAAATTCAGCAAAACAAGACAAATTCAGCAATAAATAGGCTACTGAATATAAAATATATACAACTGAACTAATTCATAAACTATCTATGTGATAACAAATATATTCAATGAAAAGACGACACTACCCACAAATCCATTCGCGGAGGATAGTTATGACGTCACCGTCAGCTGATAGAAGTCACATGACAGACATTTTCGATTTCAGACGTACAGGGAGATCCTGATCGAGAAGCAGGAAAATAACATTTATTCACGTTTTCCAGATTACAGAATGTTTCTACCTATTTCGAAATCGTCGTGATCAACGGGTCTTTACGTTATGAATTAGCTGTTTACATCAGCGCACTCAAGTATTCGGTAAGTTTACTTCGCACAATTATTATTGCACCCGGTCACCAGTTACAAGCTTAAATTAGATCAGTAATCATTTTTAATAGCTCATTATTCAGATGTATGCGCATGACACATATTCAGGGACTTCTTAGACTCTTCAGAGCTGTCTAATCTCGTCACGAGGAAGCAGTGATCATATGGGGGAAATGCATGGTCAGTGTTTTTAACCACTCGTGTCAGGTGTCACTTGACTCGGATGCTTTTGTGTGTTCACTAGTCTCAGGTTGTCATCGAGCTAAAGACTTGAAGCCAACATGAGTCCGGAGGGAAAGACCCTGCTCAACGTCGTCGTCCTGGGCTTGGGCTTCATGGTGATGTTTACAGCCTTTGGCACCTGCGGAAATATTGAAGTAGGTTTTTGACACTTTGGAAAAACGCTTAAAAATACATTGCCTGTCTATATAAGCTTATGTGGTAGACTAATTGGTGTGGGTACACATATTTAAAATAAAAATCATAAAATATAAAAAAAAAATGTTTTCTGCAAACTCCATCATATTCTTGCTCTACATGTCCCCAAGTTTTATGAATGTTTAAAATATGTCTGTATAGCGAGGTAAATAGTATTGGCCATGACTTTGGCTTATCAATATTAAAGAAGAAAACAGTTCAACAACAAAATCACCACAGTGAAATCAACAATTCAACAATCAACACCTATAGCCTACCACGCAAGCTCAAATGATGCGCAATAATGTATTCATAAGTGTAAATCCAGTGAAATGTACATCGATCTGGTAAATATTATAATATCAGATACAGCAGGGCTTACTTAAAAAAAAACATTCAGTATGTCAATCAAACTTACATCTTTTCTTTTTTCCCCCAGCAAACTGTGATAAAGAGCTTCAACAGTACAGAGTTTCATGGAAGTGGCTACACAAGGTATTAGTTTTCTTCATTTCTTTCTTCTGTTATCCGAGCGACTTTCCTCATAGAGCACAACAGCGGCATTGGTGCCGGAAGTATTTTTCTCATTTGATTTTTCATTAAATCGGCATGAAACAAAGTTGCGATAGGCATATCTTCTCTATATTGTGACTGAGTGAAACGCTTCTCGAACAAGAACTGATGTAAGGCGGGGCTTGAGTTTGTACATGTGGATTTGATTGGATGGTTGTGGTTTGCTATTGGCTGATCTCGTGAGAGTGACAGGTTGCTCCGCCCTCACGCCAGTAAACGCATCATCAGAGACGAGCTGCAAAAGGAAGGGAAGTTACTTTGATTAAAGATTATAAGGCACGCGAATTGAATAAATGAATGAATCACAATAGAATCATCCATTTTGATTTCAAGGTGACTTTAAATTGCTTTCTATGTAAAGCACTTTGAATTACCATAGTGTGCTATATAGATAAACGTTCCTCTCCTTGCCTTGGCTAAATAAATAGCCGGACAGTTCTGGATCATAGATGAAGCACAACATTAAATTGTTGATCTGAAGCAAATAAAGGTTTATGAACCTTCGATCTCTTTTCTGAGGTCTGCTCATCACATGAAACGTATACAGAGTGGCTGTAGTGTTCATAAAACTTGACTTATACATTGTAGTTAATTGTAAAAACCCATACACAAAGAAATAATGAATGGGACTGTTACTTCCAGAATCCCATGGTTGTGCTGTATTTCTGCTTAAAGTCATGTGACGTGTTTTGGCCTCTGCACCCGTTCTGAATGTGATTTATTACAGCTGATTCAAAGATGAGAAACGGGTCATCTGAAGTTGTGCTGTAGTCTAACCAATCTCTCTCGACCTCAGTAATCACATTGACCTGGATTATATAACAAAGAAGCACTGTCTGTTCTCAAAGAAAACCGAACTTTGAAACAGAGAAATGAATGTAACATTGTCATGTGACCCAACAGTCATGACACTCGTTCATCACAGGCTCTTTTTCTCGGGCAAAAACTGTCTACGTTTTTGTGGTGGAAGAAAATATATTAGACAACCACTTTTTAGATGTATTAATGAGATATATATATATATATATATATATATATATATATATATATATATATATATATATATATATACATATATATGACAGAGAGAGAGAGAGAGAGAGAGAGAGAGAGAGATTGAAACACATTGAAATAGTTATTGATCATCAAAGCAATTTTGGCATGGAGTTGTTTTAATCAAATATGAAATCCATGCTTATATTGGGTGTTTTCCATGTTATCGTTCTGTAATCACCATCCAAACCAGTAAATCCCAGCTTTCAACACCTCTTTTTCACACCTCTCTTCTAGCATGGCGATTATCTACGCAGTGTTTTCTGCCTCGAACCTCATAGCGCCCTCCGTGATCGCTGTCGTTGGACCTCAGCTGTCTTTGTTTTTCAGTGGACTTCTTTACAGGTGAACGGCTTTCTGTCATAACTTAGTCGTTTTCTGAGGATTTATGATTGAATGGTTTTGCTCTCTGGTTTCTTTTAGTGCATATATTGCTGTTTTCATTCATCCGTACACCTGGTCATTCTACACTTTATCTGTGTTGCTTGGAATTGGCGCTGCGGGTGAGATATCGTAATCGGTCCGGTTATGAAACCATAAAATGTAGCGCCACGCTTTCTCTAATATTTTTGTTTTTGCAGTGCTCTGGACGGCTCAGGGGAATCTGCTCACCATCAACTCCAAAGATTCCACTATTGGGAGAAACAGTGGGATATTCTGGGCGTTGATGCAGTTTAGGTACATCCTTGTTGACGTTGAGCGTTAATAGAAGGAAAATGGGACATGATGGGGTGTAACGATACCCTCATGCCACTATTCGATACATATCACTATATTGCGATACTCCAAGACACGTGATAAAATATTAACGTACTGTTGATTAAAATGCTAAATTTGGTTTTACATTGGGGTGTAAATGAATAGGCTTGGACTTGGTTCTGGAAACTCAAAGCACAGGACAATAGTGACACCAGAATAACAATATTTATAATTCTGAAGCTGAAAACATAATGTTAGATGAATATACTTGCACTCTTTCACTAACTAGATATTTAAAATAATGTAGGCCAGTTTTACTTGGAAAAATAACACATTTGGCATTATCAGGAATCACAAATATTCCCCCATTGCTTTATTATACATTATATTCCTCATTATATATATTAGTTTAATGTAGTACTGACACTAAAACTCTGAAAACTTGATTTTTTTACACAGCAATTAAAACTATACATGATAGATATTGTTGCATTTTTGTATTGTGATACATTGTGACATGATATATTGTTACACCACTAATACATAAGGTATTATGATTTATTTATCCTCTTTTGCAGCTTATTCTTCGGTAATCTCTACATATATCTAGCCTGGCATAACAAGAGTCACATAACAGGTGAGTACACAGATATATATAGTGTTCAGCTATGTTCACTTTGGTGGAAATGTAATGTTAAGCATTAAGTATCATTTTCACTGAAATTAATAAATTGCTTTGCTTATTTCATGTAGCAAAAATATACTGTAATAGAAACATCTGTACAAAATAATTTCTGAAGGGTTGCACAGAATTTTAATTGAGGTCTCTAGTCGAATAAAGCTGAAAAACGTGTTTTTCCGGTGTCAGATAAGGACCGCCAGACAGTGTTCATCACACTCACGGTCATCAGTCTGGTGGGAAACTTCCTGTTTTTCCTGATCCAGCGACCAGACCCAGAACCTGCACCTGCTGACGCCTCTGAGTCACTTCTCCCGACAGAAATCTCTGACAGCTGTGATGTGGTGTAAGTACAAACATATTTTTATGCACTTCTGCAAATCAAGACATTAATCTGGACCGGTTTAATTATATCAGGTTGTGTCTTTTTGTTCCTTTGCCTTGCTTTCTATTCCTGTTACTCTTTTAAGTCCATCCCAGACCCGGGGCTCTCAGGCATTGGAGGCATTCAGTAAGTGGCTCTAAAATATTTAAGAACGTACCGGTATGCATTGATTTAAACATGGTTTTGTTCTGTGTAACATACTAAGATGTCTTATCTCATCAACAGAGAGATCCATACAGCTGGCTATGACCAAAGAGATGCTTTTGTTGAGCATACCCTTTGCATACTCTGGTGAGTTCAGTCCTCTAAAAGTAAATCTGTATGGTAGCAGTAGTAGTTCACACCATGATGACAGATAAAGCAAGCCGATTGTAAAATAAAGAGGGCCTAAAACAGAGCCCTGGGGGGCCCCTTTAGTAGCAGGGAGGATTTGAAGAGTTCAGATGCAAAAGCCTCTAAATGCCATTTGAAATTTTCTTCTTTAATGATGATTTTTATCAAACTTGTATATTTAAGTTCAGTAATTTCACTTAAATAACAATTAATAGGTAATTATCATTGCAATTTAAGTGAAATCACTGAACTTAAATATACAAGTTTGATAAAAATGATCATTCTAGAAGAAAATTTCAAATGGCACTTAGAGGCTTTTGCATCTGAACTCTTCATTTGTTCTTTTGAATACTAACAATGGTTTTATAATAATACTACATACTATATGATAACATATGTCACCTAAGGATTATTAGGAACATCTGTTCAATTTCTAATTAATGCAATTACCTAATCATCCAATCATATGGCAGTTGCTTCAATGCATTTAGGGGTGTGGTCCTGGTCAAGACAATCTCCTGAACTCCAAACTGAATGTCAGAATGGGAAAGAAAGGTGATTTAAGCAATTTTGAGCGTAGCATGGTTGTTGGTTCCAGACTGGCCGGTCTGAATATTTCACAATCTTACCAAAATTGGAAAGTTGAAGACTGGAAAAATGTTGCCTGGTCTGATGAGTCTCGATTTCTGTTGATACATTAAGATGGTAGAGTCAGAATTTGGCGTAAACAGAATGAGAACATGGATCCATCATGCCTTGTTACCACTGTGCAGGCTGGTGGTGGTGGTGTAATGGTGTGGGGGATGTTTTCTTGGCACACTTTAGGCGCCTTAGTGCCAATTGGGCATCGTTTAAATGCCAAGGCCTACCTGAGCATTGTTTCTGACCATGTCCATCCCTTTATGGTCACCATGTACCCATCCTCTGATAATGCACCATGTCACAAAGCTTGAATCATTTCAAATTGGTTTCTTGAACATGACAATGAGTTCACTGTACTAAAATGGCCCCCACAGTCACCAGATCTCAACCCAATAGAGCATCTTTGGGATGGGGTGGAACGGGAGCTTCGTGCCCTGGATGTGCATCCCACAAATCTCCATCAACTGCAATATATATTATATTTTGGGCTGTGTCCGGCAAAGTTCCAAATAGAAAGACAACATAATAAGTACCTTTTTCTTTTGTGAGACATACTGTCCACTCCACTGACTATCCTTTTGAGAGCTGTCTCTGATAGATATATTTTGACATTTTCCTTTTTCCCTCGCTTAAAAAAAAATATTTTGATCTATACTATGGATGCACCGAGATGAAAACTTTGGCCAATACGATAACCGATAACTGGTAGTTTTTAATATTTGAAAGCAGATAACGGATAATTCTTTATATTTGAAAACCGATAATTCTTTATATTTGAAAGCTGGTAACCGATAGTTCTTTATATTTGAAAGCTTATAGCGATAATGCTTTATATTTGAAAGCCGATAATTCTTTATATTTAAAAGCCGATAATCTTTATATTTGAAAGCCGATAAGCGATAATTCTTTATATTTGAAAGATGATGACAATAATGCTTTAAATTGAAAGCCGATAATTCTTTATATTTGAAAACAGATGATTATTTATGTTTGAAAGCTGATAACTGATAATTCTTTATATTTGAAAGCTGATAGCGATAATGCTTTATATTTGAAAGCCGATAATTCTTTATATTTAAAAGCCGATAATTCTTTATATTTGAAAGCCGATAACCGATAATTCTTTCTATTTGAAAGCCGATAACCGATAATTCTTTATATCTGAAAGCCGATAACCGATAATTCTTTATATTTGAAAGCCGACAACCGATAATTCTTTATATCTGAAAGCCGATAACCGATAATTCTTTATATCTGAAAGCCGATAACCGATAATTCTTTATATTTTAAAGCCGATAACCGATAATTCTTTATATCTGAAAGCAGATAACCGATAATTCTTTATATTTTAAAGCCGATAACCGATAATTCTTTATATCTGAAAGCAGATAACCGATAATTCTTTATATTTGAAAGCAGATAACCGATAATTCTTTATATTTTAAAGCCGATAACCGATAATTCTTTATATTTGAAAGCCGATAACCGATAATTCTTTATATCTGAAAGCCGATAACCGGTAATTCTTTATATCTGAAAGCCAATAACCGATAATTCTTTATATTTTAAAGCCGATAACCGCTAATTCTTTCCATTTGAAAGCCGATAACCGATAATTCTTTATATTTGAAAGCCGATAACCGGTAATTCTTTCTATTTGAAAGCCGATAACCGATAATTCTTTATATTTTAAAGCCGATAACCGATAATTCTTTCTATTTGAAAGCCGATAACCGATAATTCTTTATATTTGAAAGCCGATAACCGATAATTCTTTATATTTGAATGCTGATAGCGATAATGCTTTATATTTGAAAGCCGATCATTCTTTATATTTAAAAGCCGATAATTCTTTATATTTGAAAGCTGATAATCAATAATTCTTTATATCTGAAAGCCGATAACCGAAAATTCTTACAATTTGAAAGCCGATAACCGATATATTGGCAGATAATTCTAAATCCATTTCCAGCCTGATTACAAAAACAAGTCTCACCATTAAAAACCATGTCCTAAGCACACAATTATAATGTTCTTATTATAATTTTATGTAGCGTATATGACAGATTTGCACTGCACATGTTGCACTTATCAGTATTTTCCTTTTTGAAGTGATTTCAATTATAGTTCAAACATGTTCAAAACCATCATGGCGAACAAATATTCTTATCGGGCCAGTAACAATATCATTAAAAATAAATATATGTCAGCTGATACCGATATGGTGGCCGATATATCGTGCATAATACAGTATATGCCATTACAGTGATATGAAAATATTCATCATGTAATGTAGGAAATCGGACATATTGTCCACCCTACAGACTATACTTTGAATAGCTGTCTCTGATAGATAAAGAAGACTAGCTGAACTGTGAGATGTCCTATCTGTACAGGTCTCGAGCTCACCTTTTACAGTGGGGTGTATGGGACGTGTTTAGGGGCCATGACTCAGTTTGGAGAAGGCGCCAAGGGTCTCATCGGTCTCTCTGGCATTTTGATCGGTGTTGGTGAAATACTTGGTAAGTCAGTGCATCACAGACATTGTGCGTCTGTTCTAAGTGAACATGCCAAAGCAAATGTAATAAGATCAATTTCTCTGTTCAACCAGGAGGGGGATTATTTGGGATCATGGATAAGTGTAACCGTTATGGCAGAAACCCGGTAGTGTTTTTGGGTCTGGTTACCCATGTTGTGGCGTTCTACCTCATCTTCCTCAACATAGCCAGTGATGCTCCCGTGGCCCCAGAGGAAGGCACACAAATGCAAGCTTTTATCCAACCCAGGTAAGAGTCAACAGGCATGGGCATTGAGAGCGGAGCCAGACATGTTCGTGCTTCTTAGCATTGATTTATTATACTGTTCATGTGTTTTCAGTGTGACAGTGGCGCTGATATGCAGTTTCTTGCTGGGTCTGGGTGATAGTTGCTTTAACACTCAGCTCATCAGCATTGTGGGGTTCTTGTTCCGGGACGACAGCGCACCAGCGTTTGCAGTCTTTAAATTTGTACAGGTTTGAACCTTCAGTGTTTAGATGGGTAGCATTTAAAGTCTTTAAATAGTTTGATGTAAAAAGACAGCGGCAATAATTAACCCTCTGGGGTCCTTCGGCCCAAAAGGTCCCGAAGAATTCAAATACATTTTTTTTAAAAATCACAGCTTCCTCGGAATGGTCCGAAATTTGGTGACTTTGTTGGTATTTGGTATATGAACACCCCCCAAAAAAATTGGGGACAGGATGTGAATAGTCTAAGTGGTTGTAAAAAAAATAGTCACACTCAGGACCTTCGGGTCCAAAAGGACCCACATGGAAAATGAATGAGAAATGTGAAAATACTGAGTTTTTTTGTGCGTACAATCTACAAATCGGCAACGATCTTGAAAAAAAGCACACAACAGTGAAGGGGTGAATCTATAAAACATCAAGAGTGCAAAACAGACACATCCACACATCCACACCAAAAAATTCGGATTATACATGCGTTTTGCATTTTAAAATGCTCAGTTTGTCCACCAGATGGCATCCATCTAATTTCAAAAATTGCTTTTTTTGAGGCCTAGGCTTGACTCTAAAATGAAATACAGCTTTAAAAAAAAAATATATATATTTTTTTTAAATATTTTTTCTATTATATTCAATGGGGGAAAATTTGGTCATAATTATTGCATTAATACTAATTATAATTTTTTAATTTTGAAATTTTATCAAAACACCAAAAAAGAAAAAAAAATATTATAAAAAACAAGTAAAAAAAAAAAATTATTATTATTATTATTTTTTTTAAATATGAATCCCGCCCTTTGGGTCCATTTGGACCCGAAGGTCCCCAATGTGACTTAAACGAAGAACCCCAGAGGGTTAAATGTTTGAGTGAAAACATTGCCGGAACATATTTCTACCAAATATTAAAAAAAAATTACTTTAAACACAGTATGTATTTGCAAGCATTGTAAGAACCGGTAATTTAAAAGCCCACCTTTATTGATTTACTGTGTGTACGGTGTCGTGTTTTTCTTCTTCTCTGCAGTCCATCACGGCTGCGATTGCCTTCTTCTACAGCAACTACCTTCTCCTGCACTGGCAGCTGCTCATCATGGTGCTGGTGGGCTTCATGGGCACCGGGACCTTCTTTCTGGTGGAGTGGGCCGCCATCAGCACTCGACGGGGCTCGGACTACGACAGCATCTGACGAGAACGTCATCTCCGGCCATCGGCCTCAGTGAGCACTTCTGCAAACCATTTTCCCAGACTTTAATCTGCGGGAACACCTAGAACCATGCATCCATTCTCCTTTTCAAGCCGATCGGCTGCATAGACTCCTTTCTTTACCTGTACATAAAACACGTTTACTCCCCTCAGATGGGATCAAGGTTCAAGTGCTGTAATGCAATAATAAACGGTTTATTCACATTTTTTTTTAACGTTTTCAAATAGCATTATGCCGTGCAATGCCAACGACCATCTGCGGGGAATGAGATTTGTGAGCCTAAATTGCACTAAATTTCGTCACAGAAAACATGAGATATCGTGACATCAAAAGTCTAGCGCGTCAGACACTGTGCTTTGTTCGTGTTGCAGCTGGACGGATGTGGGCTCTATGAATTGTGTTGGGAAAGATAATTCTGAAATTCAACTTTTCCCTGAAAAACAAAAACGAGGATATGTGAATGACTAAGACGAAGTTTTATTTTAGGCGAACTACTCCTTTCAGTAGATATTGTACTACTTAAATTCAGTTATTGTTGCGATGGTACATTGTCTGTATGGAAGCTTGTTTCCGCCACCAGGGAATTAAAAATAAGAAACGTAATTGCGAATTTTTATCTCACAATTCTGACGACTTTTTTTTATTTTTGAGTTTATATCTCACAGTTCGGACTTTACAACTCCCAATTGAGAGTTTATATTACAGTTCTGAGAATAAAGTCAAAATTGCGAGATATTTTAAGAAATGCGGTCAGAATTGAGATCTAAAATCGCAATTATGAAAGAAAAAATTTGTGAGATAAAAGTGTGAGAAAAATGTCAAAATCGTAAGATATTAAATTGAGACGTACAGTCAGACAAACTCTATTGGAGTCGACATGAGTCGACACAAATTACGTTTATATCACATTTCTGAGCAAAAAAAGTCACAATTGCGAGATGTAACGTCGCAAATCTGAGACATATGTTCAAAACCGAGAGATTCACAATTATGAGATAAAAAAGTCAGAATTATGAGATAAAATCACAACTGTATTATAATAATAATTTTTTCTCCCGTTTAAGTAAGTCATGGCCACATTGTACTAATTCGTTCCCTCGTTTTGATTGACCTAAAACAAGGGGATTGATGATTATTCATGGCCACGATTTAGTAAAACGAGGGAACGGATTACCGTAGTTAAATGTGCAGATGTATTATTAATTTGTGGAAACAAATTAGTAATTTGTGACCACGATATATTTTTTACCGTGTGGGATGTGTGTAATTCTGTAAAATCGCAAGATATAAATGGGGGAAGCTCAATTCTGACTTTATGACGCGCAATTGCAAGTTTATATCACAATTCTGAGGAAAAAAAGTGACAATTGTTAGATATAAACACAATTCTGAGGAAAAAAGTGACAATTGCTAGATATAAACTCACAATTCTGAGGAAAAAAAGTGACAATTGTTAGATATAAACTCACAATTCTGAGGAAAAAAAGTGACAATTGTTCGATATAAACACAATTCTGAGGAAAAAGTGACAATTGCTAGATATAAACTCACAACTCTGAGGAAAAAAAGTGACAATTGTTAGATATAAACTCACAATTCTGAGGAAAAAAAGTGACAATTGTTAGATATAAACTCACAATTCTGAGGAAAAAAGTGACAATTGCTAGATATAAACTCACATTTCTGAGGAAAAAAAGTGACAATTGTTCGATATAAACTCACAATTATGAGGAAAAAAGTGACAATGGCTAGATATAAACACAATTCTGAGGAAAAAGTGACAATTGTTAGATATAAACTCACAATTCTGAGGAAAAAAAGTGACAATTGTTCGATATAAACACAATTCTGAGGAAAAAGTGACAATTGCTAGATATAAACTCACAACTCTGAGGAAAAAAAGTGACAATTGTTAGATATAAACTCACAATTCTGAGGAAAAAAAGTGACAATTGTTCGATATAAACTCACAATTCTGAGGAAAAAAGTGACAATTGCTAGATATAAACTCACAATTCTGAGGAAAAAAGTGACAATTGTTCGATATAAACTCACAATTATGAGGAAAAAAGTGACAATGGCTAGATATAAACTCACAATTCTGAGGAAAAAAGTGACAATTGTTAGATATAAACTCACAATTCTGAGGAAAAAAAGTGACAATTGTTAGATATAAACTCACAATTCTGAGGAAAAAAGTGACAATTGTTAGATATAAACTCACAATTCTGAGGAAAAAAGTGACAATTGCTTGATATAAACTTGGAATTGCGAGGGGAAAAAAGTCATTTTCATAATTTTTTTTTCCGTGGCGGAAACAAGCTTCTATAAATCTTAATGCAAACGCAATAAATCACTGAGCAACGAGACATCATTTATATACACTACGCTGTGAGACTCTTGAAAAATGACTATAGACTCCATTTTTATCTTTCACAAATACAAGACGTGAAATGCACAGTCACAGTCGGTTTTAACTCTTTTTGCCAGTTGCCTTTCTTTTCCTTTTCTTTTTTTGTTTTTAGGAAACCATTTTGCCAAAGTTCGAAGCACTCTTTCACGAAATTTGCTGTATTTTTTTTTTAAGTTCGTCTCTGTTTATTTGTGTTGAGTATACAATTATTTCAATCAATCTGATTACTGATATAATCAATTTGAGAATCATTATAAAGCTCAATATCAAGCTGAGCTTAAGTCAACATGTCATAAGTACTGGTAAACATCAATGTGTTGAGAAAGGGTTCAGAAAGAGCTTTTTTAATACATTCACAGCACTTACGCTCATTTGCATGAGAGCAGAAGCTACATGTACGTTATTTTCAGCTTTATTTGGTTCAAGCCAATGCAATCAATAGGATGTTGAGGGAAAATGAGATGAATATCTGGTCATATACTTGAATGTATCTTACTGTAAAAATGGTAAATGCTCCTGTTTTTTTCTGTGTTCTTTTATAAATATGTGTATATAGGGGATTAAAGAGCTTTTCATTCTTGCTTTTGTCTGTTTCCAATGCTCATGATGCATGATATATTTACAGGACAAATGAGGGGATGAATCCAAGAGGATGAGAAATAAATATCTTACAAAAAGCTTTGTTTAAAATAGGCCTACATGTAGAAGTTAGAGATGTAGACGAGTTCTTTAAGATCTCTCTCACGATAGTTACAACACCCTGATGCTTGACACTTTTATTATCCACAAAAATAATGTAAATTAATCTACAAGTTTTGCTTTGGCTAAATTTATTGCTTTATTAATTTATTTGGTGTTTGTATGTGTGTAATCCACATTTGACAGAAAAACTACCATGTCTGTGTGTGTGTGTGTGTGTGTATGTTTATATATATATATATATATATATATATATTTAGTATATATATATATATATATATATATATTATATAGACACGTACACACACGTACAGTATTTACACGTATGTGTATACATAATATATGTGTGTATACAGTAGGCTATATAGAAGAAAAGCTGATATTGTTTTAGGTCAGGATGATTTTGACATTTGTTTATGTTTAAAGGAACAATGACTTAGACATTATACAATTGTATATTATTTTGGGACAATGAAACATTAAAATTTACAAGAGTTCCTCCAAGCAATCAATCAATCATTCAATAAAATAAAATAAAAAAAATACCGCGCCGGTTTAGAAATAAACAAGAAAACTTTAATGCGTTATACACCTCGGCTATTTGTTAAGGCCAATATGATTGTAGCCTATAGTAGGCCTCTAAAAACTTTTTTTTTTAAGTTTGCCTATTTTATAATTACATTATCATGTAACATGTAAAACTACATGCATATCGCTCTGCGCTCTCACGTGCACTGTCGATGATGCTGCCACTGAATCCGTTGCTAAGCACCCAAAGACGCCGCCGCTCACAACACTAGGGTAATTTCTGTTGACAAACAGACACTTCATCCAATGAGGATAGAGAGCACGATTGACGCGAAGCATTTAAACCAATCAGCATCTTCGGAAGGCGGGGAGAGGGTAAACAGAGAGCAAACTTGACCAAAGCAAAGCAGCCGGTAACGTGCGACTTAAATGATGAACAAGACGCGACGCATTTTAATCGCCACAAGAAACGGATTTAGTATAACCATTCCTTCCTCACAAACATTAGAAAACAGTTAAAACCGATATAATCAAGTGATTATGTTCGAAAACAGACTAAATCGGGTCTTGCGTACTTGTTCAGAGAGAGAAGTCGTTCAAACGAGCATATCTGTGATTGTCGGTTTTGACAGCATCGTATTTATTTAGACCATGTCGACTGACATAAGCCTGCACGAGCTGCTGGATCTCTCCATCGGGACGCCTGATGTCGGAGCTGTCAATTTCAACGCCCTGCACACTTTACTACACGCCATCCTGGGACACCTGAAGATCGAGAGGGTCAAAACTGCGTGGAAAGAGGCGGTTAACGAGCATGACAGCCCAGCACCGAGCAAAGCCTCCTTGCTGGAGCCGTCGAGCCCGCTTCGGGTGATGGAGGAGAGGGTACGGGGGATGGAGGAGCAGCTGCGGGCACTGGAAGCTCTTCCCACCGCCTCCGAGCTCATGGGCTCCTCCGACACAGCGCTCGGCGACATGTGGACCCTCATGCAGCTCCGCAGGAAGGCCCAGGGGAACGAGGACGGGGTGTCCAAGGTAAGAGACTGGAGGAAATTACTACTTTGGACTAGAAGTAACGTTACCATGCTTCAAAGAACCACTACACTGTAGGTTTATACCACCACAGAACACAGTTAAGTTACCATCTTACCTTGCTGGTAACACTTTACAATGAATAAGGTTCAAGTTAAAGGGATGGTACAATTTCCTTTTCATAAGGTGTAAAATAAGTCTTTGATGTCCCCATAATGTGTATGTGAAGTTTTAGCACAAATACCACACACAGATATTTTTTTATTGCATGATAAAATTGTGTCTTTTTGAGGGTGAGCAAAAACGCGCCGCGTAAGCGACACGACACTCACTAAAAATGTAAAAAAAAAAAAAAAAAAAAAAAAAAAGTGTTACCGGTATCCCTGAACTTAAGCCAGCTCCTTGTTTCCTGTCTGCCATTATTGGCCGAACTTGATTAATTCAGGTGTGTCTGATTATTGTTGCCGTGACTACTGAGGTCAGGCACACCTGGATTAATCAATTTGGCCAAGTAGTGCATCTGTGCATAAGGTCAATTGGGCATCTATAATGGAAACATGTTTTTAGAAACTCTTGCAAATAAAGGTGTTTTGACATTGATGCCATAACAATTTGGGATTCCCCAAAGAACATTTAAGTGAACAGCTCTTTAAAAAATACATCATTTTCTTAGGGTGTGTTTACACGACAATGATGCTAAGAACGGAAAGGTTTTTCCTTTGCTTTCTGGATACGTTTTACACAACAACGATATGCTTAAAACATTTTTCCTTTGAGTTTTCCGCGTACAGAAGACAACGATTCCCATTTACACGGATCCGCGAAAACGACTAAAAACGCTTTATTCTGCTGCCAGGCCACTAGATGGCGATGAAACACTATAGACTGAACACGTAATACGCATGTGCATGGCGTTTTTGTTGTTTACACGGAGATGTGCACTTTGAAACCCGTTTTCAAAAGTTTGTGTTTTCAGGACCCCAAAACGGCGTTGTCGTGTAAACGAATGGCCAAAACGCATAAGAAGTTTGACATTTTTAGTTGAAAACGGTGTTGTGTAAACAGCCCCTTTGTGTACAGACAATCAAAACAATCCCTGTTCACACAGATCCATGAAAACGAGTAAAATCGCTGTATTATTCATGCCAGGCCAGTAGGTGGCGATGTCACTTTGTAAAGAAACACAACATATAGAGTGTTTCTACAAACGACTTTACCGTTTTCACAAATTATACATATACTACAAACGACTTCACTGTTTTCACAAATTCATGTACAGTTTACACGGAGACGATAACAGTGTCGTTTTCAAAAACTTGCACTTTGAAACTCGTTTTCAAAAGTTTGCGCTTTTCAGGCCCCTAAAAAAATAACGGCCAAAACATTTAAGAGGTTTTGTGTTGTGTTAACGGCCCCTCAACTAAAAACTGTATTTTTTTAAATTATTAATTTAAACAACAATGGAAACAATAACGCTCGCTGTCGTCTCCGTTTAAACTACAAAAACGTGAATTTTTTTGAAAACGGTAACATCGTGTTCTCTGAAGAACCTTTTGTGGAATGGAAGGGTCCCATGAATGTTAAAAGTTCTTCATGGAACTATGTATACGTGATGATCATAAATTTGATATTCATATTCAAAAAGTGTTATAATTCAGTGATTATGTTTGAAAGCAGGCTACATACTATATAATCAATATGCCTCATTTGTTTGACGCTCGAAAACACAATAATGGTAGGAAGGTTGTGAATGTACATCTAATCATCATTATATTCCTCATTCTCGTCACTGATTGGTCACATCCTTACACTCTTTCTCTTTTAAACCCAAACACTCATTAATCAGGGCTGGTTACAGTTAATAAGTATTGTAAATACAATAATTTAATTAATTCATCATTATAAACCAATTTAATAGTGCCCGCCCACTTCCCACAAGTATTTTTTCCATTAATTTGTCCCATAGATTTAAAAAAAAAGTCTTTGTTAAAGCTTTATAAGGCATGAACCAAACCAACTAGTTAGGTGAGTCATAACATTACAAACTTTGATTTGAAGCAAAAAAAAGTATTTAAAAATTGGACAAAAATAAAGTCCAAGACTATGTACTATGTACGGGAAATCCCATTAAGCTTTGCAAACAACATAATTTAATTAAAAACTTTAAGTTTATTGCAAAATGTGGCATGTTTGGCTTGAATCGACTTTTCAGTACAGCATCATGGGTAATGTAGTTCCCACCTGCAAATTCCTCTATTCAACATGATTATTGATTATGGACGGCTTTAACAGAAGCAATGAGTCTGTAACTCATAAAGGTTTACAAGTTATCATTAAAAATCAATTTCTATATGGAGAAAACGAAAAAATTTTACTTCCAGAAAGTTTTTCTTGGTTCACCAGTGTGAATTTTAACAACCACAGGATGGTATTTCGGAATTTGAATGGAGATAAGGAACTCCCGCACACTATCGTTACTTGCTACTTTTAAAATGAAGTTTATTCACACACAATGTTTCGATCACACGATTTTCGTCAGGAGAATTTGAATGGAAAAAAGGTACTGAATTGAATTTTTTATTTTTGACAAAACATGAATGTTATATTTGCTCCCTGAGATGCAAATTACACTTTTCTCACTGAATATAGAACAAATTAAATTAATATTGAACTTAAAATTTGAATACTGATTGTGTAGGCTAATTTTATTATACTGAAATCTGGGAAATGAAGAGTTTGTCCACCATTGATTATTAATTAAATAGAAGAGTACTCCCAAATTAAGTTTGTTGTTGTTGTTGTTGTTGTTGTTGTTGAAAGGCAACAAAAGTCCCCTTGGAGTTGGAGTTTATGAACGTGAACGGCATTGTGACTTGAGCTGTGTTGTAGATGCGCGGGCCGGCGAGCCGCTCCTCTGTTGGGGGTCTGCGGGAGGCTGAATGTTTCATCAGCTCGAGACGACTGATGAAAGACCACAGAACAATGAGACACAGACACTGAGCCTCATTCTCAAATAACACCATCTGTGTCTCGAGTTCCACAAACTACATGTCCGTCACACTCCCCAAACCCCTGTTTCGGAGATACTTAAATATCAGTGATGGACGTCAAACAACACTTCCCGGACACACTTCACGAGTGCCGAGGGCTTGTTTTAGTCCAAACACAGTTCAGCCTGATAACATCGTGAAAAACATTGAAATTAAGGGAATGTTTACACGACAACGATTCAATAAAAACGAAATGGTTTTTCCTTTGCTCACACGGATATTCATTCCACAAAATATGAAAATGATTAAACGCTGGTGTTGCCTGGCAACAAAACAGTCCTAAAATGTATATTTTTTACCCAGTGACATCATGATAACACAGGGTTATGATCATCGTCAGGTGTGTCCAAGCATTTGTTTGGTTGTGAGTGATTCACACCAAGTTCCCCATCTATCCTAACTGTAATAAGGTGGAAGACGTCTCACATGACGCCGAGTCTGGCTTCAGCTGCGATCCCGTCTTCATAATGAAGCTCCCGCAGAGGCACGGGGAGGTCCTGCTCGTCTTTTTAATCATTAATGTTTGCTTTGGACATGTTTGGAGTCACCCATGGTTATCCGCCGGTGCCCTCAGGTGACCCCCGCTGGCCGAATCCGGGGAGGTCGGACAGGAATGAGAAGCACCGCTCAGCAATGCTGGCGTCAAACATGTGACCCATACGGCTCATTGGAGTGATGCGTTCAATGAGGAACGTCAAGGGGGGTCTGGATGGTAATGATTCCCGGGAGGGTGTGTGGTTGCATAAACAGGCCGCTCATCACACGCTCTTTCTCAGGTCTGATGAGGTTAGGGTGTTCCCTGTGATGTTCACTTGTGTTATTTTGACTGATTCAGGGTGTGGAGTGGAGCCCTGAGCCCTGATACCGGGTCATGGTTACAAAGTGACGATGCTGACTAGGTGATAAGCCGTGACAGTTTGAACTCCCCTGTGGCGTCGTTAAAGAACAAACGATGACTGACTTGTCAAACGGCTCGTGTGTGTCGTTTATATTTGCCGTGAACAGCTGGACTAAATCCTTATCATACCTAATTACCATAAACAAATGAGCTGTCAGGTTCGTAATGACTAATTGTCCCTTGCCAAACGGACCGTGGCAGGATTATAGTACCTGATGTGCTCTCTGATACACTGCTGTTCGAAAGTTTGGGGTTTTAATAAAGGCTCTTATGCTAATTCTGCATCCAAAATATAGTAAATCTCTCATATTGTGAGGTTGAATATATTTTAAAATGTAATTTATTCTTTCTGATCACTCCAGATCCTCTCCGAAATCATTCTAATAGGCCGATTTGATGCTTAAGAAACATTCCGTAACATTTTTTGTGGAAACCGTGCTACTACGATTCTTTAATTAATTGTTTAAAAAAACAACAGCATTTCTTTGAAATGGACACTTTTTGTCCACAAGTTTCCTACGCCCCATGAGGCCTTGCGTCAAAAGTGGGAGCGACTTCTGGTTCGAAGTAAACAAAGCGCGATTTGACATGCTTCACACTCGTTCATTCAACAGTTGACGGTCATTCAAGTTATAGCGATCCCAAACTAGCTAACGATGTGGGAACACAACCTCAACGAAATTCAAAAGGGTGAAATAACAGTACCTTTACCCTCCGCGGTAGTTGATTGGGAGTATTATAATAACATTATTAATAATCAATACTCATCAAGGCATGGTGACAGACAGTTGTGTGAGCTGACAAACAATTAAAATAAAAAATACACACTTAGTCATTGTGCTTTGGAGTTTATTCAAAATTATAAATGAATGTGCTGCTTGAATACATTAACTGGCACATTCTGTCAACTCAGGCGAGTTTAGGTGTAACATCAGTAGCGAACAGCCAATCACATGCTGATAGAGTTTATAGAATATTAAGAATTTAAACAAATGTACACAGGAAGATTCGTCGTCTTTTGGGAGGTGATGGAAACTACAGAGACGGGTGGCAGGATCACTCTGATTTCGTTTTCAGCTTATGTTCAAAACAATCACGTTTAAGCCACTGAATTAGTTTAGTCCGGTTATACATACAACCGCGAACAGCGCATGTTGTCCCTGAGCTCCGTAACGACATCTCTCATAAAGATTTGCGTCTTTAAATAGTGAAATAATTCTCCGAAAAACAGCTAGCCTCTTCGCTAACTAACACACAAAATACCATTGGAATGCTACTTCCGCCGCGTCACCGGAAGTTTCACCCACTTTATTTTTTACAGGAGCGCCCCTCGGAAACTTGTGGATACGATTCTAAATGTCTTTACTGACACTTTGGATTCATTTAATGGATCCTTACTGAATAAAAGTATTACTTTCTTTAAAAAAAAAATCATACTGACTTCAAACCTTTGTAGTGTATGCAATATGTATATCTGTTATCTAATGGTAATAATATTTAAGTACTTCAACATCTTATATCACTTCAATATACAGTCTTGTGAAAAAGAAAGTACACCCTTTTTAATGTAATGCTTTTAGTGTCGGAACAATAAAAATCATTTGGTCTTAAAATTAGGTAAATACAACATCAGAACACAATACACCGTGTCATTATTTAATAAAGGCAAAATGGAGAAGCCATGTGTGAAAAACTAAGTACACCCTGTGATTCAACTGCTTGTAGAGGCTTTATCAGCGATAAGATTCAGGAATCGTTCTCTGTGTGTCAGTATCAGTCTCTCACGTTGGTGATGAGGAATTATCCCGCTCTTCTTTACAACGTTGCTTCGGTTCGTTGAGGTTTGTGGGCGTCTGTTTCTGCTTTCTTACGATCTCCTCTGAGGTCTGGACTTTGGCTGGGTCACTGCAACACTTTGATTCGGGTGTTTTTCAGCCCTTCTGCTGCTGTTTTGGGATCATTGTCCTGTCGCACGACCCGGTTTCGGCCAAGCTTTCGCTTTCGGACAGTTAGGGTCACATTTGACATGGTCGAGTTCATGGTCGACTCAATGACTTGTGTTGAAGCTGTGCTTCTTTTTAGAGAGAAGATTATTTCTCCTGGCAACCCTCCCAAACATGCCAAACTTGTCCTGTCTTTATCTAATTGCACTTTAATGAACTTGAACATTTCACATGTTAACCGAGGCCTGTAGAGTCTGAGATGAAGCTCTGCTGGGACGTCCACTCCTGGGAAGATTAGCAACTGTCTTGCATGTTTTCTTGTGAATAATCTTCCTCACTGTAATGGACTTCAGATGGTTGTTATAACCATAAAGACATTATAGACATTTGACTAGCAGAGACTGATTGATTCTTACTGGGAACAGTAAGGCTGTACTTAGCTTCACACATGGCTTTTCCATTTTGACCTGGTTTTTGTTAAATAAATAATGACATGGTGTAATGTGTCATGTGTTGTTATTCATGTGAGGTTGTATTTACCTAATTGTAAGACCTGCCAAGGTCCAGATGATTTATTATTATGCCCTGATACATAAAACCATAGGATTCGTTAGGGTTTTTTTTTTTCTTTTTCTTTTCTTCACATGACTGTATATCGTAGTAATAGAATTATAAATAGTATTTTACATGGTACTCCCAAAAGCTATAATATTTCCATGGCAGGTTTTAAATCTGTTTTGTAGGTGTACTGTGTGGTGTACCATCTCATAATATGGACATGGAACTGACTAATTACTATATTCATATACCATAGTGTTTACAAGGCACTGAACTGATATAGTATTTTTATAGTATTATATATATAAAAACAGGGTATTACCAGATTTTCCCCAAAAAGGTCCAGAACCATAGTATTTCCACACCAAAATAGATAAATGAATAAATAAAAATGGTATTGCCATAATAATACCTTAAAAACTTTTGCCATATAACGAAAAATATATATATATATATTACCATGGCACATCTAAAAGCAAAATCATATTTTCATGCTATGTGTTCACAAACACTGTTTAACTCTTGTACTTCGCCCAAAAACATGTTAATAGCTTGTTGTTTTTGCTAGTGTTGTATTTTCATTGACAAGGAAGGATTGAAGAGTCAGTTTCTGTCTCGATAGTCAGTATAATAATCTAATTCATGTTTGTCATCTACATATCTACTCTTCCTCCTCGTAATAAAACAATTCAAAAGATGATTGTGACTTTTAATCTCACAATTGTGAGAAATAAACTCGAAATTGCAAATTATAAAGTCAGAATTGTGAGATATAAAGTCATTATTCTCGCAATTTTGACTTTTTATCTCGCAATTTCAGACTTTTTTTGGTTATAAACTCTCAATCGCGAGTTATAAAGAAATATACTCGCAATTCTGACTTGTTGCGAGATATAAACTTGCAATTGCGATTTATAAAGTCAAATTCTGAGGGAAAAAGGAGAATTTCTTTCTTTGAGTTGCGAGTTTATCTCTTAATTCTGACTTTTAACTCGCAATTGCAAGTTTATATCGCAATTTTGACTTTTTATCTCACAATTTCAGACTTTATTTTTCTTGCATATAAACTCAATTGTGAGTTATATATTCCATTTCTGATGGAAAAAATAAATATACTCGCAATTCTGACGTCTTGCGAGATATAAACTTGCAATTGCAAGTTATAAAGTCAGAATTGCAAGATATAAAGTCATTATTCTCGCAATTGCGAGTTTATATCGCAATTTTGACGTTTTATCTCGCAATTTAAGACTTTTTTTTGCTTATAAACTCTCAATCGCGAGTTATAAAGTCCAATTCTGATGGAAAAAAGAAATATACTCGCAATTCTGACTTCTTGCGAGATATAAACTTGCAATTGCGATTTATTAAGTCAAATTCTGAGGGAAAAAAGAGAATTTCTTTCTTTGAGTTGCGAGTTTATCTTTTAATTCTGACTTTTAACTCGCAATTGCAAGTTTATATCGCAATTTTGACTTTTTATCCCGCAATTTCAGACTTTTTTCCCACTTATAAACTCTCAATCGCGAGTTATAAAGTCCAATTCTGATGGAAAAAAGAAATACACTGACTTCTTGCGAGAAATAAACTTGCAATTGCGATTTATAAAGTCTTTATAAATACATTTATAAAGTGAAATTCTGTGGGAAAAACAGAGAATTTCTTTCTTTGAGTTGTGAGTTTATATCTCTTAATTCTGACTTCATAACTCGCAATTGCAAGTTTGTATCACGCAAATGTAAGCTCACAATTGTGACAAAAGTCAGAATTGTGAGATGAAAAATCACAAAACCTCTTTTATTTCTTATTCTGTGGCGCAAACAAGTTTCCATACTCTATACGCTAGTCATCCCTTCAGTTTAATAAAGTTACATCCAAGATAAATTTGTCCATCCAACAGAGCCTCACAGGGAAGCAAACAGCACTAAGAGTAACACAGGTTGGACATCAGGGGTTACGCAAACACATCAGAAAGAGGGCGGACAGCGATGCCACATCCTGTTTGATTCAAGGGTGATTCCCAGGGCTGTGCGCCGTCATGGCAACCTCTGTTGGGGTTAAAGGTCAAAAGTTCAGAAAGTATATTACTTGCCTTTTCAAAGAAAGAGACACGGAGGATGTGCTTAACTGATTCGGTGGTGCTCTTACTGAGTTTATCCCTCTTCAAAGTTCAGGCAAAAGGGATTATGGGCTTTTTCTCTGAAGAGCGTGTTGATTTCCCAGTTACTGTTGACCAGTAGGGGAGGTTTGTAATAAAAAAACCAAGTAAATCTTCAAAGACTGTTTCCTCCTCAGTGTATGGACTTAATCCAAGACCTTCTAAAGGAAGTCCAGGCGCTCAAAGAGTCCAGAGATGATCTGAGACAGGAAGTTCATGCTCTGAATGGTCAGCTCAGCCAGGTGAACGCACACACACATACACACACCACCAGTATCACTCATATATTCTGCTTGATAACATGTTTTCGTCTTCAGTTGAACATGAACGAGTTGGATGATCGTTTTGTGGCTATGGAGCAGTATTGCAACCGAGTGCAAGATCTGGACAACACCACAGTGAGTAGTGTTGTCACGGTACCAAAATTTCAGTATTCGGTACCAATACCAGTTAAAATTCACGGTTCTCGGTACCAATTTCGGTACCAAAGCTTAGTTTAAATTTACATATATTTAAGTGTTTATCACGGTTACAAGTATGGAAACTGTACATTTGTATTATAAACACTTTAGAAAAAGATTAGATAAAATGACCTAAAATAAACAATAGTATACACTAACACATTTTTAAAGTTGTTTGTAAAGTTTTAATCCATTATTTATTTAATGCACAATGAATTAAGTGAACAAACATGAACAATCAAGTGTTTCTATTAAATAACATTTACAAACATTAATTAATGTTGTAAAAATATATTGTTCACTCAATGTGTTGATAACTAAGTAATGTTGATAAATGGTATCTTTGTAGCATTACCATAAAACATGTTTTATTTGACTTGACTGTCATTTTATTTAATCTAAAACTGCATTCATATTTAATTTTAAAAAGGCTTTTTAAACCTGCTGAGTTATAAAGGCAAGAATACGCCTAGAACTGGCACTGACATTAAATGACAATACTAATACCAGTAGCCTACTCTGGTGTCGGGTTGGATACTACTGTGCTCATTTACTCGTAAAACTACCCCGAAAGCACTTTAGAGGCCGTTCACATGTCGCGCGTGTTTTTTAATTATATTTTTGCGCGTGCTTATTCTTTCCAAAGCGCTTGCTCTCACGCGGCGTCTGTCGTTGCTATGCAACGCCAACGAGTTTTTATTATGAGCGCGCTTGAATCGCGCCTATATTTGAAATTGCGAATTTGCATGTAATCGGCCTCTTATGGCAACGTGACATTAGCCTAATCCAAAATATTTCCATATGTGGCTCTTTCCTCCTTTCGTTTCAACAAGTGGATTCAGAGAGAGAGAGCCATATCAGCATTATAAAGAGGACTCAACTGTGCACGTTTCAGACATCGCGTCTAGAACAGAACTGGATTAACCTGGTACTCGGTACCTAGAAAAGCTGGTACCGTAACATTTTTTTTTTTTAGTACCGACTTGGTACCGAAGTACCGAGTTTTTTGACAACACTAACAGTGAGTAAGGAATGGGTCAACCAAAAAGAACTTTTCCATTCACCCTCAGGAAATTGCACAAACAAAGAAAGTCCACTGTCAAAAGTGCCCCAATGTATGAAGCCCCTTGTAAACAGAAGTTTAAGCGAAATCTGCAAATTCAAGCGAAATCTGCACACCCTCACAAGATCTCCACAAGATCCCTGTTTAAATTCCCATTGAAATAAAAGTATTAATTTCATTAAAAAATGTTACTGACCCTAAACTTCTGAACAGTAGTGTACGTGCTAGTCAGATTGTGGTAGTCACGTTGTGAATATACCTTTTCCAACTCACTAAAACACAGGTAATGAATAACTAAAGCATGAAGAATTCATAATATTGCATTATAATAGTGCGGGATTATGTTTTGTTCTTTCTGTTATGTGTTCCCTGACCTAGGCTATGTCCGAAATCGCCCCCTATACCCTTAAATAAGGGACTATTTGAGGAAACAGCCATTTGTAATGTTGTCCAAAACCATCGAGTGCACTCATTTAATCCCACAATGCACCGCAATAACGAACATCATCCCACTAAGCAAAATTACGTCCAAAAGACGTCTTTTAAAAGTCTTTGTCACAAAAGTCTGACGTTGAAAAGACGTCCACTGAGGGGCCAGAATGAAAGATTTTATGACGTCTTTTTGTGACGTGTTCTGCACGTCTGATATAGACGTTCATCGAACCTTCGTACAAGTTTAAAAACTAGTTCAAATGTGGCCTCACATATTTTAAGGTGAATAAAAAGCATGTGTACACAACATTTTAAGCAAGTGAATCACGACACACAGATATCAAGATTTTGGATATGAGTCACAACAATGGTGACAACCAAAATAAAAAAAGCTTGGGAATCAAGGATGTTTTGTACTATGAAAGCTGCCCATCATGCATTGCAGCATTAAGCTTTTTTATTGTCACCATTGTTGTGATTCATATGGAAAATCTTAATGGTACATTTTCTCAAAACATTGTGTAACATGCTTTTTATCCACCTTCAAATAAGTGATAAATGGTTATGTATTCCAGATATAAACACAAAAGTCTAAACTCAACGGTTAAAGCTCACTTTGTGTTGATTTTATCATAATCATCAAGAAGGAGCTGATAACAGCCAACTTTACATTTTCTTGGCTTGTTCTGCCACAACAATGGTGTTATACAAACACACAGTTACAACAGCCAAAGAAAAGTTAAAGAAAAACTGGGACCAAGAGCCCAACTAAAGCAAACACTGATCACAACAATGGTGACTTAACATGAAACAAATATCACCATCTAAACAATATAAGGAAATTACATTGAAATAAACATGAGTTTTAATTCAATGCATCCTGAGAGTGTTTATTTAGTCCAGAAGCAGTATAAATTGTCTAAATGAGACCATAAATAATGTTGAAAATGGCCACATTTGAACTAGTTTTTAACCTTGTACGAAGGATCCATTAACGTCTATATCAGCCATGCAGAACTCGTCATAAAATACGTTCATTCTGGCCCCTCAGTGGACGTCTTTTCAACGTCCGACTTTTGTGTTGAAAAGACGTCTTTTGGACATCATTTTGCTTAGTGGGATGGGTCTGGATGAGGAAATTATGACCGGGTTGTCCACTTTAGGGTAACTGTTCCTCTAAAATGATCGAGATTTGTGAAACGATAACAAGGACTTTATGTCGTCAGAGAACGAATGTGTTTTGTTTATTTAGAAAATGCTGAATTACATTTTTCTTCTCTCTTAGAAAGAGCTGAAGGACAAGATGGCCCAGTACCCAGTTCCAGAGGAGCTCAATCAGTGCGTCAAGTGGGACGAAATGCGGGCAGCGCTCATCAGCGAGAGGCAGAAGATCCAGGAGGCACGTCCCGCTGTAATCACTCAATACACAGCAGGAAGTCAATTTAGTGTGTCCTGTAGCTTTCAGTAGCCAGTAACCTTTCACAACCATCCTAAATCTCACAGGTTCTTATCACAGTCATTGTTTTGTCAGAGCAGGCGGCAGCTGCAGTTGAGGCAAACATTGACCCGAAAGAATGATTTCCGAAATGTAAATGCATAACCAACATCTACAAACAGAAACTGAGGCCAAAAAACCAAGACATTCATCTCAGCCTCAGGTGGCATGAACTGTGCTTTTGTAAATGACATTCCCTTTTGCGTTCCCAGGGGTTGCAGGGCACAGTGTCCGCCGCTAAAGACAGTGTACCGGTCCTCCCTTTGAACCTTGGTAGCCCGATGAAGGATGACAGACCGGGTACAGGTGGCACAGATGGTGTAGATCTCTCTCCTCCACATCAGTCCCTGTCTGACGAGGCTCTGTCCCGGGTCAGCGTTGGGGCCGAGCGCTACCCGGAGACCGTAGAGGCGCTGAAGGAGGTGGGCAGACTACGAGACAGGCACGAGAGTCTGGAGACCCGTGTGGGACAGCTGGAAGCAAACAAGGCTGATCGGACCCAGCTTCAACATCTGCAGGATCTCCTCACTGCAATGGGTACGGCATACACAGCAGGGTCCCAACCGACAACATCCTGCTTTATTTCCATTATTCATTAATAATTCGAATCACTTTGATAATTCACAGTGACCACACAAAGATGCCAATGTTTTATCACAGTTTTATTTCAAGTTTTATTATACATAGAGCCAGACCGATATTATCGACCGATATTGGGCATTTTCCAAAATATCGGTATTGGCAGTTATAATGGCTGATAAATGAATATTTAAAAAATCTAATAAAAACGGACGAAACACGCTTCAATCATCTCTCCTTGGCCTGTTATATTGAAAATGTATGTTTTACAATTTGCAGTATGATGTTATCTATTGCTAAATTATGGTTAATCATAGACTAGCTAACCACAAAGCTAGGTAATGCCACTATCATCAGTGGAAGACCGCTAACGTTAACATTAATGAGCTTGGAAACCACAATGAACTTTTTCTGCCTAAATAAAGTAATGATTACTGTATTTATAACTAGCATATCTCTAGTTACAGTCCCTGCATTGTAAAATGTAAGTTATACTTGCGAGGAGTGAACATTTAGACATAGAGAAAAAGTATCAAACGTTTCTTGTGCAGAAAAGTTTGCTTTTCTTTTACATGTGTGTGAAATCCGACAATATTTAATAAAAAAAAATATCGGCCGATATATCGGAATATCGGATTTTAAAACCCAAAAATATTTGTATCTGTATCGGTCGGGCTCTATCATGTGGATTCCACCCATGGCCCGGATCTGGGCCGACACTACATTGCAGTCTGGGATTGAAGCAACACTATGTAACATTTTTTAACTTAAAATAATGTTTCCAAAATCTTATCAGTGGTTCATCAAGTCATAACTGGGTGAAAGGCACTTCTGCCGTCGCCTGACGGGGTCTGTATCGCTTTTACTGGCACTACGAAACTCCGGGGTTCGGGTAGTAACCCGACCACAAAAAGAACTACAAAATTCGACTGCTTTACGTCAAGCGCTATAATAGTCATTATTTAGTTTTTTCTTCGTTTCTGATGTCGCAATACATCATCCTTTCATGAAATCATGTAACATACTCTACCTTGTCTGTGAACATCGTTCATTCCAAAGCCGGTGCTGGATAAACAGCGAGCCTGCGTGCGACGGTAGGCTAAACTATTTACAACAGCGGTAATGCACAATTTCGTTTCTGACCAGTAGGGCGACCAAAGAGGAAAAGTTCCATGGTGTTGCTTTAAAGGGATGGTTCTGTCTTTATTTACTCACCATCATGTCATTCTAAACCTATGGCTTTCTTTATCCATTGAAAATAAGATATTTTGAAGACAGTTTTTCCCATTCAAAGGAAGACAATGGGGTCCAAAACAACAATACTAAAAACGATTGACTCTTCACTTAGAAGCCACCGGTGTCGCTAATGGCAAGGGTTTCTGAACTCTATATAAAGCCCCTTTAATAAATGGGGATTACAGGCATAGATATCTATATAAAAGCTAGATGTCTCACGGCGGAGTATTTATCGTCATCACCGGCGGCCATCTTGTCACAGATAGGCTTTCTGGCGGGCTCTGTGGTATCTGATGTAAGAAATACTCTTATCTCGTTGAAATCTTGACGGATTTACAAACGGTTTGGTTTCTTACAAACGTTATTAACGTGACTATAATTCTGGATGATTATTTATTTATACACTTATCATTCATAAGTATGCAGTATCATAACTACATCTCTGCCGTTTATAACAAACAAGACCGTTGGAAAATCGGTAGAAAATTGAGCAAGTTACGGTGATTTAAAAAGTACATGCACCGTTAAAACAATGTTACCAGTGAGCGAGCTGCCTGTGACAAGATGGCCGCCAGGTGCAGACGTCGACCTCCATTGGCCAGCAGAGCGGACAAGATATCTAGCCTTTATATAGATATTTAGATGATTACAGGCACCTTCATCTGCATTTTACACCTGCAAATCAATCAACTATTGACAGGTTAATTATAGATTACAAAAATGAATTACATGCAGGTATTTTAAATAAATACAGGGTCAATGTAAAAGCATGTATAAGTGCATTGTATCAAATTATTAATTCAACACTTAATATGAAGCGGGTCCCAATTTTTAGTCACAGGCAAGTTGCTTTTTGTTTCTGACATTTTCCGTGACGTCTGCAGGAGAGCGGCAGATTCCTGACCATGTGCCAGAGCAGCTGAATCATCTGAGGACTCTTGTGGACAGTCTTCTAGAAGATAAAGAGAAGGTACGAGAGCAAATAATCAAACTAACTATAAATACTACACCCTGACCTTTCATCTCACCCTCTCTTTTAAACACTTATTAGGGTTATCAGATTATATGATAGTCAAGTGCCTCTGAAGGCTGTTTGTTTTCATCGTTACAGTTTATGTAATTATTTAAACAGAACTACCCTAGACTTCTATTGTTGTAAAAGGGGAAGTGTGTAATTTGTGTCAGTCAAACAGATAGTCCAGCTGAAACTCATCCCGGTGACTTAGCAACCACTGTCGAGATGCTCAAACAAACAATGTCGAGCAATGTATTGATAGAGCCACAATGACACACTGTACACGTTTCAGCGCAACTGGGATAGGAGAATATATTTGAAGGTACACTATGTAACAACATTTAAATAATGAGTCAATACATCATCAATCCTTCCTCAAAATATGTTTTTGTCTCACCCTGATTCACTATAGTAACCTAGACAGCAACATAGTGTCGCCATCTGGTACGTGCCGGTGTTCTGACGATTCATGCTACCCATTGAGATTTGTGCAGACTCAGTTTTGTTTTTTTTTTAACAAAAGGTACATTTTCCTGTTATAATGTATAATTTCCCTTTAAAAAATGCTTACTACCATATGAATATTTGTACGGTCAGCCAGCTGAAAAAGAATAACTGAAAGTTTCAGTTACTATGAGGAAAGGTGTACTTTGACAAGTCAAAGACGAATATTTTATGATAATTTTTACTTTTCGCACCGTTTTAAAAATAAAAACAGTAGTCTACAGTATACAGTAGCTACTCATAACTTAGAATTGTATTATAATTGTCTTTCATACGACTTTAATCGGCATTCTGTGATCAATTCGCGCTACGGTAGCATTTTTCGACAAGGCAGCAAAAATCGACAGAACACCGGATCTGGGCCGACACTATGTTGATGTCTGGGAAGCATATTATAAGTGTTTATATTTTAGATGTTTTTCGCGGATAATACAAAAAATGCTCTTGGTGAGCAGAAGACGTCCACTCACGAACATTTTAAACATTTCCCAACCCCAAACTTTTGTACAGTTGGAACGGAAATGGAAAACAAATTTTATAGATGGCTTTTCCAAATATGATTTAGACAATTTGTTAAAGTTCTGTTCCGAACGGTTGTTTTCCACTTTATTTTTAAATTCTGCAAATGAAATGGTTCACTCAATTCAATTCTGAATGACACTCAACCCATGGTTTTGTCGGATTTATCTTACTTCTGGCAAAGTGTTTTTCATCAATTTTATCTAGATCAAAATCTGCAGCTGTTTGCGCGACACCGTTTTCAACTAAAACATACGATTTTTTTTGCGTTTTGGCCATTCATTCCAGACTGATCTCATGAAGTAGCGTGTGTATGACACGCCAATTCGTATTTCCATTTTTGGCGTGCTATCAAGACGCATAATCGCTTTTCAGCGTGTTTATGAACGCCGTTGACTTAACGTTATTACTGTATGTATAAATATATGACTTACCTCAACCCTAAACCTAACCGTCACTGGGGTTAATGGCATTTATGACTGTTCCCTTACCATCCTAGGAAAAAAAAGATCGCTCCCCAGATGTAGATCTACATTTTGTTTCGTTTCGCGCGGACATTTGACGGCGTGTACAGACACGCGGAATCAGACGTTAATGGTGTAGACATTCACGCATACACGCGGATACACGCGGATAGCTCAAAATGCGTAGAGATAACACGCTTCACTCGAAAGTGCCGTGTATGTTTACGTAAAAGTCATGATGTCATGTTGCTCATTTACACGTCAAAGGCGTTATAGGGGCCTTAAAACGCAACTTTTGAAAAATGGGTTTCAAAGTTTTTTAAAGCGATCTCAGTGTAAACAACAAAAAACGTGAATCTCCGAAGACGATGACGTCATGCACAGGCGTATTACGTGTTCAGTCTATAGTGTTTCATCGCCATCTAGTGGCCTGGCAGCAGAATACAGCGTTTTTAGTCTTGCGGATCTGTGTGAATGGGAATCGTGTTGACAATGGTGTCGTCTGTACGCGGAATACTCGAAGGAAAATCTTCTCCGTTTTAAAGCAGCACTCTGCAGGATGTCCGTTTTTGTCAAACTGTGACCCCTAGAGTCGCTGTGGAGTACTTGTACACTGCCCTACAATGCAAAAAGGCAGTAACTGCATTTTTGGTAAAACATTAGTTATTGTCATTTTCATGACATTTAAGGCATTCTTTGTCATGCGCAGTGTTGGGTGTAACTAATTACTAAGTAATTAGTTACTGTAATTTAATTACTTTTCCCTTGAAAATGTAAAGTAAGGGATTACTCTTAATTTATCTGTAATTTAATTACAGTTACTTCTGATGTAATTGAGGTAAATACTGTGTATAGATCAATCCGATCTCACAGCGATTCATATGCATTTTATCGTACGATCGCACTCGTACAAATTCGTATGAATTATTGTAAAATATGTATGAAAAAAGTGTGAAATGTCTTGAGATCAGACATAAAACAATAGTGGGTTTAACTTAAAAATGTATTGTCTGATGTTAAAAAGTATGTTTTTATAATGTAACCTTCTCCACCTCGGACAGTTTAAGGATAATTCATGCAATTTTATAGTATTTATTTGAAAGAATTAAATCAGCTTCATGTCTATCCTTGTATTTTTCAGCTGGTTGAGATTGATATGAGATTTTGAAAGTAATTGAAGAGTTCAGATGCAAAAGCCTCTAAATACCATTTGAAATTTTCTTCTTTAATGATGATTTTTATCAAACTTGTATATTTAAGTTCAGTAATTTCACTTAAATAACAATTAATAGGTAATTATCATTGCCATTTAAGTGAAATCACTGAACTTAAATATACAAGCTTGATAAAAATCATCATTCTAGAAGAAAATTTCAAACGGCACTTAGAGGCTTTTGCATCTGAACTCTTCACTTAGTAATTAAAAGTAATTAAATACTTTTTAAGGAGAGTAATTAGTACAGTAATCTAATTACACTGTTGAAGAGGTTATTAGTAACTAGTAATTAATTACTTTTTTAGAGTAACTTACCCAACACTGGTCATGCGACAAAACATCTTATCTCAAATGTGTGTCGTTTAGGAGAAAAATTGTAGTCGTTTGTACGGTAACTGCAAAAGACGCCCAACATTAAGCATATCGTAGTGTAAACGTACCTTAACACTCAAACTTGTTTTATAGACTTATGTTGACTTTCCATAGACATAATGATTTTTTTTTCCCTCCCTAACCCTAAATTTACCAATAACAGAAAACTTTCTGCATTTTTATATTTTCAAAAAACAAAACATTTAGTGTGACTTATAAGGGTTTTTCCTCATTGGGACTAAAAAATGTCCCCACAATGTCAAAGTTTTCTGGTATTGCCATCCTTTTGGGGACGTTTTGTCCCCATAACTTGGGTTTACCAGGCCACACACACACACTCACAGAAGCAGCATGTGACAGTGTAGATGACTCCTGTAGGTGTCAGAGGTGGAGAGTGTGTTGATGAACATGAGCTCAGACACTTGTGGACGGAGCACAGGTTCAGCAAGCGATCAGGACACAGACGCCTCACAGATAGAGCATCTGACCCTGCAGACGTCCAACATCAGGTACTAGTGATTAACCAGAGACATGGGACAAATCAAAACGTTTTTTGGGCATTTAGTGAGTCAGAATTGGTCCGAGCGTCGTAATGTGAGTGCAGTGTCAGAAACAAGATGTGCAGATATACTGTGGATATAAAAAGGACACACCCCTGTTAAAACAGATGGTGTTTGTCAGATAAATCATAAATTTAATGTAAAAATGTATAACCTATGCAAAAACCAAAGTGACATTTCAGAGAAAAAAGATAAAAACAGAAACTTATGCTATTTTAAAGGCTCTTGATTTAGGGGTTACACACATTACACTTTAATTTTCTCTGAAATATGTCATTGATTAGGTTCGTTTTCCATTAAAGGTCCAATTGTTTGTTGTTGACTTTTTATATCTGATGTACAATTATACATTTTTTTTTTGATGTTTTCTTACTTTCTCACTTTGTGAGGACATTCTCATTGCTGGGAGAATCTGGATATAATGTTGCGATATCAGAATCAACTTTCTAGAGAAACTCATCCCACTTGTTTTTTGTACTGCAGAAGTGATTAAATTAGAAAAGCAAATGCAAACATTTTGAGCCCTGTGTACATCACACACACACTCATACAGGATTGCAGTGCTGAAGCTGGATGAGAAAGTGCAGGTTCTGATGAGAGAGGAGAGTGACAGAGTGGAAGAGAGAAGCAGCCAAGACAGACACATACAAGAGCAGGTCAGACCTCCATCTACAGGGCTGGGCCATATATCAAACACCATTATAATATAACAAATAATTCACAATAACCTATATATCGCACAGCCCTGTTGTTTTAAAACCCTAACATTGGGTTATTATTTTTCCTTAACTTTATTTTCATTGTTTTTCTTTACGGTTCACCTGTAGTTAAACAGCCTCAGGGTTATGATTGAGGAAGTGATGTCCTCCTCATCCTCTCCACTCTCGAAAAGTCAACAGCAGGAGGCAGTGGAGTTCAGCAAAGCAGCAGCACATGTCCAAAGCTCAGGCCAGGGTCAGCCTCAGAGTTCAGGTCGGGTTCAGAGTTTAGGTCAGGGTGAGAGTTCAGGTCAGGGTCAGCCTCAGAGTTCAGGTCGGGTTCAGAGATCAGGTCAGAATCAGGCTCAGAGTTCAGGTCAGGTTCAAAGTTCAGGTCAGAATCAGGCTCAGAGTTCAGGTCAGGTTCAAAGTTCAGGTCAGAATCAGGCTCAGAGTTCAGGTCAGGTTCAAAGTTCAGGTCAGAATCAGGCTCAGAGTTTAGGTCAGGTTCAAAGTTCAGGTCAGGATCAGGCTCAGAGTTTAGGTCAGGATCAGGCTCAGAGTTCAGGTCAGGGTGAGAGTTCAGGTCAGAATCAGGCTCAGAGTTTAGGTCAGGTTCAAAGTTCAGGTCAGGATCAGGCTCAGGCTCAGAGTTTAGGTCAGAATCAGGCTCAGAGTTTAGGTCAGGTTCAAAGTTCAGGTCAGGATCAGGCTCAGAGTTCAGGTCAGGTTCAAAGTTCAGGTCAGAATCAGGCTCAGAATTCAGGTCAGGTTCAAAGTTCAGGTCAGAATCAGGCTCAGAGTTTAGGTCAGGTTCAAAGTTCAGGTCAGGATCAGGCTCAGAGTTCAGGTCAGGCTGAGAGTTCAGGGCAAGATCAGGCTCAGACTTCAGGTCAGGTTCAGAGTTCAGGTCAGGATCAGGGTCAGAGTTCAGGTCAGGATCAGGGTCAACAGCAGAAAGAAGGTCACGATCTAAACCAGGAGGTCAGTCAGTTGCCCAAGAGTTACTACAAACCACCGGAGGACAAGACCACTCACATGAAGAATCAGGAACACTGGGACAGGATTAAGGTACATGACAGACAGGGACAGAGATTAAACAGAGATTAAAAGAGTCTATATTTAGTCTTCTTAAGAAACATTTGAGACAAAGTAGCAACATAGTGTCGGCCCAGATCCGGCCCACGTTTGGCACTCGTGGATTCCACACGGCCCATCTGGCTCGGCACTATGTTGAAACTGAAACTGTTCCGATAGATCGGTGGGAATGTCCTCTGTGTTTGTGTGATGTTGTGAAATGTGTGTTTGGCTACAGAGCACTGATGCGGCGAGCGATGTGGAGGGAGTGTTACTGCGGCTGCAGGCCGACAGCGAGAGACTCCACAGCACATGCAAACGCCTGATGGAGGAGCACAGCGAGAAACAGATCCACATCGACGTGAGTGAGAGCAGCACAGCTTGTGTTCATTTACCACACAGATTCAGTTGCTTATTTTAGTACTCGGTAATATTAAATTATTGCCCTCTTGAAAAAGAAGTACACTTTAGAAATTACATACTTAACTGTGAACTTAAAGTGATGTTGCCAGACACTTAACTGCATCCCAATTGTAATTAAATGAAAATTTATTGTATTTAAATTAGTGCTTGGTAATGATTAATCGCATCCAAAATAAAAGCTTGTGTTTACACAATATATGTTTGTGTGTACTGTGTATAATTATTTTACATATATATAAATACACACAAATTCGTATTTATTGTAGAAATATTTGCTTGTATATACTGTATATTTATAAAAAAAATTATATAATTTTTAAAATTTATATACAAATAACAAATTTTTCTTAAATATATACATGCATGTGTGTGTGTATTTATTTATATACAAAATAATTATACTCAGTACACATACATATAGTATTATGTAAACTCAAACTTTTATTTTGGATGCGATTAATCGTTGCCCATCAGTAATTTAAATTTAAAGTATATTAACTTTAAACGTAATATTGAATAACACTCTACAGTTTTAATTATAATCAAGTACTTTACACCTGCTTGAGTATGTTAGTAATGAGTGCACTATAAGTGCCCTTATTTTGGAGCATGACAAAATATTTTTAAATTATATATATATATTTTTAATATATATTAAAATATATTAATATATTATTTTTAATATATATTAATTAATATATTAAAAATATTATTATTATTATTCAAAACCTAGTGAGCTACTCTAGGCAATATTTTAAGGCATCATAGGCACATCAACCATGGCGGCGAGGTATTAATACTTTAAAAATACATTTAAACTTGCGTGACACCTAGCAACAACCTACACATCCCAGCATAAACGCTACCGATAAATTATTTGTTTTATCCCCCCCCACACACACACACACCTTTATAATCACCAAAAAGTTGTCACTCATCTCAGTCTAAACTTCCAGACAGCAACATAGTGTCTGCCCAGATCCGGCCCACATCTGGTACACATTAGAGCCAGACCGATATATCGGCAGACCGATATTATCGGCCGATATTAGGCATTTTCCGAACTATCGGTATCGGCAGTTATAATGGCCGATAAATGAATATATCAAAAACAAAATAAAAATAGATGAAACACACTTCAACCATGTCATGAGTGTTGGAGTTGTATAGTTTGTCCACCAGAGGGCATTCTACACCGTTCCTGTTGGCAACACTCGTTGAGCTGGTCACGAGACATACATTGCTTGAATAACAATTAAAAGAACATACCCATTAGTTCTCTAAACTCAAATAAGCATGACAAAATTTGTGACTATCATGTCCAGTTTAAAATAAATAAATAAAATATCGGCCGATATATCGGATTTTAAAACCCAAAAATATTTGTATCGGTATCGGCCTTCAAAATCCTTTATCGGTCGGGCTCTAGTACACATGCATTCCACACGGCCCAGATGTGGGCCGGATCTGGGCCGACACTCTGTTGCTGTATATAATCAATGAAACTGACTGCACAATTAATCTCTTACTCAGCATACATTATGTCTACACTTTGTTTGTTGTAAATTAACGTATAACCAGGGGATTTGCAAGCAAGCTGTGTGTGGATCTAACTTAAACACCTCTGATTGATTGGCCACTGCGTTCAAGAAATCAACAGAAATGTTTGTGATTGGCTGCATTGTTCAACTCTGCAAAACACATTGTAAATAGAAACCTTTGTATGTCCATATGTTCATTTTTAATGTTATCGTTATCGGCATTTCCTATCGGAAAATGATCTTAAACCGATATATTAAGGCCAATAAATAATGGATTATTTCCTTCAGCTGAGACGCTTCAGAAGCGCACTGTTCGCCGTGGTGTTTCTGAATTATGCTTGAATTATGATCGGAATCGCTGCAAAAAAGGAAAACGCAGTTCAGCGCAAGCCTGTCATATAGGCTACATAACATTAAAACGAGAACATCATTTTTTAATGGTGAGACTTTTGTTTTTGTAATCAAGCTCTCAAAAATGATAAAAATTTGGACTAAAAATAACAAAATATCGGTTATTGGTCAAAATATCGGTTATAAGTATAAAGAATTATCGGTTATCGGTATCGGCCAAAGTTTTCATATCGGCGCATCCCTTGTAAGACGTACTTACACTTAGACACATGCCATGGTATATAGTATATAGTTATAATTATTACACTCATGTCCAACTCAACCCCTTACAAAATGCACTTATATATGTGAAATGCATGATGATTTACTTCCTGTATGAAGCGCATCTGCTCAAGTTGTGGCTTTTCCAGCGTCTGTACAAGGTTTTGGAGGAACTGGATGACAAAAAGGCTGATAAGGAGCTGTTGGAGATGAAGATTGAAACTGTGAGTTGTGTCTTTACACAGTTCTTTAATATTTCCAGTCCATCTGCCATCTGTGTGGTCCCCCATGGGATACTCTCGTCTCTTTTCTCCTCAGAAAGCAGACAAACGGGCTCTGGAGAGCAAGGTGAGCCGCATGCAGTTCGACAGCATGATCGAGCAGCTCAATAACATGTTACAGGAGCTGCTGGGGAAGATCAGCGGGCAGGAGAAGGACTGGAACAAGCTCATCGAGAAGATCTCCACTGAAATGGACTGCAAGGTCAGAAGCAGGGCTGTTGGCACAAAACTAGTCTTTTAACATCTGGACGTCTTAAATCACTCACTGATAGGATTGTTCTAAATTTTACATTAATATAACAGCTTTTTTCTATAAGTTAAGTGTGGTATTATGTTCATATTTCCCATTACAGTAATGAGATGAGAATGAGATTTTAACAGGAAATGTGCTTGATTGCCGGGATTTTAATCCGAAAATAGGCATCATTTCTCGTTTTGGCTTTTCACTTTATATTGAGGGTCTTTATCTACTATTTTAATAATATTTTAAAAGAATCATTTTAAATAATTTGTGCTATTTGTATTTTGAGATGAATAACTGAATATGTTTTGGTGAGATTCAACCAGTTGCACTTTTTATTAGTTTTATTTCATTTTTTATTATAAAAAATATAAATATTGTGAAATGAATGTGCTATATTTTAATTCAATGTTTTTTTTAATTAAATATTTTGTACTTTTAGGGGATTTTATGATACTAAAATATATTTATGTAGACCTGAACATTTTTATTTCTAACTTAAACTGTCGTAAATCGTGAATGTTTTAGAGCACAGACTTGAGTTTGATCTCTTTTCAAAGACGAAGATTAGATTATTGCTGAAGTGAAAAAGGTAAAAAAAAAAAATGTTTACGAAGAAATTTGTTTATTCTTATGAAAAATGCCCAAAAATACTATTTTCAATTTTTAGATGAAATATTTATATATTTTACAAAACTTATTTTACTCAAAACAAAACTGACAGAATATCAAAGCTATTAATCTAAACAAGTTGTGTTCCACATTTGAGCTTCATATCTCAAAAGATGAGCTTTCAGTCAGATTTAGTTTGGCCGCAGTACCACACGTCTCCACTAGATGAAATTAATTTCCAATTTGCCGTCGTTTTGATTAACCCTCAGGTGCTCTTCCTTTCGGAGTCACACTTGTTATCTTCCACGGTCAAAAGTGACCGGACACCTAAAAACGAAACTTTCTCCATCCCAGTAAAACCAATGCAATTTATTTTTGTTCTATAATATTTATTCTTTTTAATTTAGTATTTTGAGACAATTTAATTGAATTTATTAATATTTATGCAATATTTATGGTTTATTTTTGCAATGGAAAAATATATATATATTTTTCTATATATATATTATTTTTTCCAAAAAAATATTAATGCAGTATTTTAGTTTAATATAGAGTCTAGGCCTTCAGAAAAAAAATATTTTTTGAAGAAAATTAGCACCATCTGGTTACAGTATAGAGAAAAAGCGTAGAATCGTGGTGTAACCACTTGATGGCATGTACAGCTCTCTATTGAGAGCCACATTTTTTGTTGTTGTTGTTGATGGATTTGAATATATAGCTGAAACCATCTCAAAAACTATTTCTTATAAAAAAAAATGACAAAAAACAAAAATTTGCAATTTTTTTTTCCATTTTTTTACAATTTCCCATTCATTTCCTATGGGGGTCATTTTTGACCGAAGACCACAAGTGTGACTATTTTTTTAAGACCACTTAGCATGCTCAGATCATGACCTACATTTTTTTTGTGTGTTCACATACATAATGCCATAAAAGTCACCAAGTTTCGTAACATCGCGATGAAGCTGTGATTTTTAAAAATTCAAAACATACTTTTTGTAATCAAAATTTATTGGTGTGTATGTGTATAAAAGTGTGTTTGTATGTGTGTGTGTGTTGTTGGGTGTGTCTGTTTTGCACTCTAGATGTTGTAGAGTGTCACCCCTTTCCTGCGGTGTACTTTTTTTTTAGAATTGTGGCCGATTTGTAGATTGTACACACAAAAATTCTCAAAGTTTTTGTGTTTTTGTCAATTTCCCATTCATTTCCTATGGTCGGTCATTTTTGACCGAAGAGCACAAGTGTGACTATTTTTTTACGACCACTTAGCCTGCTCGGATCATGACCTCAATTTTTTTTTGTGTTCACATACCCAATGCCATAAAAGTCACCAAGTTTCGTAACATTGCGATGAAGCCGTGATTTTTAAAATTTCAAAACAGGAATTTTTTCGGTCAGAAATGACCGAAGAGCACCTGAGGGTTAAGAGGGGCACAAGTGTGACTATTTTTTTCAGGACCATTAACAATTTTCGAAGCATGTCCATGATTTTTTTTTGTGTGTTCACATATCAAGTGCCAAAAAGTTAAAAATGGCTGAAGGTCACCAGAGGGTTAATCTTGGCAAATCTTAAAGACCCCCTGAACGTCCATCGTATGTTGTTGGATAGAAACAAGTATTTTCTGTAACGTGTATGATTTATGCTTTAGTTGAACCGGATTGAGCTGGATCCCCTGAAGAAACAGCTGGATGATCGCTGGAGGAACATCCACAAGAGTCTGCAGACACAGTCCCTCCCCGAGCAGGACGACGCCGCCGGACTCAGGAAGTGAGCGACCAGGTTCACTTTAGACATATAGACCTAGAATTTTGTCTGTGAACTTTTTTCGCGGTAGCTCTGTATATTTCTATGGCATCGCTGTCGAAGAGTGATTCATCCTAAAGTTAATGAAAGTTATCATGAGCATTGTAATGTCTAAGACAGATTTCATAACAATCTTCAGTCAGTCACTATCTGAAGAACATGATGATGCTTGTATGGAAACAAACGTTCACTGTCTTTGTCTTTTTCTCTTCGTCAAAGACAATTAGTGGCCCGGTTTCACTGCATCTCCTGCGATCGTCCAGTGGAAATGATGACACCAGGACAGTACGTACTTATTATACATGACCGAATTATACATGACACACCTTGTTCTTGTCACAAATCATGAGTTATTTAGACAATGACTTGAATACACCTCCTCTACAATGACGTCGTTTCATTTCCAAATTAAAATAAATATGTAATAATAAATACAATTGAAGAGTTCAGATGCAAAAGCCTCTAAATGCCATTTGAAATTTTCTTCTAAAATGACCATTTTTATCAAGCTTGTATATTTAAGTTCAGTAATTTCACTTAAATGACAATTAATAGGTAATCTTCGTTTCCATTTAAGTGAAATCACTGAACTTAAATATACAAGCTTGATAAAAATGGTCATTTTAGAAAAAAATTTCAAATGGCACTTAGAGGCTTTTGCATCTGAACTCTTCAATTATTAAAATAAAAGCATTAATCAATAAATAAAAAATTATATTGTCTTGAGTAATGCAAATTTGAGATATTTTAGATAATAGATTTGAGATATTTTACTCGTAAGATTTTCTAGGGGTGCCAATAATGTGTGTTCGAGAAAACCATTTATTTCATCATAACGTGATTCCCCCCCCCTCCCACTTTCAATTCTTTTACTTCCATGAAAGGTTAGCATTTTGCTATACACACATGGTTTAAAGGATTAGTTCACTTTTGAAAAAACTTTTGCTGATAATTTACTCACCCCCATGTCATCCAAGATGTCCATGTCTTTCTTTCTTCAGTCGAAAAGAAATTAAGGATTTTGATGAAAACATTCCAGGATTTTTCTCCATATAATGGACTTCATTGGGAACCAAACGGTTCAAGGTCCAAAAGATAGTGTTTATAACAGTTTCAGATGCAGCTTCAAATGTCTTTAAACGACAGCAGACGATGAATAAGGGTCTTATCATGCGAAACGATCGGTTATTTCAAAGCTTATTCCAAAAATGTAACTTTTCTAAGGACAAATGCTAGCCTTGCTCTATTCTGTGAGGTGCGTTTGTAACGTCACGTAATACGTAATTACGCTCAAAAGGTCACGGGCGACGTAGCCGGAAGTACAGAATCAAAATCGTCCGACATCGTTGTTTTACCTTTTAATTCCTTTTTTATAAACGCCGTTTGAGTTAGTTTGCACGTTCAACCTATGCGTTCAACTTGTAAACACTGACTCTGTACTTACGGCTACGTCGCCCGTGACCTTTTGAACGTAATTACGTATTACGTGACGTTACAAACGCCCCTCACAGAATAGAGCAAGGCTAGCATTTGTCCTTAGAAAAGTTACATTTTTGGAATAAGTTTTGAAATAACCGATCGTTTCACATGATAAGACCCTTATTCATCGTCTGGTGTCGTTTAAAGACATTTGAAGCTGCATCTGAAACTGTTATTAACTGTCGCTTGGACCTTGAACCATTTGGACCCCATGTAAGTCCATTATATGGAATGTTTTCATCAAAAACCTTAATTTCTTTTTGACTGAGGAAAGAAAGACATGGACGGTGAGTAAATTATCAGCAAAAGTTTTTTTAAAAGTGAACTACTCCTTTAATTCATGTCAAGTGATGTAACCCTAAAAAACTCAGTGATATTTATTATTAGGAATCAATATGTCTATGTGTTAAATATATTTGTAAGATGATTTCGATGGTTGATATGCGAATGTTTGCAGGCTCATTTCCACCCTGCCCTCGGCCCCAGGACTGCCCTCTCACAGGTCCAGCCGGCCCTACTCTGTGTACGAGCTGGAGCAGATGCGCCAGCACTGCAGGAGGTGAGACACACACACACACACATTTACCACTGCCTGTCCACAAGAGGGACTCAAAACACAGCCGTACTTCATCCGTTCTGCAGATCCCACACACTAATCCTGACATGGACCCCATCGATCTGTACCGCAGCCTCCTGCACTCTAGAGGACGCTGTTCGTGGAAATGACAGAAAACACACTTAGTACACTTTCTAAGCAAAACATTTCACAGAAACTTAGATTTCAAATTATCCAGAGCTTCCCCAACAAATAAGAAATATTCGTGTGTGCTTTTAGTATACTAAGAGTATACTTTCAGTCTTTGTATGTACGTACTTATCAGAGATTAACTTAAGTGTGCTATTTTGACTAGTCTAAGTATATTTGGCCTGTACTTGTACTTAATCTTTTGATCAAGATATATTTAAGAAAAGCATATTTTTTTATCGAGTTTATAATAAAAATGCATATAAAATACATTTATTTCATACTAAGTACACTAAAATTAACATATTTAGTGACATATCGCTTGAGACTTACTGATGTAATTATAATTAAACTTTATGTGGAGTACTTATTTATTTATTGCAGCACATTTCTCAATATTAAGCCTAAAATGTGTTATAAATGTGGAATAGTACGATCTGTGTATGATATCAGTCTTTAAATGAAAGATATGTATACTTGCAATAGTTCTTAAGTATATCTCTAGTTTAAACTTCAACACTATTTCTGGATAACTAAAGTGCATTAAGCTCAAAATTAGTTCAATTTAGCAGATTTTAAGTATATCAATTTAGTAAACTATAAACTATTTACATTAAGTAGATAAATGTGTTAATGTATTTGCACTATACTTTGCATAAAATAAATGTATTTCAAAATATTTTTCACTAGGGAAAGTCTCTTATCTTTATATACCCAAATCATTAGCATCAATCCACTGGTAGTGTATAAAAAATACTAAAAGTAAATGTATAAGAACATTTCAGGTTTATTTAAATAGAAACTTAGACTATTTTTCCTCAAGAAGTATTAAAATAGTACATCTACAAGTATACTACTAGCACATTTATATAAGTATGCATACTACATGAAGTATACTAGCAAAATTGACTTTAGCTTGTTTTGAGAGAGGTTTGGCACAGGATGAGCGCAGACATGTTTTAATGTGCAGGCAGATAGATCAAGAGCCTAGTCAGTTTCCCACATCAAGGACACCCAACAGCCTGCGTTTGCCAGAACTTTCTCGGACCGGTTACCGGCCCACCTCGGGCCCAGGAAAGAGGAGCAGCCGGACCCCGAGCAAGCCGTGAGTTAGACTCGTGACACGCAGAGACAAGGTTCCCTAGGTAGACGTCAGTCTAAAACTCTCCTGTAGTTACTCTGGTACATGTTCTGTGTATCTCCACTCTAATATAAAGGTTCTTTATTGGTCTCTATGGAGAACCTTTAACAGCCGTATAATCTTTCCATTTCACAAAAGATTCTTTTTTTTTTTTAATTAAGAACTGTTCACTTGGTTCTTTATGGGACCCTAAATGGTTCTTCAATGGCATTGCTGCGAAAACCCCTTTTCGGAATCTTTATCTTTAAAGACGTGTTCATACTGTCAGTCCAAATGAGATTTTTGTGCATATCCGATTGGAATCTGATAATATTAGCAAGTTAGAATGACATTTTTTTATTTACAAATCCGTTTCAAGCTACATTCATATCAATCATTACAACTCTCTAAACAGTTTTAGCATCTTAAAGGAGTAGTTCACTTTTAAAAAAGACTTTTGCTGATAATTTACTCACCCCCATGTCATCCAAGATGTCCATGTCTTTCTTTCTTTAGTCGAAAAGAAATTAAGGTTTTTGATGAAAACATTCCAGGATTTTTCTCCATATAATGGACTTCAATGGGAACCAAACGGTTCAAGGTCCAAAAGACAGTTTCAATGCAAACTGTTCAAAGGGCTTTAAACGATTCCAGGCGATGAATAAGGGTCTTATCAAGCGAAACGAGCGCTCATTTAAAAAAAAAAAATACAAAGTTTAAGTTTTATAAGTTCAAATAGTGGCCTTGCTCTGTTCTGTGACGCGTGACTCTCCTATTTGAACTCGTTCATCAAAATGAACAAATAATTTCCAGAGTAAACTCGTTAGAGCCCGACCGATAAAGGATTTTGAAGACCGATACGAATAGTTGTTGGTTTTAAAATCCGATATTCCGATATATCGGCCGATATTTTTTATTTTTTTTTCAGAAACGTGCAACAAAACATTAACAGATTTCCCTAACATTAGTTATTTGTAGTTATGTATGAGTTTTAACTAAAATAATATGATAATGCATTTTAATGCATTTTTGAGTTGGTCTCGTGACCAGCTCACCATAAACACACAATACCGATGATCTCACTCACGGATAACTGGTTCTCTCTGCCCGAATCTGGCTGGATCAGCAGTTTGCAGAATGTGTGGCGCGTTATAAACGAGTGTTGCCAAGTGCCCTCTGGTGGACAAACTATACATCTCCAACACTCATGACATGGTTCAAGCGTGTTTCGTCCGTTTTTAATTTATTTTTGAAATATTCATTTATCGGCCATTATAACTGCCGATACCGATATTTTAGAAAATGCCTAATATCGGCCGATAATATCGGTCTGGCTCTAAAACTCGTTCATTTCGTTCGTTGAATGAACCAAATGACACGAAAAAAGATTCGTTCATTTTGATAAACGAGTTCGAACAGGAGAGTCACGAACAGAGCAGATCAAGGCAACCATTTGAGCTTATAAAACTTAAACTTTGTTATTTTATTTTAAATGAGCGCTCGTTTCACTTGATAAGACCCTTATTCATTGTCTGGAATCATTTAAAGCCCTTTGAACAGTTTGCACTGAAACTGTCTTTTGTACCTTGAACCGTTTGGCTCCCATTGAAGTCCATTATATGGAGAAAAATCCTGGAAAAATCCCTTAATTTCTTTTCGACTGAAGAAAGAAATACATGGACATCTTGGATGACATGGGGGTGAGTAAATTATCAGCAAACGTTTTTTTTTAAAAGTGAACTAATCCTTTAATACACACACATAAATCCTGTAGCAGATCTGTGGAGGTGGAGGAGCTACAGCAAACACTGAAGCAAGATATTTGAATGTTGAGCGAGCAATCTCATTGGCTGCAGGGTCAGCAGAGGCCAATCCATGCGGTGATGATGTGATTGGTTGCAGATCGCGTGTAAAGGACCGATCAGCCGGCGCCCTCTAGAGTTTCACGACTGAATTAGGTTTATGTGGCTTATTCAAATCACATTTCTGTAAATCTCTTTCATCGGAGATGGTCGCACATATCAGCCTCCTACATTTCTGCCTTTGCTTCATTAAGCCCAAATTATGCTTCACTGTTTTTTACGCGTAACCCAGGATCCGTGCACAGTGCTTGTGGCGTGAGCAAACCAGATCTGAAATGTCGTGTCAACAGTCAATAATTCAGATCGGATACACAATTAATCAGATTTGGACTGACAGTGTGACGTAGTCTAAGAGTTGAATGTTGTATTCAGTGAGAGGATCCCAGAAATGGCGGATTACAGTTACCTGGCCCGTAGCTGCGGGGGCAGTCACACCCTCACCTATCCCAGCCGCCGCTACACCCGCATTCAGCACTTCACACACCTGATCCAGAGTGACGAGGAGAGTCGGCCCGTGTCCTCTGGACCGCCCACACAGGTCTGACGCGTGACGCTCACACAATCATTCTGAACTGTGTGTGTGTATGAACCGTGAGCTCTGTCCCTTCAGGCCGAAGAAGCGAACATCATGGGTTTGAACGGACAGGTCTACAAGGGCCGAATGAACAGCAGGGCGGTGAGGCTCTCCGAGACGAGATTACCCACCATCTCTCCTCGAGAAGGCAAGATCGCACAACATCTAGCCTTAACATACACTAGTGGCCAGAGGGTTTTAAAGGGATAGTGAAAATTAATTTCAAAGTGAGCTATCCCTTTAATGACCCTTCGATTTCGATTAAACCATCAACATATAAGGAATATGTTTTAGCGGGGTAAAGACAACACACTACCTTTGGTTAAGGTTATTAACTACCAAATTATTAGGCTCAAACTACAGCTACACAAATGTACAAACAAAAAGCTCAAGGAAAGTAATCATACATTAAGAAAAATATAACCAGTCATTAATATTTCATTGGTTTTCATTACATTACCATTACCGTTCTCCTGAGCATTGGCTCAAGAAGCTTTGTGCATGATGTGCCATTTTCACTAAAAGCCATGCTGGGAATAATGAGTGTGAGCTTTGTCAGCTTGGCCAAAAATGATGTCTGCACAATTTGGCATGTTTTCATTGCGTTGGCTCAAATAAAACAATTGAAACACAGCGTGCATGCATTAAATTGATAGTTCACCCCTTTCTGACATCACTTACTCACCAACACATGTTGTTCCAAATCTGTGTGAGTTTATTTCTACAGTTCTGCCACTTTCGATCACTTCCAGAGGTAGTTGAAAACACATTTGACCAGATTGCTCTCGTAATGTAAACGCAAACTGCCGCAAAAACACAGTCTTTTCTTCGTTTACTGACCTAATGCGTGAACATTATCGGGAGAGCGCTAGCCAGACGGGATTTAAACTTTGACGGCTGGAGACCCAAGTTCGGTTTGAAGATGAAAAACGTAGCGAGCGCAATGTTCTCTCACCATTCCTGGTTTCTAACACACAGCGTTCGGCTGTTCTTGTGGATGTCAGAGCAGAAACGAAAGCTCATGTCCTCCACATGTTTTCTGTTGTCTCCTGTCGTGTTCATATGTAAATTGCGTGAGCTTATTTTGTCCATCAGATCGAAAGATCTGAAAAAAAAAACCCATACATTTACTAGGGGTGTAACGGTACACTTGCGTCACAGTTCGGTTCGATACGGTTCGGTACGTTTCTGATACAGCAAAAAGAAAGAAACGCCAGAGAAATTTCCTTGACTTAATTTTTTAAATTATATTTTTATTAAAACTAACATCATAAAGTATGTTTTTTTTTTACTTTCAATATTGTAGTAGTTCTAAACAAAGGTTTATTTTCGTTCAGATCAGCAATTTTATTCATAATGTCAAAATAAAACCGACGTGATGTTACTTGAAAGCGTTATAGCCTACTATTCCTGCCAAACTTCCATGGTAACAATTCGTGTTACTACAGTAAATCCATGGTGAATGTTGCTGATCTGTGGACACTGGATAGTTCATTCATAACACAATGTTTCTCCTGGTTTCCACATCAGCTCGGTTTGATTCGTTAATAACGGAGAAATGTGAATGTTTCTCACTAGATCTCGCAGCGATGTTATTACTTAAGTTGCGAACTCAAATGTTTTCTTTACTGGATTTGGCTGTGTAGTAATAGTGCTGCTGATGATCAAGATCGGCTCGCGCTGCATTGGTCCAAACTGATAAACGGTCCGTCAACCACACAATAACAAGTAGCTCAGTTTCGTTCCGCTTACATTACATTTGCCATTTGATGTTGAGCAATGTTGTGATCACACCTCTTACATTATGAGCGCGCTTGCCACGCGCGACGCGCCTACATTTGAAATAACAAAATTTTGGTCGGCAGGAAAAATGGCCCAACGAACCGTTCGGTTCAAAAATGCGTACCGAAAACCTCGTACCGAACGGTTCAATACGAATACGTGTATCGTTACACCCCTAACATTTACCCACCCATAGACCCTCTCGAAGAACTCAGGAGTGAAGCGGTTGAAAGTGGACAAAAGAGACGGGTTAAAACACCAGGTGTATTTTAGAGCCAGACCGATATTATCGGCCGATATTAGGCGTTTTCCAAACTATCGGTATCGGCAGTTATAATGGCCGATAAATGAATATTTCAAAAATAAAATAAAAACGGACGAAACACGCCTGAACCATGTCATGAGTGTTGGAGTTGTATAGTTTGTCCACCAGAGGGCGCTCTACACCGTTCCTGTTGGCAACACTCGTTGAGTTGGTCACGAGACATACATTGCTTGAATAACAATTAAAAGAACATCCGCATCAGTTCTCTTAACTCAAATAAGCATGACAAAATTTGTGACTATCATGTCCAGTTTTGCTGCTGTTTAATAAGCCGAGAGTGACGCGGAATTAGCTAGTAACAGCTAGTTGTTACAGTGTAGTTGATTGACTGTCCTTTTAACTTTTGACAATGTGACTGAAGTATTTCTTTAATAGCGCGTGACAGTTATAGCAAGGAGACATCTCTCTTTGGCCTGTTATATTGAAAACGTATGTTTTACAATTTGCAGTATGACGTTATCCATTGCTAAATTATGGTTCATCATAGACTAACCACAAAGCTAGCTAATGTTCTGTTGTGACAATAAAAAAAAGTTTCTTTTTAAAATGCTTTATCTTATTATTTTAGTTAAAACTCATAAATAACTACAAATAACTAATGTTAGGGAAATCTGTTAATGTTTTGTTGTGCCTTTCTGATAAAATAAAAATAAAAAATATCGGCCGATATATCGGAATATCGCATTTTAAAACCAAAAAATATTTGTATCGGTATCGGCCTTCAAAATCCTTTATCGGTGAGGATCTAGTGTATTTTACATAATTATCTTTAACATACACTATAACGAAAAAGGGACGATTTTTGTTGTTGCCGAGTTCGATTTTCTTGTGTTGGAAACTGTTCATTGATGGTAGAAGCTTCTGTTGTGTTCGGGACAATACGGGGGCCAGCTCACGACTCGTTACGTAACACATCTTAACATGAACCCATCTGTACGCTTGGCCCACTTTTCTAGACTGCGGGGGAGAAGGCGAGCGCCCCGGGATCAGACTGCAATATACAGAAGATTGCGGAAACTTTGATTTAGAGTAGTTGGTTGCGTTGTAATTTTATTCAGAATTGAGGCGAAAGGGCAAAAGGATGGGGGAAGGGGGTTTTATGTTTCCTTGCTAAATTGCAGAGCTGCAATGAGAAACCATTGGGAAGTGACAACAGACCTGGAGGAAAATTAATCTCAGATCTTTGCTCTTCATTGGGTCACCGAATCAAGGGAAGGTGGTTGACAGTCGAAACGAAAGACACCTGCTTGGCAGATGAGTCTTGGCATGCTTGACCGAGCAAAAGTTTGGCAACTTGTCTATTTCATGAAGTAAAGAGATGATGTATGAGAAGATGAGTCCAGTTTTTAAGGTCAGATGTTGCTGTCTGTTTCCCAACAAAGCAGATGTCTTGATCTTGAAGATTCATAGAGCAACAATCATATATAAACCTTTTAAGACAGACCATTATACCATTTCTGATTCAGTTACATGATTATCAGTGATTCATGCGATAAGCATTTCATTTCCTCATAAAAGACATCAAGGCCTGGTTTCACAAACAGGACTTAGATTAAGCCAGGATTAGGCTTTAGTTAAATTAGGACATTTAAGTAGCTTTTATTAATGTGCCTTAGAAGAAAAAAAAAACATTACTGGTGTGCATATTGAGACAAAACAATGGCACGGACATATTTTAACATACAGTATGTCCGGTCTAGTTGCTTTCAGTTAAAACAATTCAAACATTCAGACTTATAGAATTTGTTCACCCAAAAATGAATATTCTGTCATTAATTACTCGCCCTTGAGTCGATCCAAACGCATAAGACTTTCGTTCATCTTCAGAACACAAATAAAGGTCTTTTTAATAAAATCTGAGAGATTTCTTTCCCTCCATTGACAGCTACGCAACTACCACTGTGACCAAAGTTCATGAAGAGATCGTAAAACCAATCCAAATGAATTGAGCGGCTTAGTCCAAATTTTCTGAAGAGACTCGATGGCTTTATATGCTGAACAGATTTGATTCTGCACGATCCTCTCGTCCGTTAACATAGTCAGGGTCTGAATCAGGCTCGAAATGGTTTGAAATTGATTGTTAATATTTACATCCGAGTAGACCCAGATAGCAAACTGACATTGAATCAACATGGAAATATGACATCGAAACAACGTTGATCTGACATTGTTTTGCTCATCGAATTAACGTTGAACCAACGTCAGACGCGTCATTCTTTCAAAACTAACGGAAAATCAACTTGAAATCAACGCGTTGTTTCAACGTTATGAAAGCAAACCAATTTTCGATTTCATTTAGCTTTGAAGAATGCCGCGTCTGACGTTGGTTCAACGTTAATTCGATGAGCAAATCAACGTTGTTTCAATGTCATGAGAGACGTCGTTTCCACGTTGATTCAATGTCAGTTTGCTATCTGGGGAGCTTGCGGTTATGAAAGGGCGGGACATTTCCCGAACACACACTAAGGCCGTGTGTCCACCAAAGCGTTTTTTCACGCGCCTAGCGTATGTTTTCAATTATTTGGAATGGAAGCGCCGCGTTTTTTAAACGCCATGAGCGTAACGAGGCGCCGGCGTTTTTTACTGGTCGCCGAGAGTTGAAAAATGTTCAACTTTGGATAAAACGCAGCGCTCATCACTGTCACTTTTTACCCAGCCGTCCAATCACAGTGGAGGAGGGGTGGGACTAAACCACACTGACCAACTGTCACAACATTCAAACTGCTGCGGATATCCTGTATCATAGCAACGAAACGAAAGCGCCCAAAGCACGGCGTCTTCAGCAGAGCGTCTAGCGTTTTCAGCTGGGTGGACACATGGCCTAAGCGCAGCGAATCACAACACACTGTTCCAACTGACCAATCACAGCACATTCGTATGTCGGAGTTGTAATAATGTAAAATATGTGAAAAAGAAAGCGTTTTTTGAACAATCAAGCATGAAAACATATTCTAGTACACCCCAAAAACAAAAGGATATAATAGGACACACGCACAGCAGTGAAGAATGTTTAAGTTGGCTGTAAATGAACACGCAAGCTATTTTAGTGACAAGGCTAACAGTGTTGAAGGGCTGGTAACACTGAGGTGCTGTTCTTGACCTTTGAACTTTAAATACCCTGTCTCTGCCCAAGTTGAGGCTCACAAGGTTATGGCCTGTGCTGTGTGTATATCTTCTCCATGCCTGAACTAACGGAGACGTCAAATTAGCCAATGGTAAACCAAGTCAGACAGCAGCAGCACGTGTGAAATGATCGGCGGCGTTTGTCAAGGCATGTATCAAACCTCACTGGTTTTCGCATGTCAAGTGAACATGCTTGAGCTTCCGTTTAGCACAACTGATGTCATTCAAATTGTGAGTAAAAGCCTAAATTGAATCTGTTCAGCATATAAAGCGATGGAGTCTCTTTAGAAAATTTGGACTAAGCCGCTCAGTTCGCATGGATTAGTTTTACGATCTCTTTTTGAACTTTTTGAAGCGTCAAAGTGGTAATTGCGTAGACTGTCAATGGAGGAGAAAGCTCTCAGATTTCATTAAAGGGTACATATCATGCTTTTAAATTATTCATTTTTACATATAAATGAATATATAAATGTCTATATAAAGCATAACTGCAATGCTTGGGTCTGAATTCCTCATTATTATAGCTCCACAAGCCCCTTTTCTACCCCTTTTCTGATGTGCGTCTGTGAGCGAGCCGTTTCAAAGCGGCCCCTTTAAATAAAAAGGAGATGCGTCATACCCCGCCCGCTCTCCAGGTCGATGAGTTCATGGTCAGTTCAACTCCCCACGTTCGGCCATTATTGTAGTTTGATTAGAGATATACGATTATATACGATACCTTCAAAGAACATTTTTATTCACGCGTTAATAAAACGTCAACAACAGAAGACTTGTCCATCAAGCCTTACATATTCGAGCCAGAGCGAGCGAGTTGATAAAGACGACGACGAACCTGCAGAACAACCTCTTCTATGGATATATTGGTATGCGAGTTAACTGTTTTGTGTTAAAGTCGACTATTTCTCTTGTTAAAACAAGCACACTGACAAGATAAATGACTACGGTCTAATCTTACCACAAACAATCTATATTGACAATATGATACGTTTAGAAAAGCATCAGAAAACACAGCAGCTAAATGACCATTGATGAAACTCAAGAACAATAATACTGCAGACGTGTAACGTTACTTCAAAACAAAAACAAAGAAAGACAAAGGTACTGCTAAACCATGACCACACTGTGTTTTAAGAAAGTAAAGTACTTTATTTTTATTAACGATATTTACAGCTTATCGAAACGCTCTGTTCGTCGTCTCCAAAGATAGAAGGAATTTACCTCTCATTCAGACGAAGTCGATCGGCAAACCCTTCTGTATACTGGCGGAGGTTGTTGAAGTGGAAATCCTTGAAGTGCTTCAGGTCACTAACGTACATCCAACAACCGAACATTTTGACTTGCCCTCTCGTAACTTCTGCATCATTGAGCTCGGACTACAAAATCGGAGCGAGAAATAATAATGGCGGATTGCTGGAAGTGTTGGGCCGGTAGTCGATGTCCTTATTTGTCAGTTCCGCTGCAAACACGGTGACGTTGTAGTTCAAAAAACGTCATAGAAAACAGAAAAATCTGAACAGGTTGAAAAATATGAGCAAAACAGAATATAAAGATATAAACGAATACGTGAAGATAATAATTTCATCTTTTCTGTACTTATAAACACTCCAAATATACAACAAAATGCATTTAAGGGCTAAAAAGTGGATTTAGCATGATATGTCCCCTTTAAAAAAGATCTCAATTTGTAATCGGAAGATGAACGAAAGTCTTATGAGTTTGGAACGACATTATGGTTAGTAAATGATGGCAGAATTGCATTTCTGAAATGAATTAATAGATCTAGACAAACACCGCTGACTGACTTCAGGAACAAAGACGACTGATTAAGGTCGGTGTTGCTGTCACTGCCCTCATGCCTGACATGTGGATTGCTGATGCTGTTGCAGGAAACTGGAAGAGCAAAGACAAAGTGAGCCGCTCGCAGTCCCAGAGGTCCAGTGGAAGTGCCAAGACTCAGCACAGCCACTCAGGTGGGCTATGAGGAGCCGGCTTTAAAGGGGTCATATTGTGCTTTTTCAGTGTGTAATGTTGCTGCTTGAGTATAAAAAAGATCTCAAAGTCCACTCCGAAGGGAAGATATTTTATTCAAGAGAATCCACTACAACAAATGGCTCGTTTGGACTACAATGCGATTTTTCCGGACCTTATGAAGTCATGATGTTCCTCATTTAAATAATCTCCGCCCACGGAATATGCCAAAAAGTTGGCGAGGCCTGGTTGAGCTGCGCTAGAGAAAATTAAGGCTCAATCCCAATTCACCCCTTGGCCCTACCCCTCCGTTTTGCGCGTTCACGTCTAGGGGTAGGGTTTCCCGATTCTTCTTGAGATCGAGGGGTAGGGCGAAGGGGTAGGGGTACATAGCCCTCGAAACTGAGATTTTTCAGAGGCACTCCAAACGGAGGGCTACGAGAAAGTTCACGGAATGCATCGCAAATCACCGGCGAGATGGATCGCCAACGGTTAAACATTTAAATTTAGCGCCAGATGATTCCACCACGCACTTTATTTACTCTTATATTAACACTATAGTCGTTTAAATTAACAAATAGTATAATAAATTACCTTTCCGATTAGAAAAGACATACATTTTGAGGAAGGGATGTTATAAACATCATGTTTCCTCAAAGTTAAGAGCAGCTTCGCTGATTGTCAGTTCAAAAACTCGGCAGAGCCATCGCCGACGACTGATAACGTATCGGGTTCATGAAGGGTTGTTGCATTTCGTAGGGGAATATTTCAACCCCTTGGCCCTTGTAACTCCGTTTTAAGGGCCAAGGGGTACACTTGAAAACAAGGGGTGTTGTTGCTGTTTTTACCCCTGTAAAGGTTTGTCCCAAGGCTGCGGAACTTAAGAGAGGTTAAAACGTATTTTTAACAATGTTCCTGAACATTATAACCTCAACTTTAACACTAGTCCTTTCACTCGGCGGCCATCTTTGAGACCCCTCTCGGTCATGCAAGTGCAGCTCTTATCTTTTCGAATGGGGAACATCAAATTCTCCAAAACTGTCCGCCAAGCGCACGATTAAATTTCATACCTGAAATCACCAATAAAATCTGACAACAACTGTCTCATAAATATTGTTTCTAAACGCACGAATCATGACAAAAAAATGACATTTTTCAGGCTGGATCAAGCTAATGGGCATGCGCAGTGGAAGCGCGTCTGACCGACTCTGGAACAGAACAGCAGCTGCAGTGACACGATGACTTAACCAATCGCTGATTGGCTCTTATTTAGAAGGCGGGGCTTATTCCGCCATATTGAGCGTTGCACTTTCTCCCATTCAAAACAATACGAGTGACGCGTCTTGTGTTACTCTATATCTTTGCTAGCATTACAGTATTTATGTAGTGTTTACTTTAGCTTTTGTAAGACTGTTCACCACACCTTAAGCAGGGGACACACTTAACAACTGTAAGGCGATTATGAATGTAATTTGATACTTACGACTGATCATGCCCAAACGCGACGAGTCAGAGTCAACTAGTTGCGTTCACTGTCAGTGTTCAAAATCTGCTCCAGTCGTTGGAAACAGTCTGTAAGTGTGTTCAGTTCAGTCTTAGAATGACGTTAAGTGTCCCCAGCATTATGAAAATTATCCATGATTTTGTGATCGATTATTGTTTGTATTATCATAGTTTTCCAAAAAAAATATCATTAATAGTGGATAACATAATTTCAATAAGAAAAATACACAAAAAAAACAGCCCACTCTGAAACGTCCTGTGAAAGCCGTCTTCGGAAAGTCCGTGCTTGAATCCGTTCTGCACGATCCTCTCGTTCGTTAACATTGTCAGGGTCTGAATCGGCATGAAATTGTGTGAAATTGATGCCATTGCTAATCTATACATCTGAGTAGAGCTCGTGGTTATGAACGGGCTGGACATTTCCCGAACACAGACTAAGCGCTGCCAATCACAACACACTGTTCCAACTGACCAATCACAGCACATTCGTATGTCGGAAGGCGGAGCTTAAGTGAAAACGACACGTTCCAACAGTAAAATATATGAAAAAATAATGCGTTTTTTGAACAATCATGTATGAAAACATATTCTAGAAATGATCAGTGGTGTTTGTTAAGGCAAGTTTTTCATGTTTAAAGTTAAAGAGAATTAAACTCGACCCACACTGTTAATTCTACAGAAATTAATGATTATTCCCTTCGCATTTAAAAAAAAAAGAGTATTTATTATGGAAATGATATATATAATAGTAATAATATAATAGTGTGAACTGAATGTTAATGCGATTTGGGATGCTTAACTGCATGTTTATTCCAATATAAAAATGTATTACAGTTTACATTTATGGTCAACTAAATTAACATATGCTTTAATGTCATTTCTAAACATCCTAGTGTCATGGCGGTGACTTTACTGCACAAAAGTACATTTAATTTATATATATATTTATATATAGCATTTTTAAAGGTCAGTGTCTGACAGATGCCTTGCACGTTTGCCGGTTTACGACCTCCAGTTGTACCTGAAGCAGTTGAGTGACCTTTGACCTTTCACCTCTGCCATCCACCACCACAGCTTCCAGTAACTCAGTGAGGGATCGACCCCCGTCCTCCGTGGACTGCCTGTCACAGGACGTCCCGCTCCAGTCCTCATTCCATGACACCACCACAGAGCGCAACAAAGACTTCAACCAATCAGAAGATGAGCCGGTGACATCACTGTAGAGCTCCTCCAATAGGAGCCGCTCCATTGTTTGAATGAAATGTTTACAGCAGGGCTCTGTTCGTGTTCATCTGTAACGTCAATCTAAATAAGATGTAATAAACCCTCAAGTTATATCAAATACATGAAATATCGTTGGTCATCCCATGTGGTTAGTAACTCGCTGTCCCAATCTTAACCTTCTCGCAGTGTTGATCTGAATCAGACCCAGTGCTTTCAGTCCGTTTAAACTGGAATAGATTGATGTCAGCACTGATCTACCTCTTGAAACATGATAGAGACCAGTGTTGAAAGCATGTTTATATACGCAGTGAATTATTGCACTGAATGTCACACATGTATAAAAAAAAGTCATTAAACATTCATCATAAACATAACTGAGGTCTTGTGTTGAAGTACAATGCAGTTGGTTTAAGTTTTGTTTGGTTGATGACCTTGCGTATTTACTTCCATTTTCACTCCATTTCCAATTTTTCCTTTTTTGTGGAATAATCTGAGGTAAAAAAAAATTGGCACCCCTAGAAAATCTTACGAGCAAAATATCTCTGAAGTATATTCCCATTAATATTTACACTTTTTTTAGCACACCAGGGTGACTAGGAACATGAAGTTGTCTAGCTATGACTTCTTGTTTCACAGGAGTTTAAATTTGAGGAAGCACAAAGGCCAAATTCCCTTAATCATCACAACGAGTAAACCAAAGGATATAGTTCTGATGTGCAGCAAAAGATTGTATCGAAACGAACATTGAAATCAACACATAAATGTGTCACTGAGCACAGAATGAGATTCTGCCATGTCCGTCCCAGTCCTGAACGCTACAGAAGATGAGTGTGCTGAACTGGAGAGGAGAAGCTCAAACACGAACTTGTGGATCTGGAGAGATTCTGTATGGAGGAACGGTTTCTGATCTCCAAACTCATCCGGCATTATAGGAGAAGACTCTGAGCTGTTATCTTGGGGAAAGGGAGGTTCAAAGAATTCGTCCCAACGTGTTTTGGAGAAAAACGAGGACATGCTAAATACACAACTAAATAGGCCTGCGTAATATAAATTCTGTTTGCACTTAAACTCAACCCTAAAATTTACCACGTAATAGTGATACAGACATAAAGATTTCGGATATGACTCTCAACAATGGTGACAACTAAAACAAAAAAAGCTTGGAAATCAAGGATGTTTTGTACTATGAAAGCTACCAATCATGTATTGCATCATGAAGCTTTTTTATGTCACCATTGTTGTGATTCATATGTGAAATCTTTAGGTCTGTGTCTGTAAACATGCTTTTATTCACCTTCAAATAAGTGAAAACTGTAATGCTACTAGCCCAAATAATGCAGTTCCACAAGATTGATGGTTATAAATGCCAGGAATAAAAACAAAAGTCTAAACACAACATTAAATGCTTGCTTTGATTTTGTCATCATCAACAAGGAGCTGATGTTCCCACTAAGCAAAACGATGTCCAAAAGACGTCTTTTCAACGTGTTTGTCACAAAAGTCGGACGTTGAAAAGACGTCCCCCGAGGAGCCAGAATGAAAGTTTTATGACGTCTTTTTGTGACGTGTTCTGCACATCTGATAGACGTTCATCGAACCTTCGTACAAGTTTAAAAAGTAGTTCAAATGTGGCCATTGTGGACATCAACATCATTTATGGTCTCATTTAGACAATTTATACAGTTTCTGGACCAAATAAACACTCTCAGGATGCATTAAATTAAAACTCATGTTTATTTCAATGTAATTTTTTTTACATTGTTTATATGAGGCTTAAAAGTTTTTTTTTTTTTTTTTTTAAATCACCATTGTGGTGATCAGTGTTTGCTTTAGTTGGGCTCTTGGTCCCAGTTCTTGTTACTTTAGCTTTTCTTTGGCTGTTGTGTGTTTATATAACACCATGGCTGTGGCAGAGTAAGCCAAGAAAAAGTAAAATCGGCTGTTATCAGCTCCTTATTGATGATGACAAACAACACAAACTGAACATTTAACGTTATGTTTAGACCATTTATAACCATCAATGCTGTGGAACTGCATTGTTTGTGCCAATAGCATCAAAATGATCACTTGTTCAAAGGTGAAAAAAAGCATGTGTACACAATATATTGAAAAAATATATCAAGCCTAATAACAGTGAAACAAACTTGTTCTGTTTAAATTCCGTGGTACAATTTACAGAGGATCTGGAAATAGTTCACAACACAATTCTTTGTACAACTTGAATTTGTGCACATTTGTGTAGCAAATTACAAAAAAATGGACCCATGAATGATTGCTATGAACAATTCGAAATGCAAATGTCCCTCTTCAGAGTCACATTCACATTAACTGTTTGGAAAAGAGCAGCATGAACGTTCATCAAAACATCTTCTGTGTCGGTAAGGGTTTGGATCGACGGTGAACCATCTCATGATACATCAGGCTTACATCCAACTTGTGTAAACATGTCCTAGTTTCAGTCACCACAAGTCGAGTTACTTTCAAGAAAAATAACACTTCACACTAGTCATTAAATCGTTTATTATGACCTTAATATAAACACGATGACCTCCAAAATGGTTTCAGATCGTAGCTTTTTTGTCAGACATATAAATACAAATCTCAACGAGGGAAAAGAACAGATACAGGAGGGAAATCGATACAAAAGGTTGTTCGCCAATGAATTGGTTTCCTCGAGTGTGTGTGTGCGTGACAGTACAAAACAAAAACGTCCTCAAAGAACCGAATCACCGTCCAGTAGTGTCGATGACATCCCGATGCTCCGAGATCTACGGCGGCCCGACTGTTCAAACAGTCATTGTTTGAGCGGAGAGAAAGGCTCGAGAAAGTTGGCCGCAGTTGCTGAGGGCTTCGGACGGAGCGACAGCTGAATAAATGGAGAGTTCTCGGACCTCAAGGCACTCGAGACGTTTGTTTAACTTCACACTCGCATTCCTCTTAGCAGGAAGTGACCTACTCTCTCACAACACGCATCTTCACCCTTCAGAAACCGGCATTTTAGGTTTCGTTTTACATGATAAACAATAGCGAAACCAATTGGAAGACCAAACAATTGTGTGTCATATCGATACACCCATGTTTTACAAAACCAAGGGTAACTTACTTTATGCGTTTCACGTGCATTTTCTACGTCGAAATGCAGAGGCTGGTCGGTGATTAAATGAAAACTCACCGGATCCACAGCCGCAGATGAAGACAAAGCTGTGAGGCGGACCTCGTCTCTCAAAAACGACAACAGATGCATGTAAATTGTTCGTGAAAGTTAACCCAAGAATGATTTTATGAACATTTACAAATTAATTCGGCTTGTGAAAACAAAATTAGATTTCAATTTTCATTTAAACTGAAATTGATGTACAAATGTGTGTGTATATAGCAAAAGTCAATAAATCAAATTACTACTGAATTAAAAATGTCAATTTACACAAAATTGCTTTTGTGAATAATTTATTAGTTATAGTAATTTATTACATTTATAGTAATTTTTAACAAAAAAAAAAATGTGTCTTTTTGTCAGAGCGTGCAACGCATGTCTCGCCTCACAGCCTTGGTGTCGGTCTCTGCAAGTGAGATGAACGGAGTCGTACTAAACCACAAACTCAAACGGCAAAAGTGATTGTCTATGATGAACGAATGAAGTGAAGTGACGTCATGCGAAACTAAAGAAACGGGCCAATCAACGTTCAGATCTACTCAGCCATTCCGCTCTACACCTTCAGAAAAGCCGAGAAGTGACGCTAGATCCACTGAGACGGCCGAGTCGAGTCCGATGGGTTTCACACAGCGGTATTCGAGTCTCTCTCTCTTTTTCACACACACACACACAGGTCCGATCAGAGGTAGTGTGTGGATTCCATGAGCTGGACCTCAAAACGTCACACCGCTCATTACATATCAAACAGGAAGTATTTTAAATTCTCTGCAGGGGAAATAAAAAAACAAACACTTTTTATATATAAAGCTTGAGTCTGTATTTCTCCACCACAGATTTAGTTTAAACACAAGAATCTTTCCTGATGTACACGATAAAAGTTGGGAACTTATCAAACAAAAAAAAACAAAATTAAACATTGCATTTAAAGAAGTCATCATTACTGAAAAAAAAAAATAAACCAAACCAAATCAGGGCGTCTTCATCTGAAACAATTCAGACCAGGATTATTGCAAAACTGTTCCTGGTCATTTCCCGTTTTTTTGTTTTTTATATATATATATATCTAGAACAAAGATTTGTTTTTATGATTCACAATAACTTCAACTCAGCATCTCCATTTTGTTGTTCGGAAACAAACAGACGATAGTCGTATAACAGCCTCTGTTAGGAACTCAACAGAACAACTACGTCTACAGAAACATCATCATCCTCTTCGTCCCGGGACGCAGAACAGCACGACCACATGATGCGACCTCCATCTTTACAGTCCGTCGTCCACTTTATTGCGAGTGTGTGTCTCCGACACGCAAGAACAAAAAGAGCGGCGGTCGAAGATTCGCTCTCTCCGGCCTGAATCCGTGGCTCGCCCGGGGGAGAGTTGAACGTCTTTTCATACCTTCCATAATTTTTTTAGTTTTTTTGTCTCATAGTGGTTCTTTCCCAGGATCAGACTAGAAATGAAATCGACGGTTGATAAAAGAAAACACACACACACACAAAAAAAAAACGAGATCTCCGAAAGGAAGAGAAGATTGTTCATCTTTAGAAAACTGAAAGAAAGAGTACCGTGTCTTTCACCATCGGCCATCCAAAAGTCTCAGTGGGCGTGTCCCCGTCGGGAGTCTCATCTCCGGCCGGTCAGGGCTGACACCACGGGCGTCTGCGGGCCGCCGGCGGACTGCGACACGGGGGGCCACGTGAGCGGCTGGTGCATGTGGTGGTGGTGGTGGTGGAGTGTGTGGTGTGCGGTGGGAGAGGACGGGGGCAGCCAGACGGGCTGGTTGGGCGGCGAGGAGGCCCAGAAGGAGCCGAAACCCTGTGAGGAGGAGTGTGTGGGGGGCGGAGGAGGGGAACACGCCATGGACACCTGGGCGGAAGAAGCGCCGGTGGACTCGGACGTCCTCAGCTTGGAGAACATGGTGATGGCGTCTGGGAAGTTGGGTGGCGTGGCTGGGGTGTTGCGTGGAGTGCACATCTAAACACACACAAATCATCAGATCAGTTTGAGAATAACCCAGTTTAAAACATGTAGCGTTAGTTAACTCAAGTTAAAACCATAAAAAAACGGTTACTTGAAATTAAAGTAAAAGTATTAAAGGTGAAAATCAAGCTGTTTATGTGGTACGTTCGTGACTCTCCTGTTCGAACTCGTTCATCAAAATGAACGAATCTTTTTTCGTGTCAATTCATTCATTTCGTTTGTTGAATGAACCAAATGACTCGGAAAATGATATGTTCATTTTGATGAACGAGTTCGAACAGGAGAGTCACGAACGCGCATCACAGAACAGAGCAAGGCGACCATTTAAGCTTATAAAACGTAAGCTTTTTTTTTTAAATGAGCGATCGTTTCGCTTGATAAGACCCTATTCATCGTCTGGAATCGTTTAAAGCCCCCTTTGAAGCTGCTCATTTGGACCTTGAACCGTTCGGTTCCCACTGAAATCCATTATATGGAGAAAAACCCTGGAATGTTTTCATCAAAAACCTTCATGTCTTTTTGACTGAAGAAAGAAAGACATGGACATCTTGGATGACATGGGGGTGAGTAAATTATCAGCAAACGTTTTTTTTAAAGTGAACTACTCCTTTAATACAAACCATGTGTAAATTCATAAGTCCACAGCATTGCTGAGTATTTCCTCCTTTAAACTGCAGTGAACCAAAGACAGTCTCAAAAACACGTTTGAAATCGGTGGCGTTTCTGACGTCACAAACGACCCTTTAGCCAATCAGATCAACAAGTGATCGTCAACCAGTGCATCTCTGAGCTGAGCGAGTGAGTGGAGGTGGGTCTTATTTGCATATTCATAGAACCGCATATACTAAATGAGGCCAGGGTGTCGAGTTACATTCAAGCTGTTTTAAGGCATAAAGAATTGTTTCTAAAGGGAAAAACGCTTAAATATGTCATTTTGGACAAAAAAAGGGCAAAATTTTCTCCCGTAAATAACTCGTATGATTGGCTAACCTTCGTGAAATGAAAAGGAGGTTTATGTTGCGTTACAATACGATGTGAAGTTCGCAAACACACAGATGCGCATGTCAGATGCAGATGAGGCATTATGGGACCCTAAAAGGAAAGTATATGCTCAGTAAGCAGGGTCAGATGTGCATTGTGCTGAGCGTCAGTCCCATGATTCCCATAAAGCCCGAGTTTATGTTTGCACTGGTGGTCTTAGTCCGTCTCTCTGCTGTAATGAAGAAAGTAGGCCACATATAATTGACAGCAGTTTGAGCTCCTGATAACTGCTCCTTTAATAACCACAACACACACACCGAGATCAGCTGACTGATATAAGAGGAGGACGGGTTCGTCAGTGTATGGAGTTGACTAAAACACATCCGTCTGGTAAGTAGGTCATCAGTGTGGATATAAACACTGAAAGGTCAACACATCTCCACATCAACAACACTGACTGGAAAACGACACTACACTCCTCCAACAGATCCTACGTGTTTTTGTATCCAGTGGCCGTTTTCAAACTAACTAAATTAGCATAGTAGCAGTTTCCACTCAAACTATTTTAATGGTGCAATACTACTACAGTTCATCACATTTACAGATCACAGAAGCAGGGCCTTACAACTCGGGCAAAACTGCTCAATCTAGCAACACTACTAGCGCAGCTTAAAGCTACAATACCTAAGATTTTATGCCGCTAGAGGGCGCTACATTCAAAACAACAACAACGGCTTTGCTTGATGACGCCGTGGAGGAACGCGGAATGATGGGAACTGTTGTTTTCAACTCCACCGTAGATAAATCAGTCAGAAGGGAATCGAAAATTTGTTGTCATTAGAGTTGGGTATCGTTTGAATTTGAACGATTCTGATTCCGATTCCGATTCCTTGTTTCGATTCCGGTTACTAACGATTCTCGATTCCGATTCTTTTAAGAGGCAGGGTCAAAGTTTAGCTAACCTTGCCAACCAATGGCCTTTCTGAAGGAAATACTCCTTCTGTAAAAATACTCCTTTTGTCACAAATTTTGCATTTTGCCGAGATTTTGTTATTTTTAGAAAAGTGACGCCACACTTTGGATCGCCGACGTAAGCTACTCATGTTCGACTCGCGTGGTTATGCCAACACTTCCGGTAGACGCTTCTTCGTTGGTGTTGTTCCGCTCGGCGGACTGTGAATATCGAAACTAGGAATCGAAATTTTAACTTTTGAACGATTCCGGGAAAAACGAAAAGTTAGTCTCGGTTCCAATCGATACTCGATTCTCGATACCCAACCCTAGTTGTCATGGATGAGGACAAGTTCGATTTCTATAACGGTTGCGTTTAAAGACATGCTTGTTTTTCATTAAACTGAAATAACCGATATAAAATAAATGATAAAAACGCCGGCAAGTACATAAAATAAGCGATCAAAATCTTGAAAAAATGAGCAGTTATCTCTGTTCTCAAACGCTGGGGGCGTGTCCGCTGGTTGCGCTGAAACCACGCCCACTAGCGGGAAAGCTGTTGACGGTGATATTAGCTGATACTGCTTTCGGGACGGGAGGATGAACGCTGAGGCGGGAGATAGTCGTTTCGGCCCCGTTCACCAGTAACAGCGGATTATCAGTGAATCCCAGTTGTCTCTGAGGAAAGTTTATAAAACGATCCCGTGTAAAATGATCACTACAGAGGCGGGTGTTGCTGTCGGTGATCCTCAGCTCTTCATCAAGGTTGGCTCTCTAAAAACCTCTTCTTGGTGTGATCGTTTTTAGGGAATTTAAATGAAGATACAGATCTGTTTTGTACATGATCGCATCCAGGTAGTAGCATATGCATGTCCGTGTCGAAGGCATAGCTAGCTAGAAAACTGTAGGCTCAGCTGTAGTTGTACTGACAGTCACTCGCGATTGAGCGGTGAATGCGAATGTGCTCGGGGAGTGTTATTGTGTGTTAGGGGAGAGATCAGACTCTGTGCGTCATCAAATAGGGGCGTGTCCAGGAGCTCATGGGCTCCAGTGCGTCATCGAGCCCTGTTTTAGCCCCGCCCAATTAATCCGTAAAATTGCAATGGTGAAAAACTGTTTAACGGTCTAACTCCACATTTCAGTACTTCACAGTTCAGACTTTGTAATATGTTTTAGCAATACATATGCAACATTTATAATGCGTTTAGAACTTTTTGTAGAATTGCCTTTACAGGGACGTTAAGAGGGCCCACCGAGAACACACACTATTTGAGCGGATGAACAGCGTACACGTTTACGGGCTCCAATGATTGGTTTGAACAGCGCAGGATGGAGTGTTTTGCTACGAGACTCCCTTTTCAAGGACAGTCATTACAGTGTGTGCCGGCCCCATCGTAAACATGACCTACAGACAGCGTGTCAAAGGACCCGTTTGAGACCAGAGGGACTCTCTATAGCGCTCTGCACTGCCGAGAGAGAGAGAAGCAGGCGTGGGTCGATATGAGTCCTGGAGCTGCTGACAACTTACTATACTTCACCAACAAACATTTAAATCTGCGTATTATTTATTAAAAAAAATAAAACATAATTCTGCTTTATCATTACAGCAGATTGTTTTAAAAAAAAGAAAACTGTACTTCGGATAAAAACAAATGTATAGTTTTTTTTTATGTGTCTTGAGAACAAAACCGAAGTGCCCTTAGGAAATGGGTCCCGTGCGTTTATAAATGCCTTTGTGTATCATACAGACACATACACAAATGCTTGTCATCCAATCAGAGCCTGCTCTTGGCTTAACTCCACCCCTTTGCCCATATATGGTCCCCAGCTGCATGATGTAATGGCTGCTCTTGAAATAAAAACAAACACAGCTTACGCTTCCTGCCTCTGCGTTCCTCAAACACGCTCTACACACACAGTCAGATTAAAAGAGGGATGGGAAAACATAGGCAGGCACACACATGTCGAGGGAGGAATCATATCACGGGGACTGGTTCTGTGAGAAGAGAAACTGATTGCGTAACCCTCGGCAGACTGAAGAACTGGGGGTTGCACGTCTGTTTTAGTCCGAGAGGAAACGGCTCGGCTCATGTTTCAGCCGTCTGATGAGGTTTAGAAACAGCTGTGTGTGTGTGTGTGTGTGTGTACAGACACAAAAATCACTTCATCGAGCCCTAGACCACATGACTGAGGCTCAGATCTGCTCCCATCACTGAGGGTTTAGTCCAACACAGCTCGATTGATAAGACTCTTTTAAAGTCACTATGAAATCAAAATGGCTAATTGTTGTTTTATTTGTTTTTTTGGGGAATGTTGCCGTATTTATATTATATAAATAAATGATTTTTCCCTGCACATCTTTTAATATGAAATCATGTGTCTCATAATCTATTACTCAAAATGACGTTCCCTCCCTCTTCAAGCTCTTCTCTTCTCTGATGATGCGTTTACTGGTGTGAGGGCGGAGCAATCTGTCACTCACATGAGATCAGCCAATAGCAAACCACACCAACCAATCAAAATCAAGCCCCGCCCTACATCTGTTCTTGTTCCAGATCACAATAGAGAAGAAGACTATCGCATCTGTTTCATGACGATTTCAAAAGCTCTGATACTTTTTAAATGACGTCGACTGTTTTTTGGCTACTAAAATGGGGATGAAACGACACTTTATGAAAAGCTTTAGCATGCCGTTAGCGTTTTGTGCTTTAGCTAAATGCGAAAAGTTTAGTTTAGTTCCTTTATTGTCCACATGTATTGTTCACTGTACACCACACATTTACTATAAAAGTCTTACAATAACCTATGATAGCATTTGTGCGAGGCAAATAATTCTTGTGGCGTGACCTGCTTTTATAAGTTAAACGGCTATATAATATATTTTTACAAGATGAATTTCGAGTTCTTAAGCGTTTGTTTTTAAAAAACGATGAAAAAATAAAATAAAAACAGATTTGGAAAGGGCTTGAAACCAGCTTTCATATGGTAATGTAGAATTCATATATAATAGGTAAAACTTTTTTTTTTTTTTTTTTTTTTTTTTCGGGCCGATCTTGGTTCCGGATTTGCACACGAACTGCATTGCGATCATTTCCAAAAATGTCATTTGTGTGAAAATATTACAAAAGCCCTATTCGGACGGGACTAGTTTTCCAGTTGGTAATTAGCGAAATTGGTGATTCGCAGACATAACGATTTTCAATCCCGTTATTCTATTTTATAATTAGGGGCTAATTATCCTAACGCTTATCCTCATGTGTTTTGTGACCTACTTGAGCCACCGTCGGCGCACCACTCTTCGGCTTGTTTTAATTTAGTTTCAATATGGATGGTATCGGACAATTAACATCATTGTCTAACGACTAGTGTATTTCAGACTCGTTAATAATATCCGTGGCCTTCAGGAAGTTCATGTGTACTTACATTTACGAGTCATTAAATCATGTTTAATTTGTGCATGCTCTTTGAGGTGGTGACCATAGACCTCCATTATATGACTGACAGACACGAACGGTTTGACCTAAAAATATCAAAATTGAAACTACTGCGGAAACAAAGACACCTTCATCTTGGATGCTCTTGAGGTAAGATAAAACATACCAAAAATTAATTTCAAAGTGAACTTTCCATTTAACGCGGGCCAGAGACAGAACGTGTTCTGTGTGAACCAGAAAGTTTTATAACAGATCCGTAATAGAAAATGCTATTTATTCCTAAAAAAATAAATAAATACAGACCAATCCAGTGCAAACACACTAAAATTCCTATTCCACACAGGCCATTTCCTGAAATTACGTCATGTTTGGAATGGTCATGAAAAACAATTAACATCATTGTCTATCGACTAGCGTATTTCAGACTCGTTAATAATATCCGTGGCCTTCAGGAAGTTCAGCCCCTCATTATTCTCTCAGATGCTATGTTGAGAACGGGGCCGTCTGATGACAATGACAGGATGTTGAACACAGCATTACTTTTTTTTTTCTCTTCCCTCCATGCTAAACACACTTACCATCTGGTGATGACTGGGGATGTTGGACTCCTGGAAAAACGAGCTCAAAGCCGTCTGTGGAAAGAGAGAGAGAGAGAGATGGGGATGAGATGGAGGAAGCGGTGTTAGGCAACATGAATGGGCAGAGGAACTCTGGTTTGGCAACGTCGCTCCATCTCCTCCCCCATCCCGGCCACGGGTCAGTCGGTTCAAGCACTCGGTGATCTAAAAGAGGGTTTCTAAATCGGCACATGCGATGCAACTGATACACTATATGGGCTCAGAGCTCCAGGAACATGTCAGATTGAAAAATACATAAACCTGGTTCTGCTCCCCAAGAAAAGCATCACTACTTCTACCAGTATTTGAGTTATGTAATCAGATTACTTTTTTCAAGTTACTAACTAGTGTTGCATGCATTATTGTTAAATTTACAAGAAGTTACTTTTTTAATTAAGTAAACGCAAGTAACTCATTATTCATTTCAGCTTTGGCCTTTACAATAGCCAAAAATAACTTTTTATTTGTATTATTAAAAAACAAAACAAGCAAGCCCATACAGCCTAGGTGAGAAAAAGCAAACAATGTAACATTACTTTCCACAAAAAGTAACTAAGTAACGCAATTAGTTACTTTTTCAGGGAATAAGGCAATATTGTAACGCATTACTTTAAGATTACAAAAGTAATCTTCCCCAACATGGATTACTACTGCTTAAACTCGGGTTTCGTAGCACTGTTTGTCATGAGAACATCAATGATGCCTCAAATAATGCAGCTTTTGTGGATGATAAACTGATCAAACAAACCCACAGACTTTTGAGGGACATTTGTAGACTCTAAAAATGTCATTTTCCCTTGAACATATGCGAATATATGAAGAGTTCAGATGCAAAAGCCTCTAAGTGCCATTTGAAATTTTCTTCTAAAATGATCATTTAAGTTCAGTAATTTCACTTAAATGACAATGAAGATTACCTATGAATTGTCATTTGTGTGAAATTACTGAACTTAAATATACAAGCTTGATAAAAATGACCATTCTAGAAGATGCATCTGAACTCTTCATATACACATCTTCATCAATACTTCCAATTTCCTCAGTTCTGAGGATTGGGTCAGTGGTACACATGTTTAGACACCAGTGAAATACCAATTATTTAACCAACCCAATTAATGTGAATTTAAAACAGTCAGTAACAAAATAAGAACAAATAATCGAATCACAAATAGGACAAATAAATACAATAGAACAAATGAAATGAACAGTGTTTTTAGAGTTTTTCGGGTAGATTGATACATTTTAATAAAGTAATCAAATGTGGGAAAAAATTTTGCATATTCATTACTGTATAAATTAAATATAGATGGATATTTTTGTAAATTTGAAAAGGGTAGACTATTTAGTCAAGAGCAGTAAGTAATTTATTTGTCCTTGATAATTTGTATTTGATTAACATGAAAAGACAGTAGCAGGTTTATTAAAGTGCCGCCCCTTTAAGACCGAACGCACGGGTGTAGACATCTTCATAAATACTTCTACATTTTTTAAAGCTACACTGTGTGATTTTTACCCCCATCTAGCTGTGAAAGGGTATATGACCATCGATCCAGTGAATATTAGTTTCTGTTCCTCGTAATTCCGATTTCGTTTTAACTCCTACGGTGGCCAATGTAGTCCAAGATTAACATGGCTTCCAGTTCGACCTCGTCCATGAGTGTTAACTCAAACGTAAACGCGAAAGGCGAAGCTTGAATAAACGGGTATGTCCCTCTTTGGCTAATGTGCTTTCAAGATGGCGACCGACATTAGAACCCCTTACCCGTATGTATTTTCAATGGCATATTATACACTCACGAGAATACTTTATTACTTGAACGAAGTAAATATACATTAATGAGCACATATATTTTTGAAAGAACTAAGTGTTTTTAGCTAAGAATAAACTAAAAGAGTTACACAGCGTAGCTTTAAATATTTTTTAAATATATATTTCCCAAGACAAAAACTAAGCCTGTGTGTCCACCAAAACGTTTTTATCCAGCTGAAAACGCTAGACGCTCTCCTGAAGACGCCGTGCTTTGGGCGCTTGAGAGCGTTTTGGCAGCGCAGCGTTTTTCCGTTGAGACGTTTCGTTGCTATGATACAGAATATCCGCAGCCGTTGAATGTTGTGACAGTTGGTCGGTGTGGTATTAGTCCCGCCCCTCCTCCACTGTGATTGGACGGCTGGGTAAAAAGTGACAGTGATGAGCGCTGCGTTTTATCCAAAGTTGAACATTTTTCAACTCCCAGCGACCAGTAAAAACGCCGGCGCTCGGCGCTTCAGCGTGAAAAAAAACGCTCAATTGAAAACATACGCCAGGCGCGTGGAAAAACGCTTTGGTGGACACACGGTCTAACAAATAATTCATATCTTCGCATTTCTGTGGGAGTTCCACCAAATTACACATGAATCTTGACTTAATCATCTGATATTTTAGGATCATACTCAATTTCATGTTTAATGTTTTTTCTTCTTCAGCAAGTTTCTCACATTGTATTACGCCAAAGTACAAACAAAGCTTTTCTTTTCTACATTTCTAATGAACCCTCTTCCTTCGTTATCACAGTAAAATTTACTTTTACTATTCAAGTCACTGGATATACACAATCTATTTTGAATAAATGATTCACTGAGCATGGTGTCAAGAGGATCGTATCAATGTTTTCCGAAGAGGATTAGCTGATTATTCAGAGCATCTCTGAACTCACAACGTATGGCCTTTAAACGGTCATGGTTTCAAAATATTTTGGCCAGCACACGAGTGTCTAGGCTTCAGTCCCTCAACCCCTCGTCTGGTCTCACTTCCCTCACACCGAGTGCCCCCTTCTTCTCATCCCCCGCCCAGCCCCTTCCCCCTCTCCAGTCTTTCTCCTGTTCTCTCGTTTTGTTTAACAACAGCCACGGCTAGTGCAGGAATGTCTGCGGCTTGACGTGACACACATATCAAGATGAACTCGCCAATCCGCCATTGTTTCCGCTGCTACAGAACCACACGGTTCTTTGTCATCAAATCTTCTCCGTCCCTCCCCCCCAAACGCCATCATGTGTGCAGAGATTGTTCTCATTTAAGTGCGGGACTATTGCTCATTTCCGACTGCACACACATGGTTATGGCTCTAAACAATGCTCGCTTGTAACACGGAGCATCTGTATTGTATTAATACTGGCACTAACTGCTGAAAGAGGGTTCCTCAATGTACAAACCCAGCATCCAATGAGTCCAACCCTGTTTGTTGAGATTATTTTGGATTATTCATGCACTACATGATGCACATTTGAATACAGAAATGCTAAAACCTTACTGAAACAAAATCTGACAGCTGTAATCTAATTGGATTGGAGTTCTGGGAATAATGAAGTGGAAAGGTTTTTATTGGTCTTAAAATTCCCAGCTGTTACAATGAGCTTCCCAACATAAACCCTCGACACCACATTTGAAGGTTCGTAAATATGTATTTTTGAAACGAGGGATGCACCGATTATAATCTTGGCTGATACGATTCTTTATATTTGAAAGCCGATAACTGATATATATCTGTTAAATATAAATATAAATTCAATTTTTAAAAAAAAGCCTGATTACAAAAACAACTCACGATTAAAATCCGTGTCCCAAACACACAATTATAATTAGGGTTGGGTATCGAGAATCGAGTATCGATTGGAATCGGGACTAACTTTTCGTTTTTCCCGGAATCGCTCAAAAGTTAAAATTTCGATTCCTAGTTTCGATATTCACAGTCCGCCGAGTGGAAGAAGAAACCGCTGAACAACACCAAGGAAGAAGCGTCTACCGGAAGTGTTGGCATAACCGCGCGAGTCGAACATGAGTAGCTTACGTCGGCGGTCCAAAGTGTGGCTTCACTTTTCTAAAAATAACGAAATCTCGGCAAAATGCAAAATCTGTGACAAAAGGAGTATTCCCTTCAGAAAGGATTATTTCCTTCAGAAAGACCGTTGGTTAGCGAAACTTTTTTGACCCTGCCTCTTAAAAGAATCGGAATCGAGAATCGTTGGGAACCGGAATCGAAACAAGGAATCAGAATCGTTCAAATTCAAACGATACCCAACCCTAATTATAATGTTATGTAGCCTATTTGCGCTGCACATGTTGCACTAAACTGTGTTTTCCAATCATAATTCAAAAACACCACGGCGAACAGTGCACATCTGAAGCGTCTCAGCTGAAGGAAATAATCCATTATTTATCGGGTTTAATATAGCCAAAATTTTCTTATCTGGACGATAATGAGAACATTTAAAATGAACATGCCGATACCAATATGGTGGCCAATATATCATTCATCCCTATTAGAAACACATTCGCATTAGAGCCAGAGCGATATATCGGCAGACCGATATTAGGCATTTCCCAAACTATCGGTATCTGCAGTTATAATGGCCGATAAATGAATATTTCAAAAATAAAATAAAAACAGACGAAACACGCTTGAACCATGTCATGAGTGTTGGAGTTGTATAGTTTGTCCACCAGAGGGCACTCTACACCGTTCCTGTTGGCAACACTCGTTGAGTTGGTCACGAGACATACATTGCTTGAATTAATATCCGCCGATAATATCGGCCTACCGATATATCGGTCTGGCTCTAGTTTCGATAAATATCATTGCAAAAAGTAACTGTAAATGCGAGCGCAACTTAAGCCTGCAGTCAGTGTCGACATCTATTTTGTTCGGCATTGTCATTTTTTGTGTACAATTTCTTAACATTTCTGTTTTCATGCTAGCAGGACCAATGTGTAATTGTTTGTTAAGCCGTTGTCTTCATTTACCGATGCATGAAACCGCAATAAACGAATTTAAATACGGTTCTCAGTTTGTTTTTGCTGTTTAGCCTACACTTAACAATTATGCTTACGGTCACTTTCTAGTCAGTTTTGAGTGTACAGAACATGCCCACAGAGAGCCATCAAACCAATACAATAAACCAGCTCACTTACGTGCAGAAAGGGACGGCGAATACAAACTCAATATGCCGTCACGTGGACACTGCTCTGGGATCAGCAACAAACACTCGCAAATGTCAGTGAATCTGTTTTTGGACTTGGTTTGATGGCTTTGGCCCCGGCATACCTTTGATTTGAAGGTCTCTGAACTTTGAGAGTACCAGAGTCAGATGTTTACCACTGTCACAAGGTTACAGCAACAGCTTCTCCGGTTTATTCAGGTTCATCATTCACCCTTTTGGTTTTACCAACACAACAGCACTGCACTTGCGTCCGCCACAGATGCGAGAGACGCAGGCCATGGAAATTAAGGTACTAGATTTATGGGATAAGTGCTTTCCAGGAAAAACTAGGCAAGACTTTATGTTGGGGTGTAACAACAACAAGTCGTGTCAATAATATATATTGCAATACAAAAATGCAACAATATGTATTTTGTAAAATTTCACCCAAAATAAATATTACTGTAGTTTTAGTGTCAGTACTACATTAAACTACAGTATATTATAATGCTAAATGTCTTACGTTACCAGTAAAAGTGGCCTACATTATTTGAAATATCTAGTCAGTGAAAGAGTGCAAGCATATTCGTCTAACATAATGTTTTCAGCTTCAGAATTATGAATATTGTTATTCTGGTGTCACTATTGTCCTGTGCATTGGGTTTCCAGAACCAAGTCCAAACCTATTCATTTACACCCCAATGTAAAACCAAATTTAACATTTTAAATCAACAGTACGTTAACATTTTATCACGCGTCTTGGAGTATCGCAATAATATCGTATCGTGAGATGTATCGAATCGTGACATGAGGGTATCGTTACTTTACGTTGATATTCAAAGCTCCCCGAGACTAAAATACAGGCGACGGAGGATCGTACAGCTGATGTTATCACAGAATGAGATCAGAAGGTTAAGAGCAGAGCTTTCTGACCCCTTCATCTGTCACCGAACCTATACGTCGTATAAAGAGATCCAAAGGGGACACTTGTCCAAGACAAGCACTTGGTACAATCAATCAAACCACTACTACACAACACCAGAGAGAGAGAGAGAGACCCTGTTAGACCACCTGTTCAACTCAGAAGGACATACATTTGAGAAACCATCTGGACGTGGCCGATACTCCAGATTAAAATGGAGAACGTCAATGCTGAGTATGTAAACACAAGCGTGACTGTTAGTGAAGGTGTGGTTGACTTCCTTTCTTTCGCCATCAAAAACAGCAGTAAAAGTTAACAAACACTAACCACAGAATATGAGGAAAGAGTTACGACAACACCAGCAAGCCCTGATAAACCATACGAAAAGATTTAAGGCCTGTTCACACCAAGAGCAAAAACTATAAAGAGAACTAAATTACCATATAATTTACAGTCAAACCAACATTTGACTCAACATTTTTCACATTATCACAGTTTAATCGCTATAGTTTAGAAAATGGTAATATATTATGACAAGAACTCTGTTAGACTGTCTCACATGAATTACGTCGAATATCTGTCAGCTGTTAAATTTAACGACACAATTAGATAATACCAATATAGGCCAACAAATTACCAAGCAATGCTTAATTTTGTTCAGTCTGTGGTGTAAAAGTCTCAATATTTGGTCCTAAATTTTACTTGTAGTCACTGTATGAAGGATTTTTAGGTATAATGTCACAGTTTATTTACATAAATGAACTAGTAAAAAAAAAAAAAGATATCTGGTGTCTGAATTTTTGTTTTGTTTTGACCAAGTGTGTGAATCTGAATTAACTCCCTGCAATGAAAAAACTTCAAGTTAAAATAGTTACTTTTATCTGCCTTAGTTTAGTCTACAAAAATAAACTATTTATTTTACATGAAGTTTAGACTGACAAAAAAACTGGACGCCACTTCCTAATTTAAATTTCGATGTAATGAGGTCATGTGATACCAGCATAGCATAGTTATTATGCCGTTATCAGTAAAAGTGGTTTCACACACTATTCTTTGTAAAAAAAACAAAAAACAGGCAGCATTCGAGTCCAAACACAGCGGAGTAAACTTTACCCTACTAGGGTTGAGCTAAAGGGAAACTGACTAACTCATTGGATGACTACACACATGTGTACTTTATAAACAATACACACATTAACTAGTCAAACCAGTGTGTGTGTGTGTGTGTGTCCTGTACTCAACCACTGAAACTTTTCAAACAATCAACCTACTAACAAAAAACACAACAGGAACAAAACACACACACACGAGAGAGAGGATATGAATGATTAAAGTGTGCTTGGGTTCATTTGGCTGAATTTTCAACAGAATGTAAATAAAAAACTGTCTTTCCCTCTCTCTCTCTCTCTCTCTGTTTCTCTGTGAGTGTGTTGCAACACTGCTGATGAGATCTCTGAGGCATGTCCGTTAGTGGCGAACACTTCTTCCTTCCAGGAAACACTCAAAACAACCACACGACACTTCAAATGTGAGCAGTCGTAAAACTGGAAAACACTTCTTAATAAACCATCATAACAAATACAAATTGACAAGAAACGCAACACTAAGCTGCTGAATCATTTCTGGACCGTTCTTCCTTCACGGTGGTTTGGCAGTATTTTGTCTGTTGCACTTATCTTTGATGTAAACATCTCTTTGGATGATTGTGTGTTCACATATTTTCAGTAAATACATGATGGTTAGTCATATCTAGGTCTCTCCATCCATCTATCTATCCATGTGTACCAAGGTCATGGGTTCAGAATCCCAATGAATGGATGCATGAACTGAGAAAATATACACTAAATTCAGTGTCGCTTTGGATTAAAGCATCTGGCAAATAAATAAACACAAATAGATGTAGAAATCGACTAATTATTTCATTTGTCTACCTATCCAATTTCCCATTCATCTATTTACATTCTCTCTCTGTATGAATCCACCTCTTTATTAATACATCCATTTACATGTTTGAATAAGTCTTCAAACAAGCATTGCTTCCTCCCTGACCACCTTCGACTTAATTTACATAACTATAAAACACACACACACACACACACACACACACACACTTCCATCAGTGTTTTAACAGACAGATAATCTCAGTGAGCTGCTCGTGGCTTTATAGTGGATTCAAACACAAAGCTGCTCTGCCTCAGACTGGCTAACAGCAGACTAGCCCTTAGAAAGCCACGCAAACATTCCCGAGATAGCCGACACGGAACGCTTTACTCATTGTTTACAAGCAAACAAATGCGACGTGGCTTTACATAACTCGGTGAATGCATCACCGGCGCGATGAACGGGCGCTTGAACGAACACGCATAGACGCATCTCTACTCTAGTGACCCGCGGATTTAAATGATAATAAAACGTTATATATGGTGGATAGTGTTGGTAAGGATGATCGATCGACGGTTACCTCGAACTGCCAGTGCGCCGCTTGCAGAAGCTGCTTCGCCTGATCCGCCGCGCAGCCCGCAGTCAAAACAAACTGGTTAATCATCACTTGATGTCTCAGTTCGTCCATATTCACCGACATTCGCTCCTCCGCGACTCCCGAGACCGGAAAACGCCGTTGCGTTGTGTGTATGTTCGTTGAAAGCGATCGGCCCTTGCTCGCTTCACGCTCTCTCCGTCCTCGCTCTCCTTTCCAGTAACAACAAATATTTTCATGTCATCATCATCACTAACAACAAACCCGAGCGCGGCCTCTGATTGGCTTACAGAGCCAAAACAGCGAGTACACACGGGCGTCCCATTGGTCCATCGACAAAATATCTATCGTCTCAAGTGACGTAATTTAAAGCAACACGTCGCGCGTGGTTGGACGCTAGCGACCGGCATGAGCGCTCTCATTGGTCAGAATAGCAGGAAGGCGTCGCGTAGTTATTTCTTTTCTGTTTACATTGCTTTCACTGGACACACACACGCACTGCAGTCCATTGGGCTATTATTGTTAGTAGTCTTTTAAATTAAAGTCACCATGAAATCAAAATGGACTCTTCTTATTTGTTATGGGATTTGTTATTATAGTTTATGATGATTCATGTGCCTCATATTCTTTAATCTGCAGCTCATCTCAGCTCTTCTCATATGACGTTCACCGGCATGGGGGCGGGGCAACCTGTCACTCACATGAGATCCACCAATAGTAAATTACAACCATCCAATCAAATCCACATGGACAAAATCAAGCCCCACCCTACTTTTTTTTTTACGTTTCACTCAGATAGCCTCATTATTAGGGAAGAAAAGACTTTTGCAGTCCCCATGAAATAAAAATGTAAGTTTTTGTGGCTTTAATATAAATATGTTAGCCTTAAAGGAACACTCCGACTTTTTGGGACTTTAGCCTATTCACCTTACCCCCCAGAGTTAGATAAGTCCATACATACCTTTTTCATCTCCGTGCGTGCTATAAGTCTGTTTGACGCACCCACCGCTAGCCTAGCTTAGCACAAAGACTCGATGTGACTGGTTGCAGCTTTCATACTGATCCAAATGAGTGACAAAATAACGCAAACGTTTTCCTATTTACATGTTGTGATTTGTATAGTCACATAATGTACAAATAACAAAGTCAAATGAGACACAGACATCTTTTAACCGTATAAAACCTGGGAACTATTCTCTGAAGGCGAAGCACTGCTACTTTGACGGCGTAATAACCGCGTCACCGGAGACACGCCGTGGTGAGGAGCGGAGAGTTCGCTCGGTGTTTGGGTAATAGAGTCAGCAATTTATAAATAGTAAAAGCGTAGTTTAGAGTCATGGGTTTTCGCTCTATTGTAAATAGCTGCGACTGTAAACAGGGGAGGTAACCATGTTTCACAGAATTCCAACTAAAAACGCTGACTGGATAAGAAATGGCTAACTTACTCTGGATATTTATCCAAACACACCTAAGATTATCAGGGGACATTACAGTATGTTTGCTCGGTACATTTCAATGAGGACGACTATTTTGAAAAAATGGAATTTGCCACACGGACCATAATGTGCTGAAGGATACGGCCATCCCATCGATAGCACAGACAGGACAAGTGGATTACCTGCGGCTGAGGTAAGTGTTCCGTTATGTTTTTAGATGACCTACTGTATCAGTGCCTTTAGCCAGATCTAATGTAACGTTAGTGACACTATTATATGATTAGGCTATGAATATGTTATTATCTTGATGCGGTGCGGACGCGCTTGGGGAAAAAAACGAGCGCGTTCACCGCGTTGAACTTGCACCCTGCGCGCGGCGCGCCTAGTAGCCTAAATTTGAAATAACCATGGAAATAACGAACTTGAGCGTGCAAAAGGGTACGATAGGCTGTGAGTTCATTGTGCAAAAACAATTTGTGCTTTTACTTTCCCCTTATTCTGTCCTATAGTAATGCAATATATAGGCAAATGTATTTACTGTTCATACATTTGGTTCAGCTAATAAATTGCATTTAAAATATATTGATTCCTGTAATAATAATTATTTATTCATGTGATATTTATAAATCTGGGTGCGTTTTTGGTTGGAAATCAATGAAACATGGTACTGTATTACCTGGTCTCCCCTGTTTATTGTCACAGCTCATACAATAAAGCAAACACCCATGATAAACTTTGCTTTTCTATCTAACGTTAGTAATTGCTGACTCTTTACTCCAACACTGAGTGAACTCTCTGCTCCTCGTCACGGTGCGTCTCAGGTGATGGTTATCACTCTGGCCAAGTAGCAGTGCTTCGCCTTCAGAAAATATAGTATTTATACGGTTAAAAGATGTCTGTGTCTCATATGGCCTTGATATTTGCACACTCTGTGACTATACAAACCACAACATGTAAATAGGAAAACGTTTGCGTTATTTTGTCACTCATTTGGATCAGTATGAAAGCTGCAACCATTCACATCCAGTCTTTGTGCTAAGCTAGGCTAGCGGTGGGTGCGTCAAACAGACTTATAGCACGCACGGAGATGAAAAAGGTATGTATGGACTTATCTAACTCTGGGGGGTAAGGTGAATAGGCTAAAGTCCCAAAAAGTCGGAGTGTTCCTTTAAGCCCCTTTCACATAGAGATTCCAGAAAATACACGGACAATGTGTTCCGGGATTTGTCCACTACGACACACGCCATTGGTCCTGGCTTTTGTTCACACGGTGCGTTCCGGGACTGATCATCCCGGCAATGGGTCTCCATCCTGCCATCGATCCCAGCATCAATCCCGGGACGTGTTTGCGTTCACACAGAAGGCACTCTTGCAATATTACGCCAATTTCCCAGGATCAACGCGCTGTGTGAAAGGGGCTTTACTATTATAAGCTAGTGTGCTCCAAAAACAATGACAAAATTCGCATTTAGAAGACGTAAGCATTCAAAACGTACAGTCTCTCACTTCCGCCAATATGCATCGATGATTTAGATGACATCACTCTGCACTTCAGACTTCATCAGATTTTCTGTCCAATCAAATGCTTTCTAGAATCTGGTTGTTTAAAAAAAGGGGAGGGGCTGCTTGATATGCCCCGCCCCATCTTCCTGTTTCAGTCAATGCTGCACGTTTCAAGGCACATCAGAGGGTCTTTAAGGCCCTGTTTACACGAGAATGCTCGCGGGTGAAAACGTAAAAATATTTATCAGATGTGCCTTTCGTTTACACGGCGACGGCGTTTTGGGGCTTAAAAATGCAAAAAAGTGAAACCACCCTCCAGAGTGGAAATCTTAAAAACGCTCCCGTCTAAACGGTAAAAACGCAAAAGTCTGCTTGACAGTGAAGGTTGTACGCAGGCGCGCAGACTTGGTGTTGTTGTGTGGCAGTGCTCCACATCGCCACCTAGCCGCCTGGAGTGCATACTACATCAAATTTCACAAACTTTTGCGTCACCATATGCACGTGGATTTCCCACCCTTAACGCTCGTCTAAACAACGCAGAATAAAAAGTGATAGCTTTTGCGTTTTCTCTTCTGATCGATAGCCTATAAGACCAATTAGTAAAACCACAAGCTTATAATAAGCTAAATGAAATGTAATCACTACAGAAATGAATGCCACATCTCCAAGCTCACATCTCCTGGCTTCAGCCACGTGTAAAGTGGGACATTGTTAGCCACTGCTTTGAAATGAATTCAGGAGTTTCAACCCACCCAGCTGAGAGAGTGTGAATAATTCAGAGCGGGTGTCAGAGAAAGCCTGTTATGGAGAAGGCTATCTATAATGTAATGCAGCTGGGCGTTTCTCCTGTGATCTGTGTGTTGAGTTGTAACACAGTGATCTGGATGTGAGAAGGGTTACAGACACACACCATATATGGCAAGGCTATAGAAACCACACCTTCAGTCATAATAAACTGCTTTGAGAAATGCCTTAGAAAGGCTTTCACATCTCATCCACCATCTCGCACCAAGCACTGAGAGTGATATGAATCATCAGAGACCGTAAGTCATAGTGATCACACACACACACACACACACACACACACGTCGGTCATTAGGTGGCGCGATAGCCTAAGTACAGTTGCATTTTGGTTCATAACTCTGGAACCATAAAGGCTAAACAGACCTTTTTGGTCAATCATTGTCAAATAACATTTTATATGTTATGACAACATATGTTTTTAGCTAAATTGCTTTAACTCATTAAAATAAGTTTTTTTTATACGTTATACAAGATTCAACTAAATTTTTACATTCCCCTGTGGTGAAAATCAAGCTTTTAATGTTTAATGTGAGAAACCATGTGTAAATTCATAAGTCGACAGCATTGCTGAGTATAAAACTGCAGTGACAAAGACAGTCTCAAAAACACGGTTTGAAATCGCTGGTGTTTCTGACGTCACAAACGACCTTGTAACCAATCAGATCAACGAGTGATCGTCAACCAGTGGAGCAGGTGTGAGTGGAGGCGGGGCTTATTTGCATATTCATAGAACCGCATATACTAAATGAGGCAAGGGTGTAGAGTTACATTCAAGTTATTTTAAAGGGATAGTTCACTTTGAAATTAATTTTTGGTATGTTTTATCTTACCTCAAGAGCATCCAAGATGTAGGTGTCTTTGTTTCCACAGTAGTTTCAATTTTGATATTTTTAGATCAAACCGTTCTTGTACTGCGGAAACAAAGACACCTACGTCTTGAATGCCTTTGAGGTAAGCTAAAACATACCAAAAACTTGTTTCAAAGTGAACTTTCCCTTTAAGGCATGAAGAATGGTCTATCAAGAAACAAATACTAACTACCAGTAAATGTAAATACACTAAATGTGTAATTTTGGTGATCAAATATGAGTTTTAAGGGATACATTTATTCACCACAGGGGGACTTTAAGTCAGTTTAATGTAATTTAAGTTGAAATTACCTAAACATCCAAGTTGATTGTACTTAAAAATTTAAAGTAGACACTTTTTTACAGTGCTTTTTTTTTTGCTGCTTTTCTACATTTGTGTAATGAAATTCTTTATTTTCTCTATAGCAGCTGTATCATCCGAGTAGGGCGGGGCTTGATTTTGTCATTGTGGAATTGATTGGATGGTTGTGGTTTGCTATTGGCTGATCTCATGTGAGTGACAGGTTGCCCCGCCCTCTTGCCAGTAAATGCATCATCAGAGGCGAGAAGAGATGAGCTGTGAATATTAAATGAATGTTAATGAATGAATGTTAAATAGTAAGGTCCCATTTGTCAAATTCGGCATGAAATGGAAGTTGCAATATTCTTTATTTCCCTACTGTGACGTAACTTATGGCTTCTCGAACAAGAACAAATGTAGGGCGGGGCTTGATTGTGTCCATGGTGATTTGATTGGATGGTTGGATGAAAGTGTGGTTTGCTATTGGGTGATCTCGTCTGAGTGACAGGTTGCCCCGCCCTCTTGCCAGTAAACGCATCATCAGAGATGAGAAGAGATGAGCTGCAAGAGGGAGGAGAGTTTATTTTGATTAAATATTAAGAGGCACATAAATTGAATATGATGTGCACATAAATCACTTCTAATGAATACTGCCATAAAAATAGTGTCATTCTTTATTTAATCCACCACTACATACAGCTTTCTTCAGAATTACTTTTGTTTTCACACTTTATCTACTTAAATTATGTGTGGCACTTCAGGAAAATGATGTCTTTGGTGTATAACAAGAATATCTGTGACGACGCGAGAGCTGTTTTCAATCCACTGTCCCTCCTGATTATCTTATTTTTCTTTCTTTTCATACAGAACAGATAACAGATGACGCAATTTTTGATGGATTTGATGGATGATCACAGGAATAAATTATTTATTATAATTTATTAAATTATTTGGTTGTTTTAACCCAATCTTGGGTCAAATATGGACAAACCCAGCCATTGGGTTAAATTTTTTAAATACAATTTTTAAACTAATGTTTGAGTTTGTCCATATTTGACCCAAAACTGGGTTTAAAAAACCCAGCATTTTTTTTAGAGTGTACATTTCACAATATATAGAAATCAGATATTTTGAATAATTGTTCACTGACTGTTTTTACTCTATTTTACAGGCTCGGTGAGAATAAGAGTCTATGTTCAAGAAAGTCATATAAAAAAACATAAATATTCCAAACTTTTGATTGCCAGTCAGAACTAGGGTTTGGGGATTAAATTACTTCACATATTAAATTTTGTAGGTTCTTGTAGCCTATAGTATTTTTGTTCTGTTTTGAAGATGCCGGATGTAAACTCATCTCTGTCGGCCACTGTTGTGTCTTCACGCTGCTGAGGACCGTGTTTGCACATCTTTTTTTTTTATCTCTTGACGTGTTTTTGAGGCCTTGGGCTGCACTTTTGCTCTGACTACTGGTTCATTTGTTTTCACAAGAGCTTTACAATCATCTCTATCTGTGAATGACTGATCAAAGTGAAACTGAGGGGAAGTCACAAGTAGGCTAGTACAAATGCATGGATGTCACAAAGTTTCAAATCAACTGTGTATTAATTTGTTAAAAGTGATTTTAGGAGACGGATGAAGTCACTTTACACAGGTATAGGTAGTAAATAAGAGGTTTGTTTTGAATAAATCATCTAAACTTTTTTGATACACACTTTAAAAAGTGCACTTTTGCTATATGCTAATTGGATTGATAGCCTATCTAGCAAACAATGATGTTCAGACATTTTAAGTGTGCATAATAATAAATCGGCTATTAATCTTATATTAATATTGTTAGCAACTGTAAAAGCAGAAAAGGGAAGTATGATAGATATAAGTAGGCTAAATAAGTTTGTTATTATGAACAGGGTTATGAAGCCGAATGAATGGTTGCGGTAGAATGTCACGTGACTCGGTTGTGACTGTGAGCAGCTTTATGCTCGCGCCCTCTAGTGGTTAAAGTCAATCTGAAAGCTTCTGATAGTCGTAGCCTACTACAAAACCACACATTTTTGAAGAGAACTGAATGGTAGCATTTGACATTGAGACTGATTACATGAAGTTAAATTTAGACTAATATGTCAATGAAGAATAGCGATTTGACACAGCTTTTATTTTTAGGCTTAAAAAGGATTGATTCAAGCAGGCTTATTATCATTAACTAAAACCAGAATTGAAAATAAAGTTGTTTGTTTTTTTCTTGAAATGAAGTAGTTATCTGAAAAATGTAAACTTTTTTTCATTTTATATTGCCTTGTTTCCAAAGCAATATGTTACACCAATTTTGTACCATATGGACCATACATATTAAAAATGCATGTCTTTTATAGTGATCCTAAATTATTAATACTAAAATAACACTGATTTTGGTTCAAATGTTTGATATCATAAATTGCTCATTTTGATAATAATTTCAAAGCCACCCATATCAAGCTTTTAATCATTGACAGGATATGTTTATAAAAAAAAATTGGCAACATTTTACACTGAGGTTTCATTAGTTGACATTAAAGAATGACCTAAAGCATTTATTCAACGCATTCTCATGTGTTAATGTTATTTTCAAATCTTTCTCTAAATTTGAATGCTCTTTTAATGTTAGTTAATGCACTGAACTAACACTAACAAAGATGAACAAAAAACAATAATAAATGAATTGCTCATTATTAGTTCATTAAATACATTAATGTTAACCAATGAAATATACATTAATGTATCAACAATGATGTCATCACTCACAGAAATCAAGTTACTTAAAACCATGGTTGATTTTGTACATTACTATGGATTTACTCCAAAAATCATAGTTGAGTCATGCGCACTGTAAAAAAATATTTTCATGATTTGTAATCACAACATTTTTTCTTTTGTCAAATCAACTTAGATAATTTTATGTAGGCTAGTTCAGATAACATAATATTTTGAGTTTCTGGTGATTAAATTAATCTCCTTCATAGTATTAACTCAATTTTTCCATTTCAATGAACTTAAAATTTTAAGGCAACCAGGTTACTTTTTTTTTTTAAGTTAAACCAACAATATTTTTTACAGTGTGGTTACTGTGGTAAAACCAGTTATTTTTGTACTCACTTAAAAAAAGTTGGGTTAAAAAACGACCCAACAGCTAACCCAATGGTTCATTGATATAGTACTGACATAATGTTGGGTTATTTTAACCCAATAAATGTTTTACTACAAAAATCATGGTCACTGTGGTAAGACCATGGTTACTTTGTAGTTTACTATGGTTATACTACAAACATTTTTACAATGTTTTTTTTTTTTTTTTTTTTTTACAAAAATCATAGTTGAATCATGGTTACTGTGGTAATTTTTACTCACTTGGGTTAAAACGACCCAACAGCTAACCCAATGGTTGGTTGATATACAGTACCGACATAATGTTGGGTTATTTTAACTCAATAAATGTTCCGAATAACCCAACAGAACGAACCAATATTTTTAACCCAGCTATTTTGGGTACTCCAAAATAACCCAACGTTTTTTAGAGTGGGGTTTACAATAAAAATCCTGGTCACTGTGGTATAAGACCATGGTAAATTTGTAGTTTACTATGGTTATACTACAAAAATCATAGTTAAATCATGGTTACTGTGGTAAAACCAGTTATTTTTGTACTCACTTGGGTTAAAAACAACCCAACAGCTAACCCATTGGTGGGTTGATATAGCACCGACATAATGATGGGGTATTTTTAACTCAATTAATCTTCCGAATAACCCAACAGAATGACCCAATATTTTTAACCCAGCTATTGGGTACACAAAAAAATAACCCAACGTTTTTTTTTTCCCACTGCTTGTGAATTATGAGTTTGGCCTGATGTCCAAAGCTCTGTTTGCTTCTTTCTCTCTCATCCAGAGCCCGTCTGATTGGCGTTTGTCACATCACATGTGAAGCAGAAGGCTTGAAGAAGGACAAACTCAAGAGATGCTGAAGCTTGTATTGCTATGGTTGCTTTTGTAGAGTTTCTTTAGCAGGAAGCCACTCAGCCACACTAACAGAAGAGCGCTCAAGAGGACAATCCCTCTTGTAGCTTTTTTATCCTCCATTTAGTCCAACAAAAAGTGCATTCCTCCAAAAACAACCCCTTTAGATGCACTCCAACTCAACACTTGTTGCCTTAAACCTGTCCTGAGAGCAAGTCGAGTTTGAGGCTCATCCCTTTAACTGTCAGTTTCGTTCATTTAAACACATCAATGACTGTATAATGTGGCGTTTGTGTGGAAACAATGCTAATACGTGTTACATGGCGCTGTTGAATGCAGTCTGACGCCTGAACTCTTGTCGAGAGGCTGCAGACTGTCCCGCTCCCATTAACAGGCATTGTATTGAGAGTAAAGAGACAGTTCCTGAAGCCCTTTCCTCTCTTGCCTTAGTGCCAGTCACGCGTGAAATCACTTTAAACGCATTCCTTATTGTTTGACCCCCCCGACATGTTTGTTTTTGGTCTGATCTGATTGTTCAAGACAATTTTAGACCTGTTCCTCCTCTTCAAGTCAAGAAACAGGTGGCTTGAGGCACATCAGTGCCAATTTCTACAAGTCAAAATAACAGATATTTAGAAGAATAATAGCTTTTACTGCAGTAATTACAATATTAACCATGGTTTACCACAGTAACTATTATTTATTTTTTAGTAAAACCATATAGTTAACAACAAAAATAACCATGATTTTACTACAGCATTTGCAGTAAAGCCATTCTATTAAAAAACAACATTGTTTTACCTCAGTTACCATGGTTCAAATGATGATTTCGTAGTAAAACCATGGTAAAGTACAAAATTAATATTTGTTTTACCACAGTAACAATGATTCAACAATGATTTTTTTTAGTAAAACCATATAAACAACAAAAATAACCATGGTTTACTACAGCATTTGCAGCAAAACCATAGTAAACTACAAAATGAACCATTTTACCACAGTAAGATTCAAACTATGATTTTGGAAGTAACAAAAATGGTTACTAGTTTTAGTAAAACCATGATTAATTTTAATGAGGGTCAGGAAGGATGGCCAAAGCCATTTAATTTGTCAGATAAAGTAGAAATAACTATTTTTCCAAATTGGTTATCAAAAAGGACATTAAAAATCATTACAAAAATAATTGACAGACACCAATAAGCATTCTGCTTGTTGAGTTCAAAAGTACACAGAGTGCTCATTTCACTTTGTTTTCGTTTGCAATTTGTTTTTATTACATACACGAAAATATACAGTGTCATTGTACACAACGTAATGATTGTAAAGTATCGTTTCCGTCGCTCTTTCTCACGAAGCGAACGTGTGTAACGTCCACAAACCTGTCCTGTGCGCTAGCCCAGTCACCATAACAACCAGCCGTCCAATAGAAGAACGGGAAGCTGTTTACAGGGGGGTGCGCCGTTGCTAGGGTGACCGGACAAACGTCCTGCAGCAGCAGGTATTAAACTGGCCCCGGAGCTCCTGCTGCCCCGGAGACCTTGAGCTGAGACGCGCAGAGACGCACATTCTCCAGCAGCTGCACCTCTGGAAGTCAAACACACTTAATCGGATACACTTTTCCTTTCTCGAGTTATTGGATGTTATTTCCCTGTCACTCAAGGCTCCTATCGGTACAGACAGGTGAGTTGATGCAAGGTTTTCTTCATCGTTAGACATGATGACGTAGTGTATCATCAAAAAAAATAAATAAATAAATAATTAAAAATATTTTATTTTAAGGTGTCCGTTTTACAGTGTAATTATACATTTAAGTTACTGAGTCATTATGAACTACATACATGCACTTACTATAGGGTTAGGGTTAGGAAAATGGGTCGTTTAGGGTTAGTTACATGCATAATTTATGCATAATTTATAGTTATTACTAACTACATGTAGCCTACCATACATGAAACAAAGAAAACTGCAAATAAAGTGTTACCAAATGTGTTTTAGTGAAGATTAAATTTCAAAATGCGTAATCTGGTAATTATTAATATGATATCTAAAACTAAAAAATAGCTGAAAAGGGAAACTAAGGAAACTTGCTTTATTAGTAATAGTTTATTGAGTTTATTAAACTAAACATATTGGTTACACTTTACCTTGTTATTAATTTAAGTACTGAGGAATATCAATTAACGATTAACAATTTACTGTTAAGTAACACTTTTTTACATTGTTACAGACAGTACATGTAAAGTAATAACTATAAATAATGCATAATCACGCAACTAACCCTAAACCAAACCCTATAGTAAGTTATTTGATATAACTCAGTACTTAAATGTATAATTACAGTGAAACAAATAAAGTGTAACCTTGTTGTTATAAGTATGCAACAAGGATGCCCCACCAACATCTTTGAATATCAAAGGCAAAACATGATATTGTGTGAGCGTCCTAATGCACCTGCCATGCTGAGGAATGTGAGTGGTTTGGGATCTGCTCTATTGTGTATCCAGTTATGAGATGTCGTAAAGAGTGACCCGTGAAGTTTCCGGAAAGTTCTATGACCTCTATAAGCCGGAGAATCCAAATAAAGCAACACCATGGTAATCTACAAAATCATCCATGGTTTTACCACAGTAACCATGGTGCGACTATGATTTATTTAGTAAAAATGATAGTAAACAACAAAATTCAATATGTTTTTTGTTTTCACCAAACTGTTTTCTGTAGTAAAACCATACCAAATTAACCATGCTTGTAACCATGATTCAATTATGATTTGCATAGTAAAACCATAGTACAAAAATAACCATGGTTTTACCACAGTAAGAATGGTTTTAATTCTTTTTGCAGTAAAGTCATAGTAACTAACCATGGTTTTACCAACCTAGCCATGGTTTACCGTTGATTTTTGTAGTAAAACCATAGTAATTACAACAATATGGTTTTACTACAATCATTGTTCATTTTTATAAGGGTTAGGATGGCCAAAGTAATTTGAACTGTCATGGTATTACTTTAGTAACTAGGCTATGTGTAAGATATTATGTAACAATGTCAAATAAAGTGTTTTTGTTTTTTTACCGCAGTAACCATGGTTCAACTATTATTTATTTAGTAAAAATGATAGTAAAAAACTAAATTCCATTTTTAAAACCGTGGTAAACTACAAAATTAAGGATGCTTTTACCACAGTAAACATGATTCAATTATGATTTGTGTAGTAAAACCATAGTAAGTACAAAAATAACCATCAAAAATACTGTTTTTTTTAACCCAACTTTGGGTCAAATATGGACAAACCCAATGGCTGGGTTACATTTTGAAATTCAATTTAAACATTTTTAAATGAAAAATTTTAACCCAACGTTTGGGTTTGTCCATATTTGACTCAAAATTGTGTTAAAACAACCCAGCATTTTTAGAGTGTACGGTTTAAATGATTTTTTACAGTAAAACCAAAGTCACTCTAAGAAATGCTGGGTTGTTTTAACCCAATTTTGGGTCAAATATGGACAAACCCAGCCACTGAGTTAAAAATGTAATTTAAAAATTTAACCCAATGGCTGGGTTTGTCCATATTTGACCCAAAATTGGGTTAAAACAACCTATAATTTTTTTAGAGTGTTGTTTTACCACACTAGCCATGGTTTACCTATGATTTTTGCAGTAAAATCATAGTAATTACAAAAATAACTATGGTTTTAATACAGTCATTGTTCATTTTTATGAGGGTTAGGATGGCCAAAGTAATTTGAACTGTCATGGTATTACTTTAGTAACTAGGCTACGTGTAACATATTATGTAACAATGTAAAATAAAGTGTTACTTAACAGCAATAACATGCAACTAAACCTAACCCTATAGTAAGTACATGTTGTTATTCAACATTACTCTGTACTTAAATGTATAATCACTCTATAAGCCGGAGAACACAAATAAAGCTTGCACAGTTGCCTGATAATGAAAACAAGCAGTTGGTCTAATCTTCATTGTCCCGTCAGGATTTGGCTGGGAAAGGAGCATGCTGTCATTGAGTTACACGGACGACCCCTGGCCCGAGGGTTCGGTGGGGCTGGAGGAGGAGGTGGTCACGGCCGCCGCTCAGGCCGAGTGCTTGGACAGCAGTTCAGTCGAGTGCAACAGCGCCGAAAACCTGGACGACAGCCTGACCAGCCTCCAGTGGCTCCAGGAGTTCTCCATCCTCAACGCCAGCTCGTCCCAGTCCACCCACCCGCACGGCCACTTCTTCGGGAGCCGAGTGGGCTCGGATGCGCCCGCGTCTCCTTTAGCGGGAGACCCGGCGTCCATGGGCATGCCTCTGACTCCCGGCAAACCCACGGCGGCGTCTTTCTACAGGGTGCCGTCCTTGTCGGCTCTGCCCAGCCTGGTGGCCCACGGACACTGTCCGGATGACGTCGATTATAAGACCAACCCTCACATCAAGCCTCCGTACTCTTACGCAACTCTCATCTGCATGGCCATGCAGGCCAGCAAGAAAACTAAAATCACACTCTCGTGCATCTACAATTGGATCACGGACAACTTCTGCTACTTCCGCCACGCTGACCCCACTTGGCAGGTAAGACGCAATACACCGGCAAACCTCACGGTGTTAGAAAACAGCATTCATCTACACTCTGGTGCTCTTCGCATGTTGCATGACAATTAAATAAATATATTTAAGTTCTGATAATGTTTTTTTTTATTTAATATTTTTGTATTTTTTAGGAGATTTTATGGTACTACGTTATATTTATTCTGTATTTATAATCAATTTTGAGCGTAGACCTGTATATTAATTTTTTTTATATATATTTAACTTAAACTGCCATAAATATTTTTTAAGAGCACAGACTTTGAGAGTTTGATCTCTTTTCAAAGACGACGCTTGGCAGATTATTTCGGAAGTGAAAAAAAAAAGTTTGACAATTTTACGTTTGTTGTTGTGAAAATGGTGCAAAAATAGTATTTTACATTTTTTACATGAAATACATATTTAATATAAAACTGTGAGAAAATCAAAGCCATAAATCTAAACGAGTCGTATTCCAAATTTGAGGTTGATATCTCAATAAATTCGTTTTCAGTAATATTTAGTTTGGCTGCAGTACCAAACGTCTCCACTAGATGAAATTCGTCTCCTAGTCATTTCCAATGTGACTTTTAATGTTATTCATTTCCACAAGTGTGGCTTTTTTTCAGGACCATTAAACCTGTTCGAAGTTTCGTACAATTAATTTTTTTTTTATCAGTACCAGAGGATCGATGCAGCTAATACACTGATTTCATGCAGCCGCCATTTTGAAATCGAAAGTGAGGATGTTAATATCCAATTTAAGATAGTTCTTTCCTGCTTCTTTTTATCGTTCTGAATTATATATGTAAAAAATAATTTTATTTATAAATTAATTTCACTGTATATAGTCCAAAATATGAAAAAAATGTATGTACATTTTTATAGCTACACTGTGTGATTTTTACCCCCATCTAGAGGTGAAAAGGTATATGATCATCCAGTGAATATTAGTTTCTGTTCCTCTCAATTCGATTTCGTTTTAACTCCTACTGTGGCCAATGGAGTCCAAGATTAACATGGCTTCCAGTTCAACCTCGTCCATGAGTGTTAACTCAAACGTAAACGCGAAAGGCGAAGCTTGAATTAACGGGTATGTCCCTCTTTGGCTAATGTACTTTCAAAATGGAGGGGCAACATGGCGACCGACATTAGAACCCCTTACCCGTATGTATTTTCAATGGCATATTAAACACTCACGAGAATACTTAATTACTTGAACGAAGTAAATATACATTAATGAGCTCATATATTTTTGAAAGAACTGTTTTTAGCTAAGAATAAACTAAAAGAGTTACACAGTGAAGCTTTAAACACCACAATATGCCATCGCATTCGTGACTCTCCTGTGATTAAAAGCGACACTTACGGTTTTCTTCCCACCGGAGCCATTTCAAAATGGCGGCTGCGTGAAATGAGTGTATAGATGGTTAACTATGAGACCGGCATCAAAAATGCTGGGTTGTTTTAACCCAATTTTGGGTAAAATATGGACAAACCCAGCCATTGGGTTAAAAATGTTATTTAAAAATGTAACCAAATGGCTAGGTTTGTAACCCAAAATTGGGTTAAAACAACCCAGCATTTTTTAGAGTGCTGCCAAAATGCCAAAGAGGGGTGTTTTGCTATAGTTTGAGCGACTGGAGCGAGAGAAAGCCTTCTTAGCACCTGCTGAAGTAGGTTGAGTATTGGAGAGAGACCGACAGAAACCTTTCAGAAGCCTGTTGATATTTTGAGAGCTTTACTGCTAATGAAGTGCCCTCACACGTAAGAAGAGGCAAAAGTGTAATCCTAGCTGACTACCGAAAAATACAAAAGATGCAAAAAAAAGATACATCTTTCCACTTTTGAAACGTGTTCATGAGGCAAGGAGGAAGAATGAGCTCATAAGTTGGATATTTACAAAAAGAAAAAAAAAAGCAGGGGATTTCTAAAAAGATTTAGTTGTTGGTGAATTATTAATTAACCCCTTAGCCATAACCTCCTTTTCTCTGAAGAAAACGCAGACATTCGCTAAGTTTTTAGATATTTTAACTCAAAGCAATGGTTAACCAGGGTTAGGAAGTCAGTGCTTCTTTTAGGCTAAACATAATTAGCTTGTGGAGGCTGGCGTGCCTGAAATATTGACATTGGACATCTTTATTAGCTTTGCGGTCTTGCATACTACTGAAAATTGACAAAATGATTATTTAGCATGTGCTTGTTTTGTTCTCATTTGCATAGCTAAATATTTGTCCAATTAAATTCTGTTCTGAATGAGAATGGCCCTCCCTATGCCACCGACTTAGCAAGTAGCAAATGAGGTAACACTTTACAATAAGGTCATATTTGTTAACATAGTTTAATCACAGTTGTATCTACTGTATATATAGGTATTATTGCCATTTTTGCGATAGCATAGTATAAACTAAACAGGAAGCAAAGTGGGAGAGAGAAGGACTCCGAAGGGGCGCATGTTGGATATCGGCTAACAAAAAATACCATTCTAAATGTAAAAGACTATTAGAGTCCAAACACAACTATAATGATAACCACACAGAGGAATGATATCATTGGTATCACTTTTTACAGAAAGATTTTGTCCTGCTTACAAACCTTAAAGACAATGACAGCCAATCAGAATCCATCCTTAAAGAGCTTTTGTATTCAAAGCAACAGACGACAAAACTGCAGCACACACTTATACAGAACACTCTCATCCGTTGGTTTGGATACTAATATAGTCACCATAGGTATCCTTCTTGGTGTGAACTGGCCTGAAGTTGACATTTCTTTGTATTTGTAAAATATAGTAGCAATTTCTGATACCAATACTCAGTGTACTTAATGCGTTCACTAAAATTCACAAATTGACCCTTTTAGTAAAGTGTAGCATGTTATGGTTAATGGATGGGAAAACTAAAGCCTAAATTAAAGTGTTACTCTGTCATTAATTACTCGCCCTCGTGTCGTTTCAAACGTGCAAGATCATCGTTCATCTTTGGAATACAAATTAAGATATCTTTAATGAAATCTGAGACGTTTCTGAACCAGTTATAGGCAGCAAAGTCATTGCAACTTTCAAGGCCCAGAAAGTTAGTAAAGACATCGTTAAAATAGTCCATGTGACTACAATGGTTCAACCTTAATGCTATGAATCGACGAGAATACTTTTTGTGCGCAACCCCCTAATGACTTTTTTCAACAATCTCTTCTCTTTCACGTCATTGTCCTACGCTGTTGACTAGGGCTGTCGCGGTAACCGCAATATTGTAGTACTGACAAGTCAACCGCAGAGGATTGCACGTAACCGGAGCAACCGCGATATTCACGTTTTTTTTTATATATATAAGGCTAAACCCTTCTTGTTTTGAACCTAATTCATGTGTATTGAATGTTAAACGAGTTCATAATGATAACAAGACTTCACACAGACAGTGAATGAGAGAGATCGGCAGAGCGCGTGCAATTACCTCGTGAAAAGCTTGTCGTGTCAAAGGGAAGCGAAATATTTGTTGCATCATCATTTTAACGTTCTCTTCACGGGTATTTTCCCATAAATGCGCGTCAGCAGCAGCGCTGGTCAGCATCCCACAGCACAAGGAAGCCGAAATAAAATCAGTGAGTCACGCATTGAATCAATGGGTCTCTAATAAGTGAAGCATCAGCTTCAGCGTTGCCCATGCGACGCATTGCTGCTCAGCTGAGCCTTGAAAAGTTGAACATCAATGTTAAAAAGAATTAACATCTATTTTAATGAATCAGCTTTTTTAAACGTGTTCGTTGAATGAACGGTTCAATGACTCGCTCAAAGTCCGTTGTCATAACAATATGCGCGCTGAGTGAAAGTCTTTCAATGCGCATATACTGTAGACGCTGTTTAGTTTCGGTTACAATGGTTACTGAAAATGTCCTCGTTTGTGTCCACATCGTAAACTTTATTTATATAGCAACAAAAACATATAAATTTACTAAATAAATGGCGGTAATACCGCATATCGCGCTATTGAGCCACTCAACATTACCGCAAGGGAAATTCCATAACCGCGACAGCCCTACTGTTGACGTAGTGTAAACAGGGCAGCGCTTCCAGTTTCTACGTCAGAACTTCGGCTCATTATTGGCCGACCCTGGTCATGTGATCACCACGACACATACGTGTGATGCTGACGCAGGAGTCGGCCAATAATGAGCCGGCGTTCTGATGTAGAAACTGGAAGCGCTGCCCTGTTTACACTACGTTAACAGCGTATGAGAATCAAAGTTGCAATGACGTTGCTGCCTGTGGGGTCAGAAACCTCTCGCATTCCATCAAAACTATCTTCTTTTTTTTTGTGGGAGTCTTGCGGGTTTGGAACGACATGAGGGTAAATGGCAGAAATATAATTTTTGGGTGAACTAACCCTTGAATCTAACGACTAAAATCAGACAAGCCCTATGTCCTGCCCAAATGTTCTTGTTTCAATAAGAAATATGTCCACACGAGAACAACTGCACTCAATGCTTGACTTCCACGTGTTTAAGTGCATCATCCCAACACACAGGTGAACTATAACCCAGCAAACAAATTTAGGTTCTGGGAACGTTCTGGGAACGTTAGCTTTTGGTTCCCAGAACGTTCCTAGAACTTTCCCTTAAGGTTAAGGGAACGTTCCCGGAACATTCTCCTTACGTTATAAAAATGGAACCTAAAAATAACCTACATGGAACGTTCCTATAACGTTCTTGTTTGGTTCCCAAAAAAATATCCTCATCAGACCATTCGGGAACGTTAGGGGAACGTTCTGTGTTTGCTGGGAAGTGACCAATTGAACTGGAGATTAATACATTTTCTCACTCATCATTGCAGAATTCCATCCGCCACAATCTGTCGCTGAACAAATGCTTCATAAAAGTCCCGAGACAAAAGGATGAGCCGGGCAAAGGTGGGTTCTGGAAGATCGACCCCCAGTACGCAGAGCACCTCCTCAGCGGGGCCTACAAGAAGCGCAGGATGCCTCCTGTGCAAATCAACCCGGCTCTCCAGAACCGCCTCAGGATGAACTCCCACCCCGGACAAGCGGCAGCCACCGCAGGGATGGCGAGGAGCCTTTGCGTGAGTCCTGAGTCCCAGCAGCTCCTGAAAGAGTTCGAGGAAGCCACGGGAGCAGATCAGAACTGGGACCCTCGTTTGACTGAAGCCACCATGTTGAGTTGTTGGGTTTCAGGGAAGGGCGCAAAGAGGAAACAAGCGTACAGCCACAGGATTGGTGGGAGCAAAGCTACTCGACGCTCAAGCTCCCCGCTTCTGGCCATGGATGAGCAGGAGGACTTGAGCTCCCTAAAGGGCAACTTTGACTGGGACGCCCTCCTGGACTCGGCCCTGAACGGAGAGCTGAGCTTGAACGAAGGGGGTCCGTTGAGCCCCATTCCACGAGACGAGGACTTGATGGTTAGGGGCACCCACATCAGCCCCCTCGAAGCCGCTCCTGGAGGGGTCGTGGAGAGCCACGTGTTGATGGAAACCCAGAGGAGCAGAGATGTAGACTTTGATGAGGAAACTTTCCTGGCCACGGCATTCCTGCAGAGTCCCTGGTCGGAGGCGGACGAGGGCAACCGTCCGGATTTCCTCTGTAGCTCAACGGTCAGCATCGATCAACTCTTTGACCTGGGAGACTCTCTCGGAGGGGACTTAAGCAGTAAGATCGAGTCTCTCCTTTGAAGAGACGCTTGAGTTACTTCCATTCGGTCCTTTGGAGACACAAACAAGTCAGCGAACAAAGAGGGTTTGGACTGTTTAGACCCCAAAGATTTCATTCTGGATTCCGTGAACTCCACGCGAAGATGTATTTTTAAAAAGCGTATCTATTTCTAATACTGATTTTTATGATTATGTTTTGTTTTTTTGTATTTGACACGTTATCTACCTGCATTAAAGTCAACCTAATCAAATTCCTTAGCGAGTCCTCAAATCAGTGAGGTGACTGAACGCCAACCATGAACGGACAGCACTGGAAGGTAGAGATGCGCAAAGGTTGTTGTTTACAAAAGAAAGAGTTTCATTTAAGAAATGAACATACGGCGTCATATTCAAGCAAATTCTGTAAGATGTACATCATCAAATGTGCAACAGTGAGTTGTTTAGAGCAGTCGTTCTCAGGGATACACATATTTTGGATGTCCCACCTGATTTATATCATCATCATCATCATCTCTCTGGCAGAGACTCCAAGACCTGAGCTGGATGTGTGCCGGATCACTGACCACTGGTTTATAATCTTTCGGCTGAAATGGATTTGTTTAGGTTTATAGTCAACAAATGAGCTGTTGTAGTGAAACTGTCATTTCATGAATGGGATTTAGGATTATTTCGGTAGGTATAACGTATGTGCCAAACGTTCTCTTTTGCAACTGATCTCTAGCTCTGTAGTCCACAGTACATGCACATCTAACCACTTTCATGCACATATTGCGTTTAAGAGTGTTACGCTGACGTCATACAAATAATATTTTACACCAAGACTACTTTTATCTTCTTATTTAGATTGTTAGTACTAAGGAAATTTAAATGGGATGAGTTAATCGCTTGGGAAGACATGTCATTAAAGCAAATAATAAAAAGGCTCTCATATACCAAACCTTTTTTTGTCAGTAAAATTATTTTGAGACACCTCTTTTGAATCTCATGCCAGTAGGTTTTAATCTAACCTTCATGATGTAAGTACCAAGGGAAATGAGTTAGCACTTTAAGGTGAGAGTTACATGTTACATATACTCACTGTAGCGATAACAGCAAATTATGCAAAATTATGTAACCCTAAACCAAATCCTGACCATAGCCCTATTAAGTACATGTAGCTGATTAATTTGTGTAATTACACTGTAACAACGTCACCAAAAAACAACGGGTAACACTTTATTTTACAATGTCCTTGTTACATGTACTTACCATAGTAATAACAGTAAATTATGTAAATAACCCTAAACCAAATTCTGACCATAGCCCTATATTAAGTACATGTAACTGATTCATTTGTGTAATTACACTGTAACAACGTCAGCAAAAAACAAACGGTAACACTTTATTTTACAATGTCATTGTTACATGTACTTACCATAGTAATTACAGTAAATTATGCATAATTACATGCAACTAACCCTCAACCAAATCCTAATCCTACCCTAACCCTGTCGTTACTTAAATATATAATTACACTGTAACAATGACACCTTAAAATAAAGTTTAACCAAACAAAGTGTAACCGAAAAGGATTGGCAAAACAGTAATATTTTTTATGCCACGAAATATAAACCGGTACATATTCATGTTACCGTAAAATTTGTTTTGCTGCAATTAGTTGAGATAACTGCAATATCGAACTAAACTAAACTAAATTAAAGTTAACTAAACTTAAAATTTCAAGTCAAGCACGAACAGTTGAAACAACACATTATTACTTATTCTAATGTTACATTTTGAGTTGTGATAACAAATTGCAGCAATAATTTTTAATTATTTTGCGTTTTGTTGTTTTGTGTTGAATTTGTCATGTCCTCAAAGTTATTCAAATTAGGTAATGCATATATATATATATCAAATGATAGTTTAACAACAAAACTTCTTCCAACGATAGTGGGTCAGTTAATGCTCTGTAGGTTTCACAATTTTAAAGTTTGACTACGGTTAACCAAACAGTTGATGGGCCCCATTGACTTTCGTAGTATGTAGAAAATAAAATACAGTGGACGTCAATGTGCCCTCACTATCAACTGTTTGGTTAACCATAGTCTTCTAAATATCATTTTTTGTGTTCAGCAGAAGAAAGAAACTCATACAGGTTTGGAACAACTTGAGGGCGAGTAAATGATGACAAAATGTTCATTTTTGGGCAACTGTTTTTCTTTCTTTATTGACATTGATACAAAATTAGTCTTCTCACTGCACCTATCGGCCTTATTTCAGAGATCACCCTATCATGTTTATTATGGGCATACTGTACTGCAGATTAAAAACATCCCTCATGTTGTGCGTGACGTAAGATCTGAAAGCAGCATCTCCCACTCAGCTCATGGTTGATTTCGCTCCACTTGTGCTCTTGCTTTTATTATGCGGTGGGAGGGACGTCAAATAGAGCAGGACAGTGTGTGTGTGTGTGTGTGATTTACACAAGCCTCTCTGCTGGTCTTATTTTGAGGGTGACACTCTCTGTGTGTGGGGTGTGTGTTAAGGCTTTGTTTGTGCTCAGTGAGATTCTCGTACCCCCCAGAGTTCCAGTCAGGCCGGCCCTCGCTCGGCCCATGTGGGGTCCGACTGGGACGACGTCCCACGCCCTCATATATCAACTGTGCTTTTACGTAGGACCTGCCATTCATATTGGGGAGAACTGGTTTGTACCTCATAAAGTGTTTTTGTTTCACATTTAACGGTCATTTGTTAGGAGAATCTCATAAAACCTGTCAACAACACCCATCAATCAAAATCAAAAGAATAGATTTTTGTACTTTAACTTTTTACTTTTATCATTTGATCAGGATAAATGTGACCTGGGCATTATTTAATGTAATTTACATTTTTGATGGTTTTGTACAACGCAATAAGCAATTAAATTATGAGAGAAATATTTCTGTATTTTTTCTGTAATGTTTCTATTTTTTTCCCCCCTGGCTGATAGTTATTAGCTGGCCATAATTTATCACCCCCTCTTTTTTTTTAAAGAATATTCCTGATCAAATTTAGTAAAAATGTTTTTAATAAATAATTAAATAAATAAATATGTAAAAAAAAAAAAAAATGCATTCATCTGTATATGTAAAAACAAACAAAAAAATGTTGAATGAATGGATAAATATGAAATATAGAGGGATTATATGGGATAGAAATCAGAAGAGGTAAATAAATAAATAAATAAATATTCCATTAGAAAAGGTGGATATACATTGACAAATATAGAAAATGATAAATATAGAAGGAGACAAACCAGAAGAGGTAAACAAAAAAACAAATAAAATTTCGTTAAAACGGGTGTCTGTATTGAAAAATATCCAGTTGATCTCAGAAGACATAAAGACAGACAGACAGACAGATAGATAGATAGATAGACAGACAGACTATAGATAGATATATGAATCGATAGATAGACAGACAGACAGATAGCTAGATAGATAAATAAATAGACAGACAAGATAGATAGATAGATAGATAGATAGATAGATAGATAGATAGATAGATAGATAGATAGATAGATAGATAGATAGATAGATAGATACATCGATAGATAGACTGCCAGACAGACAGACAGACAGACAGACAGATAGATAGATAGATAGACAGATAGATAGATAGATAGATAGATAGATAGATAGATAGATAGATAGATAGATAGATAGATAGATAGATAGATAGATAGATAGATAGATAGATAGATAGATAGATAGATAGATAGATAGATAGACAGACAGACTATAGATAGATATATAAATTGATAGATAGACAGACAGACAAATAGCTAGATAGATAAATAAATAGACAGACAGACAAGATAGATAGATAGACTGCCAGACAGACAGACTATAGATAGATATATAAATCGACAGACAGACAGACAGACAGACAGACAGACAGACAGACAGTTAGATAGATAGATAGATAGATAGATAGATAGATAGATAGATAGATAGATAGATAGATAGATAGATAGATAGATAGATAGATAGATAGATGATAGATAGATAGATAGATAGATAGATACATCGATAGATAGACTGCCAGACAGACAGACAGACAGACAGACAGACAGACAGATAGATAGATAGATAGATAGACAGATAGATAGATAGATAGATAGATAGATAGATAGATAGATAGATAGATAGATAGATAGATAGATAGATAGATAGATAGATAGATAGATAGATAGACAGACAGACTATAGATAGATAGACTGCCAGACAGACAGACTATAGATAGATATATAAATCGATAGATAGATAGATAGATAGATAGATAGATAGATAGATAGATAGATAGATAGATAGATAGATAGATAGATAGATAGATAGATAGATAGATAGATAGATAGATAGATAGATAGATAGATAGATAGATAGTCTCTCTGCTGGTGATTATTGAGTGCTGGTTTGGTCAGATGAGAGGGCCAGTAACCGGATACAGGGATTATCCTGCAGTCTTGCTGATAGCTGCAGGTAAGGAGAGCACACTGTGAAACGCTAAACCACTCGCTTGTTTCTTTCACTCTAACGATGTTCAAAACTAAAAGTGTAAAAAGCCTTATAAGCAAGAGCCAGCGATCTTTAGGGGAAGACGTGGCATTGTTGTGCCGTATCAGGGCTGTCGGCTGTGTGTTTTTTAAACCCAGAGAATGCATGTCTTAATGACTGGAAACGGAGAGAGTTCTCATTCGTATCTGTTTCATTAATTTACCTGCAGACATCATACAACACATGTATCATATTAATGATTAATGTTTAAAATTCCACATACAGTATAGATGTATACACTACTGTTCAAAATATTGGGGTCAATATTTATTTTAAATGGTCAAAGAAATGAATACTTTTATTCAACAAGTACGCATGATACTTGTTGATAAGTATGCGACAATGACATCTGTCTATCATGTGTGTATCCAAGTATGCAAACCTGTAAAGACTTTTGCACAAAAGTCTATTCCAAATAAATGCTGTTATTTTTAACTTTCACAGTTGCCATAACTTGCCACATAGGAATATATGAAAATATGAAGCAGCACAACGGGTTTCAACTGTTAAATCCTCATATTAGACTACAGTGATTTCTGAAGGATCGTGTGACACTGAAGACTGGAGTAATGATGCTGGAAATACAGCCTTGATCACAGGAATAAATGACATTTTAACAGATATTAACATAGAAAACAGTTATTTATACATTTTTTAATAATATTTCACAATATTACTGTTGTACTGTATTTTTCTTAGTGAGCAGAAGAGTATATCAAAAACATAAAAAAACGTACGACTCCAAATGTTTTAACTATATATATATATATATATATATATAATATTATCATTATGTTTTCATGTTGTCGTCTACTGTTTGCGATGCACCGTCACCTCCAGTAACAGTAAGTGTATTTTATGATTTTTGAGCAAATAGTCTTTTCAGTTGATGTCAGCCAATTCAACAACAAATGCGTCTAAAGTTGTTGTCGTCGCAGGATGTCTGTGTATATAATTTAAACCTTGTTTGTATAGTGTGTAACCACACGTTTATATATATATTTAAAGATATTGTATTAAAAACTGCATATATGTTGTTGTTCTGTAAGTTAGCCATCTCCTCACATTTGCCACAGAAGCACCCGTATGACAAGTAAACATGACGCAACAGGTCCCTCGCATAAATGTAATTTCGCTTGTACGTAGCAAACTTTATCACAGTCTGTGTACATAGTTTTAAAAAATTGCGCCAACGTTAGTGTTTGTGTGTGTCTGTGTGTGTTGCACATCCATAATTTCAAAGGGGACGCGATTACAACTCTATAAGTGCATAAATGTATCAAATAACCATACTGAGATGTCCTGGTCCATTCTCATTTATGTTTATTCTGCCAGAGTCTCTTCATCATCTGGGTCTGAT